ACTTGTACCCGGAATACTACCGGAAGTCCTCCGACTACATCAAGGGGTCCAACCTGGACGCTCCGGAGCCTTTCCGCGTCGGGCGCATCAAGGAGATCTTCTGTCAAAGACGCAACGGGAAATGCGACACGTCGGAGGTCAAACTGCGACTCTACAAGTTCTACAGGTTAGAGGAAACAAAAATCACAATCTGCTCATTACGGGTCTGGTGTATGAGTGAGCCAGCTTTGGTTTCCTCCCCCAGGCCTGAGAACACTCACAAAGGTGTCAAAGCCAGTTACCACGCAGACATCAACCAGCTGTACTGGAGTGACGAAGAGGTCACAGTCAACATGGCAGAGTTGCTCGGCCGCTGCCAAGTAGAATATGCGGAAGACCTGAATGAATCGGTCCAGGACTATTCCAGTGGTGGAACCGACCGCTTCTATTTCCTGGAGGTACAGTTGTTGTTGCTCCTCTGATCTGCATCATTTCACATTCTGTAGTTAAGAGACCCTGATTTGTTCTGAGGGGAAATGTAAAAATATACAATAAGGAAACAAAATGCCCGTACTTGTAACGTATCTTCAATGCAGTGTATTCTTATTGATATTCCTTTTACAGGCCTATAATGCAAAATCAAAGAGCTTTGAAGATCCTCCAAACCATGCACGCTCTGCTGTGCATAAAGGCAAAGGAAAGGGCAAAGGGAAAGGTGACAACACACTTGCGTATTTTTAAAATATGAAATTTGTTTTATGCTCAGAAATCCTGATCCATTATTTCTCTACAAGGTAAAGGCAAAGGAAAGGCTGCTGCACAGGAACAGCAGGACTCTCAGAACGAACCACAGGCGGTTAAAGTGCCCAAATATCGCGCCCTGGACGTGTTTTCTGGCTGCGGCGGACTCTCTGAAGGCTTCCACCAGGCTGGTAAATGCTCGTGGAATGCAGTGCTCGTGCAGAGATGTTGTGGTAGTTGCTTTTCTTCACCTCCACCACTGCTGCTTTCCCTTCAGGTATGACAGAGACTCTGTGGGCCATAGAAATGTGGGAGCCGGCAGCACAGGCCTTCAGGCTCAACAACCCCGGCACCACGGTGTTCACGGAGGACTGCAACGTGCTGCTCAAGCTGGTCATGTCGGGAGAGAAGACCAACTCTCTGGGCCAGAAGCTGCCTCAGAAGGGCGACGTGGAGATGCTGTGCGGGGGGCCGCCTTGCCAAGGATTCAGCGGCATGAACCGCTTCAACTCTCGCACCTACTCAAAGTTCAAGAACTCCCTCGTGGTCTCTTATCTCAGGTCGGTGACAGGCAGCATGACCAGAGTTTCCTGCAGTGTGTAACTCAAGGGGCACATTTAAAATCCAGGTTTCCTCTGTTCCCCCAGTTACTGTGACTACTACAGACCAAAGTTCTTCCTGCTGGAGAACGTCAGGAACTTTGTTTCCTTCAAAAGCTCGATGGTCCTGAAGCTGACTCTACGCTGTCTGGTGCGCATGGGCTACCAGTGCACCTTCGGAGTCCTTCAGGTGGGTCCGACTCTGCGTTAGCTTGGCGGGACAAATAAAAACTCCCTTTGAGTAAAACTAGACTGGCATGAAAAGGCCTCGTTTCAAATAGTGAAAAAATAAATAGTACGTACTTTTCTCACTAACTGCTCTCCTCCTCAGGCCGGTCAGTACGGCGTCGCCCAGACGCGCCGCAGGGCCATCATCCTGGCTGCTGCTCCCGGGGAGAAGCTGCCCCGCTACCCCGAGCCTCTGCACGTGTTCGCTCCCAGAGCGTGTTCCCTGAGCGTGGTGGTGGACGAGAAGAGACACGTCAGCAATGTCACACGGTAAGGGGAACCTCCAGGGAACTTTCCACGGCTCCTCGAATGGATTGTAACGATTTTTATTTTAATGAACTGTTTGTCTTCCACAGAGGCAACGGAGGAATCTACAGAACCATCACTGTCAGAGACACCATGTCTGATCTGCCAGAGATTCGCAATGGTGCCGCTGGGCTCGAGATCTCTTACAACGGAGAGCCGCAGTCTTGGTTCCAGAGGCAGATCCGAGGGACTCAGTACCAGCCGATCCTCAGGGATCACATCTGCAAGGTGAGCCGCCTGCATTCTCTCAAAAGGAGAAACTAGTGCCAAACGCCGGGTCATGATGCACACACACTGGTTCAATGATCCTCAGAGACAAACACCGCTGCTGTGATTTTTGTAAATGAGTAGCCAGAAGTGAACGTTTGACAGTCAAATCAAACTTGTGTCGCATTTAGCAGCTTGTTAGCAATCACCTTTTTAAGATCTCTAAAATATTGGGCGTTTCAAATCCTTTTGTTCACCAGATGTTGTAGCATCTACCTGTTTTTTTAACTTATTTTATTAAGTAAAAGCATTATTCCAACGGCATCACTCCTTCTTGGATCGATGGGCGAGCGCTACGTTTCTCACCAAAGACCCTTTTGTGTCCTCAGGACATGAGCGCTCTGGTTGAAGGCCGCATGCGTCACATCCCGTTGGCTCCCGGCTCCGACTGGAGGGATCTGCCCAACCTGGAGGTTCGGCTCAAAGATGGCACCATGACTAAGAAACTGCGCTACTCCCACTCGGATAAGAAGAACGGGCGCAGCAGCACCGGCGCTCTCAGAGGGGTCTGCACCTGTTCAGGAGGTAGGTGGCTCCATCTCTGCTCCTCCAGTGTTGGCGTGTTCCTGCTTCAGAGGCAGCTCTGATGTGCTTGCGGTCCTCATTTATTTTTAAGGGACTCCGTGCGACCCTGCTGATCGGCAGTTCGGCACCCTGATCCCGTGGTGTCTCCCCCACACCGGAAACCGCCACAACCACTGGGCCGGCCTCTACGGCAGGCTGGAGTGGGACGGCTTCTTCAGCACGACGGTCACCAACCCGGAGCCCATGGGCAAGCAGGTACTTCTGCTCTTTATCAACAACCGGGAATTCTGCGTTTCTCTGAGGTGGACAAGAAGAATTCTGTCAGGAAAGATGTGGCCGCGTTTTTAAAGGAACACTTTAATCCCTGCAATGACCAGATGCTTTCATGGCCTGTAACCGATGTTTGTTCCTTTTTAGAAAGTCTAAATGGTGTTTTGATTTCAGGGTCGTGTTCTGCACCCCGAGCAGCACAGAGTGGTCAGCGTGAGGGAGTGTGCTCGCTCTCAGGGATTCCCCGACACGTACCGCTTCTTTGGAAACATCCTGGACAAACACCGACAGGTAGTCTTGACTGATGTCTGGATGTTACCAAATACTACAGGTAAACATCACATCATTGGTTCTGAACGGCGCCCTGTGCAACGGGTTCTTTGTGTTCCTGCAGGTCGGCAACGCGGTGCCGCCACCGCTCTCCAGAGCCATCGGCCTGGAGCTGAAGAAGTGTGTCCTGGAGAGGATGAAGGAGGAACAAGCAACAGGTGACTCTTCTGACTCGACTTCCCTGATTGACGTGAAACGCTCTAAGCCGAATTCTCAGTGATTTCTCCTCCTTGTTTCTCAGATGCTGTCAAACAGGAGAAGATTGAGGCCTCAGACTAGTTCCTGGTTCCCTTCCAGCAAGAATCTGCTCCAATATTTCTGTCAACCGGTTGGTCTTTAACGGTGTCACTTGGCGACCACCACGGACATTGCGTCACGTTCAATGTTTTTGTTTTAACTGCTTTTAATCATGTGGACAAAATTGTATGTAGTTTTTATATGTGTAATATTTCAAATAAAGCTCTTATGAAATTGAAAATGTAAATTTCATGTGTTGGCAGATATTAAATGTAGGCTATTTGTTTTTGCTAAATTGATGAGAGAATCTCTAATCCAAATCTCTTAAAAACCCAGAGGTCTGCGACCTCCCCAGGGGGTGCTGCAGGGGGGGGGGGGGGGGTGGGAATTTTAGGATTTTTTTTTTTTTTTTTTTTTTAAACAAATTTAAATGTCTTTAATGGTCTTCAAATACACTAACATGAATCCATATTGTAGTGGAAGGATAAATTATCTTTCAGTCCGCAATACATTCAGCTTCCCACCGGTTCACTCGCAGCTCCTTTCATGCAAATACGACCGCGAAGCTCAAGATGGCAGACCAAACTGAGCAGGGACCCCCTATTCTACAGTTTGGGGGACCTTGAAGACCTCTGCTTTATCAAACTAGGTATATAATTTGATATCCACATAAGAGCAGTCAGTTTCTTTGCACACTCAAAAGCGGATGTGTAGAAAGGTTTGAGATGTTATTTATTTCCGTTCCATCGCATGTCAGCTCAGATTTTCCCTTAGATGTGAAGTTGTACACTATTGCATTTGTTTGGCATTAATCAATCCATTTTCAACCGCTTATCTGGGGTTCGGTCGCGGGGGCAACAGCTCCAGCAGGGGACCCCGAACTTCCCTTTCCCGGGCCACATCTACCAGCTCTGACTGGGGGATCCCAAGGCGTTCCCAGGCCAGTGCAGCAATAATCTCTCCACCTAGTCCTGGGTCTTCCCCGGGGCCTCTACCCAGCTGGCCGTCTGTGGAACACCTCCCTAGGGAGGCGCCCAGGGGGGCATCCTCACCAGATGCCCAAACCACCTCAACTGGCTCCTTTCGACGCAAAGGAGCAGCGGCTCTACTCAGAGCTCCTCGCCCTATCCCTAAGGGAGACGCCAGCCACTCTTGAAGAAACCCATTTCGCCCGCTTGTACCCGTGACCTAGTTCTTTCAGTCATGGTATTTGCATTAAGGGAATCTGAATTTCTAATGAACTGGAATTACTTTCAAATGTTGTCCACAATCCAAAGTATTTTGGGGGAAGAGTCAACTAGCCAGCGATTGAGAACCATAAGTCACCGCTGCTACTGGATCACACTGAGTGTTGCAGTGCATGATCGGTTTGTCAGAACGATCACGGCTGTAGATATGAAAGCTTAGTTTCATCACGGATGTGGAGGCCAGACTGTTTATCGTGATGAGTCATAAAACCAAACCGCACCCAATACAAACATTTTAAAGCTAAACCAGAGAATGAAAACAAGACGATAGTGACAATGTGATTTTTTTTATTTCGGTAACAGCCACGTTTTACCACGACAATAAAATCTGGCGCCTTGCTCGAATGTATCCTGAATGATTCCTCAGTTGTTTGACGGTCTGCAGAGAATAAATTAAATACGGTTAGCATCAACAAAAAAAAAATACTTCAATGACCATATAAAAGCTGATAACTTACTTGGCCCATTCAACGTTGAGAATAAGATGATCGTATCCGAATCCTGACACTCCAGTGATGGCTCTGGCTGCATCCTCCCGGCGGTGGAAGCTGATGAAAGCAAAACCCTGCAGAAAACAAAGCGGCTGGTCTTTAGACGGCTGTTCTGATCCATGTAGGCAAGGCCAGCTAGTGACTAAGTGTCTACAGGTTATAAACTCATTTCTTGAAGTGTTTCCGTGTGTATTCTGAAGAGGAGCACTGACCTTGGACTGTCCGGTGTTCTTGTCCTTGGCCAGATAAATCCTCGAGATGGAGCCAAATGGCCTGAAGAGCTCCTGCAAGTCGGTCTCGCGGGTGTCCTCCGACAGATTGGTCACACGGATCGTGGCGTTGTCGTCAGCTGTCGCGGGCAAACACGGGCAGTTTGTACCGATTCAAAGCAAACGGCCAATGAATCAAGTGAAGAAAAAGGCGGATCCACTTACATCCACCCCTCCGGTTGGGCTGCATGGACTCCCCTCTCCGCGTGCTTCCGTCCCTCAGGCTCGGGGGCACGTACTTTCCGGTCTTGCTCTGCGCGGGCTGCGCCGGCTCTGGCTCCGCTGGAGAGAGAAAGAACAAGAGCAGGCCACATCAGTTAAAACGTAAGAAACGGCCAACCAATCAAAATCCTGACAGTGTGCGCGAGGAGCTGCCGGTACCGGAGCCAGCGGGCTTGTCCTTGTCTGCGGTGGTGAGGCCGAGCTGTTCGGCCAGCTCCTTCTGCATCGGGCCCAGGGTGTCCTTGTACGGACAGCGCGTGGTCCAATGGTCGCCTTTACAAATACGGCAAGACACAATCTTCTGGCCTTTCAGTTTGTTCATGGGATCTTCATCCTGATCTTGAGCGTTCAAGTCCTGCGGGGGGGGGTCAGAAAGTAAACCCAGCGAAGTACAGACTGTTGCCGGCCATTATTACGTAAAACAACCAGTAAAAAGGCCACAATGGATCCTCACCTCCTTGCTGGAGATGAAAGTCATGAAGACATCATCACTGACTGTGGTGGTGGCCACATTAGGACCGGGAGCGTCAAACTCAGAGTTGCCAAATTTCTTCCAGTTCTGAAATGAGAATATAATTCATGAAGCCCGACTTTCCCCCCCGAGTGTCTTCATTTCAAAGTGAATGCAACTAGATTTTGTCCAAAAGCGAACCTTTCTCCTGGCAACGGCTTTGGAGGCTTTTCTGGTCTCGATCTTGAAGATTCGGATAATCTGAAGGAACAAACAGGCCGAAGATGCAGAATTAATTTTCCAGCTGTGCTGCTGCCATCGCAGCCTCGGGCGGTTTCAGTTGGTAGATAACAGTTGATGTAGAGACCCACGTATGAACACTTCCATCAGCTGTGTTACAATGAAGTCTGTTCAATTAAAAAGATGAAAAGTCTAATTGACATTTGCTTACCTTGAACTTCTTTCCGTCATCATCTATTTTGTATTCAATGATAGTTTTTATATTTCCTTTGATGGTTTCTTTGGGCGGTGGTAGTGTGCCTGGCAAAGAGAAACAACGAGTCGGGTTGGATTCAGCGCACAAAGCCAGTTGTCTGCGGATGAAGCCTTTAGATTGTGTGAACCGATACACAAAAATCCAACAACACAGCACTATTGTGTCAGCAACAAAGCAGCCCCGCAGAATGTCATCACATTCAGAATTAATATTTAACCCAGGACATTATAATTGAATTCCCTGTAGCCTGGAACATGCTTGCTAACTTTAAGCTGCCATTACGTTCCCAGTGGGTGACACTGCCTACGTCACTCACAACGGGCCATAGCATATGTCGGTTAGCTACATAGCTCAACAATACATTTTATTTCATCCGGTCAAACTTATTGCTCAAACATATTAAACTTTAGATACCAAACACATCGCTGGTGCGTTTTCATGTTATCGGGAGAGTTACGCCCGACAACCACGTGCGAAAGCCGCGTATCCGGCCTCCTATTGCGGACACCAGACTACCGGGGCTCTGCTAGCATTAGCTAACGTTAACGCCGTTAGTTCTTTACCTTCATCCACCTCCTCCTCGACTTGGTCTGCCCAGCTGGGCTTGGAGCTGGAGGGGAGAGATATATATTAGAGGGATGCGATATCCTTAATACACGCGGAAATTATTAAATGTCGATGAAAACCCACTCACTCGTCGTATTCCATCGACGGCATCTTCTCGGCTAGCTTAGCTTCGGGGCCGTAAAGAGCGTAGCACCGTGAGCCGAGTGCAACCGCCAACGCAAACACTTCCGGGACTTTAACTTCACAGTAAAAGCCCGACGTTTGTCTAACTTTAAGCTTCACAATAAGAGCCTGGTTTCTTGATCGTTGATATCAAAACTAAATTCTACTGTGGGGAGGGTGAAAAACAAATGTACACTACCGTTCTTTTTTTTTTTAAATTTCCTTATTTTTACAAAGAAAAACATTGTTTATTTCAATGAATATAGCATTAAATTAATCAGAGATACACTCTATACATTGATAATTTCGTAAATGACTATTCTAGGTGGAAACGTCTGTTTTTTTTAATGAAATATCTGCACAGGTGTATAGCGGCCTATTTCAAGCAACTATCAGTCCAGTGTTTTAATGGTATATTGTGTTTGCTAATCGCCTTAGAAAACTAATGGATGAGTAGAAAACCCTTGTGAACAGCTGAAACAGTTATGCTGGCGAAAGAAGCTATAAAACTGACCTTCCTGTGTCGTTGAGTATCTGAATCATCACATCTGTGGCTTCAATTATACTCTCAAAATGGCAAGAAAATAAGAAGTTTTATGAGAAACTCGCCACCCTATTCTTGTTCTTAGAAATTAAGGCTATTCCATGCAAGAAATTACAAAGAAACTGAAACTGGCCTTATATGCAGAGTGGCAAAGAATAACCATATGACACTGGCCATTAACAAAGAAAGAGTGATGGTCTGGGGCTGCTTCGGTGCTGGTAAAGTGGAAGATTTCTATGCAGTAAAAGGAATCTTAAATAAGGAAGGCTATCACTCCATTTTGCAACGCCATGCCAACGTGTGGACAGCAGATTGAAGCACATTTCCTCCTGCAAGAGGAGAATGACCCAAAGCACACCTGCAAATGATGCAAGAACTATTTAGGGAATAAGCAGGCAGCTGCTATGCTGCTTGCAATAGTGTGGCCAGCGCAGTCACCAGACCTCAACCGCATTGAGCTGTTGTGGGAGCAGCTTGACCGTGTGCTTCAGGAAGCGTGGGGTCAAATTCTACACATAACCTCAACAAATCAACCGCTAGAATGCCAACGGTCTGCAATGCTGTTATTGCTGCAAATGTTAATAATTAATTCAGCATTATTCATCATTATTTCTAACCTTGTCAATGTCTTGACTATATTTTCTATTAATTTTGCAACTCATTTGATAAATAAAAATGTGTATGAAATTGTCTGGGTGACCCCAAACCTTTAGTATAAGCTTAAACAAATTTCCCTTTATATTATGATTTGTTTTAAATACAGGATGATAGAGGGGGGAATCTGCCAACGATGGCCGTGTCTACACATCAGAACACAAATGTTTATTTTACTTCTATTTACTTGTTTAATAAAATGCTTTTTTTATTGTGTATTGGTGAATGCATTCACCACTCATCTTTTAAAATAACTAAAAAAGAAATCCTATAATTAATAACTGGGGTGAGAAGGTCACATGTCAGCATTGCTTCATCAAAACACTTCCTCAAAGAGAACACGAAGGCGGATCGGCGCTCAAACCATCTCGTCTCAGGATTTTTTAACAGTATAACGACAAATAAACTTAAAGGAAGAGCGTCTTTTTTCTCCACTGACGAGCAGGAGATGAGCATGAACACATATGATGAGATAATATGTTAATTTGAATCATTTCTGTCCCTCTTCCCTTTATTCTCTCCATCGAATGCTTTTTCATTGTTTGAGGAGTTTTTCCTGTGCCGATGTGAGGGTTTCTGTCACACGTGTACAGACTGTAAAGACCTCTGAGGCAAATTTGCGATATTGTGCGATACAAAATTTAATTAAATTAATCATATAGTCATGACAAAAACTGACAGCGCCCAACTGCGAGGCCACAAGCCCGACAAAGTATCACAGACAAGTGAACGTTAAATGTGAGTGTTGGTAAAATGTAACTGCTCATTTAAGTGCCTCGTCACTCTAATCAATCATATTATATTTAAATGTGTCCGCTGGCAGGAGGCTTCATGGATGATCATCATCCAATGAGAATAATGATCTCAACTCTTTCAGAACATATAGATGAAAACAAGCCCAAAGAATCTAATTGATACGAATGAATAGGATATATCTACTGTATCAGCTTATGTATTCAGATGACCATATAGATACCTTTAGCAGTTTTATATGTGTGTGGGAGAATCATTATATATCCATTGTTCATAATCAGACATTTGATCAATTGAAGCAGCGAAATGTGGAACATCCAGAAGTTTATTAAACGACAAATAAACCAACAGAACTTTACGAAGAGCACGACATGCAGCGGCTTTCCAGATGTTCTCTGCATTGCAACACTGTACAGACAGAACGGTAGAGACAGTGTGTCAGACACCGTGTGAGACATGAGAGTGTGACACAGGATGAGAGACAGTGTGTGAGACAGTATGAGAGAAATGAGTGTGTGAGACAGTATGTGGGACAGTGGATGCTCGGCTGCAGCGTGTGGTGTTCATCACGCAACGTTTCAGCTCAGGGAAATCTTCTTGTAAATAAATGATTCCTTGTCCTCAGCATCTGTAGCGCTCGTACAGGACGTCATCGCGGCTAAAGTCTGTCCCTATAGAACGTTAATCTAACTGATATCGCTCCTTCATCAATGAGGAAGTGAGCTGCCTTTTTATCCGGGGGATTGATGAACTAATCCAGCAGCTCAGATAAACCTGCCCCGGAGCAGGTTCAAGTTTTTTGATGTGTTGCTTTGGTGATTTAGACAAACCTGCTTCGGGGAACCGAAAAGCCTGATCTACGTCATCAAATTATCCGGCTAACTCAGTTAACCACGTACAAGGAACAGGGCCCTGGATTCCTCTCTGACATATCGAAAGGGCTCTAATTACACAACCAACCATGAAGGATGTTGGATTCTAATATGAATGTGTTTTTTGGCCAGACAGGAAGTGAATCGGATAAAGCACATTACACCATTAAAGCCATATTTATTACAGAAAATATTTTTGCAAAATGAACCGGACAATTACTGAAATAAGCAAACACAAATCACAAAACTAGAGCGGTTCTTCACAGCCTTGGAACATGACGGACTTTCCAGAAAAGCTACCGAGCAGCAGCTTCAAACGTCCTCCTCAGCCCCGGTCGGGCTTGTCCTCCGGGCTCCGCCCACAACAAGCCACTCTCATGCTGTCAAACAGAGCCATGTAGAGGATTGGATGCAGGCACATGTTCAGAGTCGCCAGGCCCTTTGACACCTGGTACATGTCGTACACCCAACAGACGGAGCTCTTCAGATAATTGATTCTCAAGTACAAGTGATACATCTGGAAGACGTGGTAGGGCACAAAGGAAATGGCGTAGAGCACCAGCACCGATGTGACCAACAGGGCCACCTTACGTTTCTCCAGCGGGGTCACAGAGCTGTTTTTCCACACCGCCGAAATCACCGCAAAGTAGCACGAGAAAGTAACCAAGAAGGGAACTACACAACCAAACACAGCCAGGAACACTTTGTAGGAGAAGTGAGAGTTTTTGTCACCGGGATTGGGGTCGCAGTAGGACACGCACAGGGTGTTGTTGTTGTGTTGACTGGGGCAAACTGAGGCCCACCTCAGCACGGGGCAGGAAATGACCCCCACCAGGACCCAGATGAGGACACTGGCGGCCTTGGCGTGGATGGGCTCCAAGTAAGATCGGGTGAAGAAGGGAAACTTGAGGGCCACGCAGCGGTTCACACCGATCGCCATGACGAAGAAGATGCTCACGTACAGGTTGCAGGTGAAGAGGAACCGCTCGATTTTGCACGCGGCATCGCCAAACACCCAGTGTTTGTCCAGGGAGTAGTAGGCGATGAGCAGGGGCAGGGTCAGCACATACAGCAGGTCGCTGATGGCCAGGTTACAGGCCAGGACCACCCCGGTGTGCCAGTTCCGCCTCTCTCGGCCCGCCAGCAGCCACAGGGCGAACAGGTTCCCGACCAGGGCCACGACGAACTCGACGCCGTACATGGAGGGCAGCAGGGCCTTCTGGAACTTCTCACACTCAGAGAAGTTGTGCGCCATCGGGATTGCTGCCAAAGGATCGTTTGTTGCTGCTGCCACACAGCTGGGCCGTCCTAAATCTGTAAACTGTAAGTAGGTTTATTAACGAACGTGGGTAAATGTTACAAAAGGCAAATGCAGTTTATGTTTGCAATGTTAGACAGAAAAAAAGTGCAGCAGGATACATTTAGACCGGCATCACATGATCACAATTGTGTAAAGCTTAAGTGTTTTAGCATCACATGTTTATACGTTTGACTACAGAACCTTAAGAAATGAATGGCAGCAGATAAAAATCACACAATAAAGACACCTGAATCAGAGGGTGGAAAAAGCGTCGAGATGTTTGACAGGAACACAACACATATGGTGTGAACACTGTGGTCGCAGTAGTGTTGCGTAGGTGTGTGTCTGTAGGTGTTGAAGGTGCATAACGAAACATGTTAGTTGGGAAATCAGCAACGAAACACAAGTAGATATTTTAAAATATTTGATACACCTTCCACCAGACAGCTGTGCTTTTCTGCCTGAACCTTTCAGTTCCATCCAAACTAAATACTAATATTACTAAAGGTATTCACATGCTGCCGGCTCGCGCTCAGTAGCAGGCTGAGTGACGCGGGAGTTGAGTCGGCCAGTGTGATTGACATTTAATGTCTAAAACAAAGTTAGCCGGGTTACTGTAGAAGTCAGTGATTGACTTCATAAATATGTCTGGTCCCGGACATATCGAACGTGAGGGTCGGGCTGGTAATGAGGTCTGATACTGGCCACGACTAAGATCTATGAGTCACAAAACACCTCACGTTTAGCTTAAAGTCCCTTTTCTCCTATTTGGTAACTTTACGGTGGTTTTGTACTTGTGTTCAACCGCTTCGTGGTTCTTTATCATTACCGATCACGTGCAGCATGATGGTTGAACAAGATGTCCTGGAAGTTATAAATCATTTTCACAAACACGTTTTGTTTTGAGCATCAAAAAGTAGGCTTATATAACCTTACGATAAATGGAGACATTAAGAATTCTATTTGTATTGAACATAAATGTCTACTTACCGATCAAAGACCCTGCTGTCACTTTCTCAACCAGAGAGAAATGAGGGCACACTTTAAAAATTCAGTTACTTCCTCTTCCTTCCCCCCCATGAAGCCCGACTTCCTCAAGAAACACAACTATGTTTCTGCACGTGGAAGATAATTACTAAATACTGCAGGGCACATTCCTAAAATTCCAAAAATCTTCATGCACGTCTGCTACTGAGTCCAAAGAGATGGAGACAAATTAGAAAAACATTAAATGGAAGAAAAAAAAAAAAAAAAAAAAAAAAAAAAAAAAAAAGTACATCTCGCAAGAAACTGCCACAATAAACCCATCCAATAAGTTGACCAAATCATATTCAAACAGTTTATTCAACAATGTTATGTAACATGTAGCATTAGTCATACATTGTGGAAAATTAAGCACTTTTGTTCTCTGCTGATTTTCAGCCATAAACAAACAGATATTTGCTGCCTCCTGGAGGTTGAGCACATCAAACATTAAGTCCAAGTCCAGTGAGAAGAGGCAGAGCTTCAGCCCTTCCCTTTCCTCTGTTTAGAGCCGTGCCTTACGCCTTTCTTCTTGAAGGCTGGCTTGCCTTTCGAACCTTTAGATTTGAAGGATTTGTCCTTATTTTTATCAAACGTTTTCTTCCCGCCAAATTTCTTCTCCCCCCGCTCGCCAGGTTTCTTTCCTCCGAAAGGCTTTCGGCCGGGCTTCGTGTCACGGCCAAATGCTTTCTCCCCGTCCTTCTTCCACCCCTTTCCCATTTTGTCTCTCTGTCCTCCTGGGCCGTTTCTCTTGGGCGATTTGCCGTCTTGGTCTTTTCTAAATGGTTTACCCGGTGACATCTTCCTCTTCTTGGCAGGTCCGTGGGTTCGCTCGGAGCCGTGCCTCCTCTTGGTCGCAGGGAACATGTCTGCACAGGAGAAGGGGAAAGGGAAAGACTCTTGGTCAATAAATCAAACATCCCAGCAGAGCTGTTGATTCACAGCATAATGTCTTATTCACCTTCATCTGGCTCCCGTCCCACAGCCTGTCTGTAGTACTCCACCTCGTCGTCAGATTCAACAACAGCAACCTCATTGTCCTGCATCCCGGGATCCTCCACCTCACTGTCCTCTTCGGCCTCAGCTTGTTTCCTCTTAATGCCTTCAAGGCTCTTTTTCCTGTTGGGAAGGAAAAGTGTTACACGGAAAACGCATTTTAAAAAATGGGATTCGTCGGAAAGGTTAAATCATCTACGAGGTCACATTACTTGTTGGCGTCTCGTTTCTCTTGCTTGTCAGCGATGTTCTGCTCCTGCTTTTTACGGCGTCCGAGCTTCTCTTGGAGCTGAGCCTGCTTCCTGTTCAGGATCTCCTGGATTTCCTCCTCCGTCTTGGAAACTAGTAAACAGAGTGCATGAAAACTTCATGAGAAGACAACTCACAGCGGGTTTACTCTCTAACCGGTCTTCTGATGCATCAGTAAGCGTTTACTTTTAGAGAAATCATAGAATTCATAGTGATTTTCTTCATCATGTGCACCACAAATAAAGCAATATTAAATAAAGGACCCGAGTGAACTCACTCATGGTGTGATAAAGGATGTTCCCATTTCCCATGCCTTCCTGTATCTTCATCAGCTGCAGCGTCATACGAGGACCAATCTGAGGAACACAGGGCAACAATTCAGGAGCCATCCAAGCGACATACCATGGTTTAAAAGGGCTTCACCCCCGCACTGTTCTCACCTCGGTCAAACGGACGGCGCTCTGCTGGGACGCCATGTTACCTCGTCCGGAGTAGACCTGTGGTAGTTCCGTTATGTTGTGATCCCCGTCTTGCTCTGCTTCACTTTCTGAGAGGTTTGCCCCCCTGAGAAGAAAAAGAGCACAAAATAGTTGCGGGTTGTGACCAAAGCAAGCAACCCGTTGACCTTGGGACTGAAGCAATTGTACACACGGCCCTTACTTTATCATCAGCTCACTGATGTCTTCAAACTTGCTCATGTTGGGGAACCTCTCCTGCATCAGCTTCTTGACCCCACGGCTCATTCCCACAGGGACGACCTTCATGCTGCTGCAGGTTGAAAACACGTTGTGTGTGTCGGTCAGTGGGGCATTTACGCAATAAAACCACGTGGCAGTTTGTTGTGTGGAGGCCCATCAGTGCGTTTACTTTGAACAAATATCACTGAACAGTCAAGTCACAATCTGTCATCATCCGAGCCAATCTTCCATGAAAACGACAACAACTACGCTAAAAGTGCAATACAAAATATTACTTACTAATGACGAAATTCAATTTCCTCGGTCTCTGGGTTGTAACTCAGCAGCACGCACCTCTTGATATTATTGAGGCTTATCTGAAAAACAACCACATCTTTATTTCTTGCATGGACTTGCGGTTAAACGTTTACAATTTTGAAAGACTCAAGACTCTGAAATCAGAAAGCGTTTACTTTTAAATGAATCTTCAAAGGAAATCTCAGAAGACTATACAGTCATCATGCCAACAAGGCTTTGAATCTTGGGGTCAACCAAAGTGACTACAACACAACATTATCGATAGAAGAACCTACCTTGTGCACATTAATCGAGGGAAACATGTTCTGAAACATGGTGGACATGAGTTTGACGTGCATGCCGTCGGATCCAAAGTTATTGAGGATGAGTAGCGGATGGTGTGTGAACTGCTGCTCATGCATCCGGTGCTTCTTCAGAGATGAAACCACATCTTTTACAAGAGAGTACTGAAAATAAATAAAACGTTAAAGAGTTGTTTAAGAGGCATAAATAAATTAGGCTTAAACATTACATTGACAGTTTGGGCACATCAGTGCGTTTACTTTGAAAACATCACCAACAGTCAATTCTTAAAATGTCATCATCTGAGCCCAACCGTCCATTGTACTGGCGTTTCAACCATACGGTTCATGTTTTTACCTTGAGGACTTTGAAATGAAGAGTGGGACCTTTGGGAAGTCGAGCAAGTCTCTGAAAAGGCAAGAAATGTGGTTCAGGCTTTACGTGGTAATAATGGGCCTTCAGTACCAGGGCAGCGCTTAACGTGAACGTACCATGTTGACGGAGCTAGGAGTCCTGCTGAAGATCATGAAGTGGGTCACTCCAAGTGGTCCTGCAACAGCTACAAAGTCTTTCAGCACATTCTTCTTCCGAACCTGTTTTTTTTTATTTTTTTAAAAGAGCAAAAAAAAAAAAAAAAGATCAGACACAGTGAATGTGACTCAGCAGGATACGGTGATTATAGTTGGGAAGTCTTTTACTCCGATGTTCAAATAAAGCCCCTAATAACCAGTTGTGTGGCCATTGGAGGCGACCGTACGAGTTTCCAAAGCACGTGGCCCCATCGAGGAGAGTGAACGGTCACATCAGTGTCTGCTAGTTGGACAAACCTTCAGAGACTCCGCGGTGAAGGGCTCCATGACTCTCCGCACATCCACGATGAGCCGACCCACGTTTTTTCCAATCAGACCCCGATGAAACACGAAGGAGTGGGGAACTGCGGAGAAGATCTCCTCGGCCACATGGTTAGCTGTGGCTCGAGATTTCTTCTGGTTCTTGGTCTAAAAATCACAAAAAGGGATTAATTGGATTGATTATTGTGAAAAGAAAAAATAGCGTTTGACTGATTCGGATTTGAACTATGATACACTTAAAGTTATTTTAGCCAAGATAATAGCTAACTTTCCGGATAATCCTGCTCTGATATTATCACAAGTTCACCATCACTTTTACGTTCAGTAGGTTTCACTTTGGAAAAAAATCTGTTCATATGGTCACAACAGAACAAAGATTAATCTTAAATAACGTCTTGAAATAAGTGTTACGCACACAGCATGCTAACAACGGCCTTCACTTAAGGCTAGGTTGCTAACACAGGCCTTAACTTACCTTCGATTTTCCCATTTTCAGCGAAATTAAAGGCAGGTAAGGTTATTCAATTCTAATAACATTTATTCTAACTGTACTCTATTCATGCTTTCAATATAAATTACGTTCATAATGACCGTAAAATGTTGCCACCCGCAGTTTAAACCAGCGACGATATAAACGCGTGTTCCACATGTTCTGCCGAAATGTGCAACACTCTAATGAGTCCGTGTGGCTCAAATGTCATCGTGTTCTTCTTCTGTGGTATTTAACGGCGGCTTGCATCCTTTATGTTGCAATACGGCCACCTTCTGGTTCCCAACGCTTATACTTTCCCCATCAGCCCCGTTGCCCGCAAAAAGTGGGTAAAGCGCCTTCTTCCAAGCTTACTAGACCCCCACTCTAGTACACTCCTTTTATCCCTTGTGTTTTCATTTCTTCCAGCATGTCTTTCCTATCTGAGCTGTATCTATTACAGGTGCTGTGGCGGTCTGGCAGCGCTCACAGAGGCCGGTTGAATGGTTCCGCATATACCATATTCCAAAACTTGTAACAGGTGCTTACATAACTGCTTATAAATAAAGATACATTTGTATTGATCTTAATGAGGCCACAAAAGTTTAGTAGAGGTGTAAAAATGATATGTAAGGGGGTGGGGTAGTTAAAGAAGTTGCTTTAATGATAAGCTCAAACGGCTTTTATTAATGCTTGAGGGAGTCTATACGTTGTTAACAATTACGTAACGTTATAAACAATGCACACCAAAAATACAGAAAATAGATTAATAATACATGGGTTAGGCATTGTATATTGTCTATAACAGAATAATTATAGATAGAAACAATATTAAGTGTAATTGTAAATCCTATAAAATACCAAGAATTTGATATTGTGGTGTATGAATCCAGGAAGACGATTGTTTGCAGACTACTTTACTGTAAACCTATTATGACAGTAGGGGAAACAGAAACGACACTGATTAAATATTAAATTGACACCGTCGTAATTATATACTGTGACCACTAGGAGGCGCCGCCGGGCTGAGATCCTTCTCACTGGCACCAGAGTAATACCGGTTTCCCAAGACATCCGGTAAAACGTATTTCAAAATAAAACCTCGGAGTTCATCAGAGTACTACACATATGCGGCTGTCACGTGACTTTCATGGCGTTGACGGGGGTAATTGAGACATCCTACCGCAATACTTTTGCTTTGAAAGGTTGGTCCTAAGTCGAGGAGTCTCCTGCTTCAGGCGAAACGGGAAACATTACTACAAGGACAGTTCAAGCTACTTGACCTGAACGTTTATTGCCACGGTAAATGTACAGGTACGCACTATATTCGGTCGATCGACTTGTTTTGCTGGAATGAGACTAATTATTTCAGTCGTATAAAAGAGAACGGCACTACTTTCCGTACAGTATCAGCCTGCTAGCAACAAGGTGCCATGCTAGTTAGCCACCGTTAGCATGCTAATGCCAGATTTGCAAGCAGCTAATGATGAAGTGAGTGAGTGCTGGGGGGGGGGATGGGTCCGCGTATGATTTGCGGTTTCCTCATTTAAGTCATTACCGCTGAATTACTACGAGTTGATTACTATCACTTGAATTCCACCGCCGTTAGTCCCAGATGTCACTTAACATCACCATGTTAGCAGGCGAGCCGCAAACGTTGGACATTCGGCTAAAGTTCGTCGGGCTAGCGACATCTCTGGTTGCACATCCACCGGATTTAACCCCCGACTAGTACAACTTCTTAAATGGGACCTCGCTTAGCCTTTACGTCGTGCCTTTAGTGTAGCATTAACACTAGCTAACCGGGAGCTACTGATATGCTACAGCTTCAACCCCATTTAAAGTGACTTAATCTGGGAGGAGATCTACGTAGCGGTTCCTTCCTTAACTCGTCGTTTGTCCCATGAATGTCCGCTGTGAGGACACGACCGGGCCTGGCTGCTGTATTGTGGTCGAGTTTACCCTGGGCTCTTTACACGGTTATAACTTACTGGCTGAGGCCTTAGTTTGGACTACTTTGTTAAATATCTGCCAGGTGGACACTGTCCCCACACTTAATGGGTTTAATTTATAGCAATGTTGTGCTCCCGAGTAGCCCCATTAACACACTGATACACCTCGCAAAGGGGGAGTAGTTAGCTGAACTGAGTTGTGCATTTGAAACGTGTGTTTGTTTAGCATGTCCATTTGGCATACATGTTAAACTTGTGCATTTGACCGTCTGTCTCTTCTTCCACCACGCTCTCGTCCTCACAATGTTCCTGCCTGTTGCTTTAACCGTCTTTCACTGTGCTTCTCCCCCTCCTTGGTGCAGGTGCCACCATGCGTAGTGTGCACCTCCTGGTTCCCGCCCTGCTGCTCCTCCTGGCCTTCCCAGTCTCCAGGGGACGCTACAACGATGACTTTGATGACGGCGAGGACATCGCGGACTTTGATGACAACGACTTCGCTGAGTTTGAGGACATGAACGACGATCAAGCGGCAGAGGCAGAAACTGCTCCTCCTCCTCGCGCCTCGCCGTCCTCGCAGCCCGAAGAGGAGGAGGAGGATGAAGATGAAGCCACTGTGGAGCTGGAGGATGGCCTGGATGGCTTTGAGGACTCCGAGGCACAGGTACGTCGTCTTCTGATTTTCACTAATAAAAGCATACCTTTTGACCACGTATTTCATAATAAATCCTTTAGATTAATTTATGATGTAGCAAAACTAATTCAACCTCATGTTTCCTTCAGGATCAAGACATGTACAGTAAATATGACCAGGAGGAGTTCGAGGGGATTGGGGACATGGAGAAGGGCCACTCCATGAAAGACCCCCTCATAATCCACACGGTAAGCTGGGTTTATAGTTTAGATCTTCTCCGTGTGTTCCACACTCCTCCGTCTTCTACCAACTGTGATCTGCTCTCTGCAAAGCATTTGGTGTCGGCCGAATATTCTTTGTTCAATTCATTCAATGAACGCTTGTTGTTTCTATCCAGGTTCCGGCACATCTGCAGAACAGCTGGGAGAGTTACTACATGGAGATCCTGATGGTCACCGGCCTGTTGGCCTACATCATGAACTACCTCATTGGCAAGAACAAGAACAGCCGCCTCGCTCAGGCCTGGTTCAACTCGCACAAGGAGCTTCTAGAGAGCAACTTTGCACTAGTTGGTGAGTGTCCGTCAGCGGTGTGCGAATGCGGCTGCTGCCATCGTAACAGTCGACGTGAAGCAGAGCTTGTGTTAATTGGTGTGTGCAGGTGATGACGGCACCAGTAAAGAAGCGGTGAGCACCGGGAAGCTGAATCAGGAAAATGAGCACATCTACAACCTGTGGTGCTCTGGACGTGTGTGCTGTGAAGGCATGCTGATCCAACTCAAGGTAGGACTGATGGCATCATGTATATGACTGTTGGTGTTGCTGTGTTGTCTTCAATACGCTGCCATGTAATGTTTCTTTCATTTGGTCTGCTCCAGTTCCTGAAGAGGCAGGACCTGCTCAACGTCCTGGCCAGGATGATGAGGCCCATCGGTGATCAAGTGGTGCGTATCGGTCCGTGGAGTCTGTGAAGGGGAACACGGAGTACTGGAACGTGCTTCTAAAAGTAGTGGATGTCTCCCTCTCTGTTTGCAGCAAATCAAAGTAACTCTTAATGAAGACGACATGGACACTTTTGTGTTTGCCGTTGGCACTAAGAAGGTGATGGCGAAGCTCCAGAAGGAGATGCAGGACTTGGTAAAAGAAAAAAAACTTCCAACTTCTTCACGTGAAATAATGCAAAAGTCATCATACAGTAATGCTGTTACTACATGAAAAACTGTTTCATGTGTTGTCTATTTTGGGTATTTCCCCTTTTGGGACAAACAATGTTTTTCTTTCTCCACAGAGTGAGTTCTGCGGTGACAAGCCCAAGTCAGGGGCCAAGTTTGGGCTTCCTGACTCTCTGTCTATTCTAAGTGAGATGGGCGAGGTCACGGACGGGGTGATGGACAACAAGGTGATTTGTCGGTTCGCTCGCCTCACGCACAATGTTTTTATAACCGAGGTCTTGTTTGCTCAAAGCACACCTCCCTTTATGTGTCTTTTTAGATGGTGCATTATATCACCAATAATGCTGAAAAGATCGAGTCCATCCACTTCTCGGACCAATTTTCTGGTCCAAAAGTTATGCAAGAGTAAGTAATTATGTAATCTTTTTAATCTCTGACATGGAGAATATTTAACATGAATACTTTGTCTGTGGTACTTAGTTCCTGTGTGTGTTTTATCTTTCAGGGAGGGTCAGCCCTTAAAGCTGCCTGAGACCAAGAGGACGCTGTTGTTTACATTTAATGGTGAGCGTTTCCTCTCTCATATCGTCACTGTACCTCATGACCCCTTCGTTTAACCTCGATGTTTAATGTACTCGATGTTTCTGGGTAGTGCCTGGCATGGGCAACACTTCCCCCAAAGACATGGAATCTCTGCTGCCTCTCATGAACATGGTGATCTACAGCATCGACAAAGTCAAGAAGCTCCGCCTGAACAGAGAGGTGAGCAGGATTGCAGCGCCGTGGAGCCCCACGCTGCGTCCAAATGGCCACACACTTACTCTGCGTGCGCTCTGTCCTCCCGGCGTGCGCAGGGCAAAATGAAAGCTGACCGGAACCGAGCTCGTGTGGAGGAGAACTTCCTGAAGCAGACCCACGCTCAGCGGCAGGAGGCCGCACAGACCCGCCGGGAGGAGAAGAAGAGGGCCGAGAAGGAGAGGATCATGAGCGAGGAGGACCCTGAGAGACAACGTCGCCTGGAGGTTAGAGAGGGCACACACACACACACACACACACAGTCCGTCACAGGGACAGTTGGACCTTTTTTGGGAAAGCTGCTTACTTGCTTTTTACAGAAATTAATCTGCCGTTATTCTTTTCACCCGTATAAACCAGTTAAGGCCCTCTTAATCGGGCTTTAGAGCTTCTGGTAGGGTGATGTTGGATAGGTAGCTATTTTCCCCCATTTGTGAGTTTGATGCTAAGCTAAGCCAGCTACTGCCTTTTGATGCATGATTATCGTCGACCAATCTTCTCATAACTTTCAGCTTCAAAGCAAATCAGGAGCTTCCCAACAATATAATTAAATCCCATTGAAGTAAAGCAAACAAATAACGTCTCAAATATTTCTTTTTGTTTCTTTAGGAGGCGGCGCAGCGACGTGAGCAGAAGAAGATCGAGAAGAAGCAGATGAAGATGAAGCAGATCAAAGTGAAAGCCATGTGAAGGACCTCCACAGAGGTGCTCTGCTGCTGTGGCTCAGTCGCGCTACACACACGCCCGGCGCCTCTCGGCGTGTCAACCTCCGCCGTCTCCACCACCTGCTCCACGTCCAACACAAATGACTGAGATGACTGTCCATGCCAAGTGGGAGGGACTTTTGCCTCCACCATATCACCACAATTTTTTTTTTTTTTTCTGCCCTTCGATTTTGTCAAAATTAACTTGAGCTCTGTTTGAAAGCCGTATCACTTGTTAAGCTTTTAATCTTCATCTTCTGGGAAAGAACACACTATTTGGTGGTTTTGAGCCACATTTTTATAAAGCATTGCTGTGTTTTCATTGGAAATGTATTTGCAATAGTATAACAATAATAAGGACATTTTAACTTATATCTGAGGTTGTTTTTTTGCAGGCTGTTTCTAATGATTATGCGAGCAGATGTAATTAAATGCACTGGAGCATGTTGGAGAACTATCTGTTTTCTGGATCTGATTTGAGTTATTAGGCCACTGACAAACCGTTCCATACAACCCTATAAACTGATTTACAGACCCTTTAGGAAGCAGCAGTTGAAAGAGTGAGGGTCTATAACGGGGAGCAGAATGGGTGAGGCTTCATGCTAAACTTAACTTTGAGATTGTGTCAGCAGTCTCCCCACTAGATGTGGTTACAGCTGTTTGGTTGAGAAGCTTAAATGGAATCAAGGACTGCATTTAACCAAATGTAAGTCTGTATGTAAAACCACAAGAATCCTGTGAAGTTCTTTTTGTCCCCGCGATCTAAAAATGTCACACGCCACTTCACCAGAAAACGGTTTGTTCTCAGAAACAACTAAAGATGAATGAACACGCTTAAGAAACATTAATGCCACAGAGCTGAATGGTTGACAGGTTTTTTTTTTTTGACAAAAAGAAATCAATATGTGGTGTCAAATGTTTTGAAAAAAAACGTCCTAATATGGTAGGTTGATAAAAATGGTAAAAAGTATTAGGTTAAAAAAAAGTCCACGTAGGTAAAATAAAATGACGTGGTGGGGGGGGGGGGAGAATCAAAATATATAATATATATAATGATGGGGACAAAAATTAGGTCAAAAATATTTTGGGGGGAAAAAAAAGTAAAAAAATCTTAGGTCAAAAAATGTGAAAAAAGTCCACATATGTTAGGTCAAAAATGGCCATGGATTAAAAAAGTAAAAGAATATCAGGTAAAAAATGTTTGGGAACATTCATAAAACATTCATAAAAGATTTGAAGAATGATAGCTGTTATCAGCTTATAAAAGTAAAAATACTAATACACTAACAGGTCCTGCATTAAAAATGCTAATTTGTGTAAGTATCGTCAAGACAGTGTAAGAAACCAATGAACCATCCTTATTTCATTATTAAGTTATTATTACTCTGAATTTTTTAAAATAAATAATGTATCTTTATTTTAATAATGGATTAAGTTCATCCACCCGAATAAGCTGTACTATTGGCTACCTCGCCATTGCATCACTAATAATTAAATCCGGGGGAGAAATCGAACTGCCTGAATTGTCACCAGTAGGCCCGTAGGGGGCACCTTCCTGGATTTAGATTGTTATGTGCAGTTTCAAATATATTCTAAAAATATGTAAAAGGTGTCTATTGATGAAATAACGTTATTTGTTAATACAAAATATTTTTTTATTTTAATAATTTGCACACTGCACCTCCATGTTGTAACGTTTTTTTCCTTTTGCGCTCCCTGCGTTTGAAGAAAGTGCTGGTGCGGAATCGTAGGCTGCATTCGCAAACACTGATGGCGAACAGGCGAGGCTTTCAGGTTGGTTACGCGATGGCCGCTCTCTTCACAATATATGGATTTTAGAGCGAAAACAATGGCTTCGCCGGTCGGAAAGGCGTCTTGTTGATTTTACTAAGTACCGGAATGGTAGCACCATCGTATTAGCGCGTCGATTTTGCACTAACGCCGGATCGGAGATGTCCCTTTTCTGTTAGGGTCTCAGTGTTTTTCTTGTTCGTCTCCCGGGCCTGGATGTAGCTGCCTACACTGTAGCGGCGGGTTGCTACTTTCGGATGAGCGGGCAGTAGATCTCGAAGAAGCGGGGTCTGTATTTAGGCGGAACGGAGTTCAAAACAAGTTAGTAGAGCCTCCAAAACGGGTGCACGACTTTATTTCCACAGATTAGATGTCACCATTGAGGGCGGGAGATTGCAACAAGATCAGAGTTTGACTCCCAACTTGGTGTTCATGCTAAGTTAGCATTAGCCGACGGCAGCATTAACTTGCACTAGCTAAGGCGTTAAGGCATAAGTAATTTAACATTTGTGAACGTTAACTCATGCAAGAGCCAACGATTGTGTTGCTCACGGGGAGTAGTTCGTCACCCGGTTTGTTACCAGTTACGCGAACTCTGTTTTCACGTCGGAAAACATAGTTTATTTGCTATTTGCTGGTGCAGCTAGCATGTTGCTAACTGAACTGACTAGTCAGTGACGTAACGCTGCTCATTGTTTTGACAGCGCGCGGCGTCTTAGCCGAGAACGAGAACGCCGCTATATTCAACCTGCTACGTTGTTTAGAAAGATTACTCTTTTACCGACAATTGCCCGAAAAAGTTCGGCTAACTGATGTGACGCAGCTCCACCTTCTGTCACATTGCCACCCGTTGTACAAACCGCCAAAGGCCAAACTTATTGGGACTGTAATCGCTGCAGCAATTCTCCTCATTCGTTTGTCAAAGCGTAGCTCGTCATAGCGGTGGGGGGGGGGGTCTCTACGTGATCCCCCAAACAGTTGCTGCGGCATTGTGTGTGAAATCATGGCTGTCCTGTGACACTCAGCTGTAGGATGGATCCAGACGGTGGGGCAGATTCACAAAAAGCTGTCAGTCTGCAGTGGAAGAGCTACAAACTTGTCCAGGACCCGGCAACACGGCGGGTTGCACAGAAAATCTACAGATACGATGGAGTTCACTTCAGTGTGCCGGTGAGTTGATTTCCATGTTTTTGTTCTTCTATAATATGTGTGTGCGTGTCTAAACTTGAATATTTTCAACGTGTATGATTTGAGATGAGGCATTTATCCACGGAGTAAACTTTATATACAATAAGTGTGATACATATAACAAAGTCTTGATTCAAAATAGGAATGTGCCACAAGGACGAGGGTCGCGTATGAACAGATTGAATGTAGGGTTTTAAACAGCTGAGCTGAGAGCCGGCCAGACCCCCTTCAGCCCCCCATCTCTCTGCTGCCGATCCCTCTGTATGTGGCAGATATGTTGTGAAGTTTGATTGCCACGGGAAGAAATCTAATCCAAATGTTCCCAGGACTCCGGATTTCCTCCCGTGGGTGAACTGCGGGACCCCAGACCCCGGAGACTATGGTCAAGGTATACAGAACTGTCCCTGCCAGTGCCGAAGTTAAAGGTGAGAATAGCTGGTTAACATTTTTACCCACTGCTGCTTCATATAATGGAATGACAAATTATTACTGACTTTATTCACAGCTCGATGAGTTCTATGTGGGTCCCATACCCCTCAAGGAGGTGACCTTTGCCAGACTCAATGACAATATAAAGGAGCCCTTCTTGGCAGAAATGTGTGCAAAGTTTGGTGAGGTGGAGGAGATGGAGATCCTGTTTCACCCCAAGACCAGGAAGCACTTGGGCCTGGCCAGGGTGCTGTTTACCAGCACCAGAGGAGCCAAGGACACAGTCAAGCAACTGCACAACACTTCTGTCATGGGGAACCTCATTCATGCTCAGCTGGATATAAAAGGTGAGCTTAAAAGCTTGCTCGAGGTGCCTTTTTAAAGATTTCATCAACAATTAGGCAACATTAGTAAAAAAAAAAATGTTCTCGTCCAAACTTCCCAAAAAAATGAGCTGAAATCTGTCGGTCAGCTGTCGGGACGTCCTATTAACTAACAAAAACATACACAAGCTGTCTCTTGGCGGAGACGGTTAAACCTGATGGGTCAGGTCATGAAAACCAGGATGGATGCAGATGACGTTTATGTCCGTGTTGAGCTCATTTACCAGCCCTGTATTTGTTTTTCTCTTGGTGGCTTTCGTTGATATACCCAGGCCAGCAGAGGCAGAAGTATTACGACCTGATAGTGAACGGGTCCTACACTCCTCAGACCGTCCCCCTGGGAGGCAAAGCTTTGACGGACAGGGTCGCACCTCAGGCCCCAACACAGCCACAGCCGCAACCGCAGCCCGACACGGTATCCCTCCTCCTGTCCTCCTCTCACATCACCTACATGATGATCGAGGCCTGATCACTTGATGGAAAATGTATTTCTTTCCTCTTCGCAGTCGACAGAGGTCAGACGGAGGCTCTCCAGTGAGCTCACGGGTTTGGCCGCAGGGGTCCAGGCCCTCTCCTCCGGAGGTGCCACCCCTGGCTCCGGGGATACTGGGTTCAGTGATCAGCGTCTGGACACGCCCCCGTCCTCCATAGCAGGTCCCTTCACGCCAAGCTCCTCTGCTTCCTCTCAGGGTGGAGGAGGAACTCCTTTCAGCTCCAGATCCGGGACTCCTTTCTCACAAGAACCGGGCTTCACCGGCGGCAGGTTGGTAATCACGAACTGCCGCTGAGATTGTGAGTACCAGCGATGAAGCCACAGGTTGTTAAATCCTCCATTTGTTTTGTGTTGTGTTGCAGGCATGCTGGCTACAACACTGGCACTTTGGGCAGCGGCTACCCTCCCCAGGACATGCTACCTTCCTCGTCCTCGTCCTCTGCGGTCTCGTCTACTGTCGGCGGATACAAAGTGTCTCGCTACTCCGAGGATGCACAGGAACCTTCGGTGTATCACCGCGGTCGCCCCATGTACCCCCCGAACACATCATACCGTCCCAACGAGCCGCCCTGCTACCCCCCCTACCCCAATGCCGGAGGGCCCGGGCCGCACATGGCCCACCACTCCTCGATGCCTCCGCCACCCCTTGCCGCCCAATACGATCCGCCCCCGATGTCAGAACGGGACCGCAACCGCGACAGAGACTCGGGCGGGCGCTACGGGGCGGCGGGGATCGGCTCCAGAAGGTCGTCGTACCACCACCAGCAAGAGACAAACTCTTCCACAAAGTACCATTCCCACCACTCCCATCACCACTCAGAACGCAGGGACGACAGGGGCTACCGCCGAGACAGCCTGGGCGCCCGATCAGGCGACCACGGCCACCAGAGACACCGCAACCACCACCACTCTCACAACCACCATGGCGGCGGCAGCAGCAGCCGCAGAAGGAGCAGCCACGACCCGGACAGAGACCGGGACCGAGATAGAGACCGGGACAGAGACAGTGACTACTCCAACAGCTCTGACCCGAGATACAATTCCAACTCCTACCGCTCTTCCTCCAACAGCCTGTCTCCTCCCCCCTCGTCTTACTCCGCGTTCTCCTCCTCCAAGGAGCCCGCCCCGGCTCCCCCTCAGGGATTAGATTCCTCCGCCCGTCTCGCGGCCACAGGTCTCGCAGAGCGGGGTACCCTGCCCCCGGTAGGTGCCGACAAAGACTACCACGCCGGTCACCTGCCGCCGCCTCCCCCACCGCCTCCCCCCCTCCCGCCGGCCTCAGTCATCGCGGCGGCTGTAGCCGAGACGCTCGGCACGCTGGACTTCAGCCAGGACAGTCCGACGCGCGAAGAGCCGTGGACGAAGCCCAAGCGGCGTCCCAGCACCCCGCCCGCGCCACCGAAGACGCCTCCGCCTTCCTCCCCGGCCCTCCCTTCCATCGCCTCCTCCTCTACCTCCCCGTCCTCGACCTCCCTCCCCCACCATCTTCCCTCCTCCTCCGGATCCCCGCCGCCCCCGCAACGCGACTCGTCTTCCCCCGAGCCCGATTCAACCAACGAGAGTTTACCGTTCGTTTACCACAGCAGCAGCCTCGACTCCCGCATTGAGATGCTCCTCAAGGAGCAAAAGGCAAAGTTCTCTTTCCTGGCCTCCGATGAGGAAGACGAGGAGGATAAAAAGGAGGATAAGCAACGGGGAGAGCGCGTGGACGGAGGAGAGCAAAGGGGCGGGTCAGGCACCGCAGCAGGCGAGCACACGGGTGGAAGTCAGGCGGGAGACAACGGGGAGAAGGACCACAGGAGGAAGGGGGACAGAGACCGAGGAAGGAAACGGGGAAAGGGGGGAGAAGGACGGAAGAGTCCCTCTTTACTTTCGACGACCACACCCTCCTCTTCCGCCTACTCTTCCCACCACCTTTCCCCAGAGGAACCCCAGGTTGTCCTCGCTGGGACTGGGGCTCCGCAGGAGGACTCTTCACAGGGTGGATCTGCTGATGCACAGAGCAGGACGGGAGCTCACACGCCGCCGTACAACGGACAGACTCAGGTGAGATCAGCAGCCCGCAATCAAGCTGAACGCTTCATACGGCTTTTTATGACAAATGTACATAGTTCTCAATTTGCGCTCATGTTTTGCTGAACAATGCTGATGTTGAAAGTATAACGGCTGTAAGGGGGGGGGGGGGGACCGCTATAACGTTGCATGAGCAGGGAGTGAATATGATAAGTATAGCAAGGGTGTCATTAGTGTAAATCACCCTCAACTGAGAATCATTGTTTTTTTCAGCTCAGAATGAGCCCTTCATGTCTACACAAAGTCCACCATGTTGCAACGTCATCCCAGGACAGACTAATTAAACACTGACCCCAAATAGAGCCTTCTGCCCCTTCACGTGTCCTAAAGGCCCCCAAAAGTTCTACGTTACCCAGACACGTGAGCTGTAGGGCGTAAAAGCCATCCACAGTTTGACCTCCGATGCTGCTAAAGTGGTGTCATCATGGCCTCTGAGTAACGGTACCACAGTTTTGCCCTTGGTGGCTCATTTGGAAAGGGAGGAGTGATCTGCAGGGTATTCAGCCACTGGAGCCTATGAAATGATTTTATTATTATTAAAAAAAAGATGCATCTGGAAAAGTAACTGCACCCACGCGTCTGCAAACAAAATGCTCTTTGCTGCAGTGAGAGGAATTTTTAAAAAAGGGTAGAAGAAAATAACTTCCGCCAGCAGAAAAACCAAAAGATGGTTCGCCTCCCACAGCACACTTCCTGAATCGGCAGCTCTTGTGAAAGTGCGGTTATCACTGCCGTCAACGACGTTGCCGACTAAACGCGATAACCTCTCCGTTTTCTTTCAGTCGTCCCCTCACTCCTCAGGGGAAGACATGGAGATCTCCGAGGAGGAGGACGAGGGGACCACCATAACAACGGTGACCACCCACCAGCCCTCAGTCGCCTCCGGTTCCTCGCCCTCTTCGTCCCAGGCCGCCCTGCCGTCGCAAACGACGGACCCCTCGTCTTCGTCCCCATCCGTCTCTGACTCTGCACAGCACTTTGGCACCTCCATGCACCCTCCCATACCTTCCTACCCTCCACATTTGCCTCCTCCACCCCCTCCTGGTTACTCCCTCCAGCCCCCGCCTCCCCCTGGGATTCCTCCCCTGTCCCACATGGAGCTGCACCCAGAGTACCCTCCTCCCATGCCCCACCACATGTATGACTACGCCACGTCCATGGAGCTGATGAGCCAGTACAGCGGCGGCGCTCCGATGTCCTTCCAGATGCAGACGCACATGCTGAGTCGGCTGCACCAGCTGCGCCTGTCTTCAACCAACGACAGCCCGGGTCCGGGCGAGGCTGCCACCGCCGACTACACGTCCTACCATCTCCACTCGATGCCCCCGACCCACACGCACCACCCCTACATGGACCACGAGGGGAGCGGGGCGGGTGCGCCCTACGACCAGGACCACCACTACATGCCCCACCACATGGCCTACTCCTACCCCGACCCCCACAGCACTCAGATCCCTCCCCCGCCCCACCACGGCATCCCGCCTCCCCACAGCGGCTGGCCGCCACACGCCTTACCGCCGCAGTACCCCTCTTACATGCCCCCGCCGGGCTACGGCACCATGCTGCCCGGGGAGGGAGACGAGTACCGGGCGCCGGGGGAGGAGATGCCCCTGTTGGCTGAGAATCCGCATGAGGCCACAGTGCAGATGGTCCTGGGCAATCTGATCCAGGAGATGAAGAACATCATGCAGAGGGACCTGAACCGCAAAATGGTGGAGAACGTTGCCTTCGCCACGTTCGACGAGTGGTGGGAGAGGAAAGAGACCAAGGCCAAGGTAAGGAAGATCAGGCTTTTGTGCTCGCAGTTCTGTTTTTGCATGTGACGTGAGACAAGCGGCGTCATCCGCTTCCTTCAACGTCTTATAGCGGTGACGCCCGTTCCCAGAGGCCCAATGTGTTCTGTTCAGTATTTTTCAGCCCTCGTCGGAGGGCAATCTCCTCAAGTTTGGCACAAACATTCGTTTGGACTTGAGGACAATCTGTGACTTCCTACAACACACTTTCACAAATGATACTCTTTGTTTTTTAGACAAAAAAAGTTTGTATATCAGGATCTTACTGGCTTTACCCTAGCAAGGAGATTTGTTACTTTCCAAAGCTGCCTTTACTTTTACCCCTTGACAACAGTTTGAATGTGTCTTCCTCGTTCTCAGTAGCAGCACGATGCTGCGTGTAAACGGGGAATAAATACAAATTTTCCCCCGGTTTCCTCCTCCAGCCTTTCCAGACAATGGTTAGAGGGGTGTCTGCCTTGCGGGACGATGAGAAGAAGGAGGAGAAGGTCAACCGTCCTCGGGAGCCCCTCACGTCTCTGGTGGACTGGGCGAAGAGCGGCGGCATGGAGGGATTGTCTCTTCGGGGAGCGCTGCGACTGCCGTCCTTCAAGGTAAAAGCGCCGCAGATGGTCTTTCCACGAGAAACATGGGGTCCGACATCTACACGTCGGACCGCATGCGATCACTGGAGAGCATCATCGTTTCTAAAAGTACTGGAGCCACATTTAAATTGTTGATAGTTTAGTCCTAATTACTGCAGCGTGGTTCATCTTAATATAAAACAGAAATGCACCGATCGATCACCGGTTCAATCTGAGTAACATTTGTCTGAATAAGAGCACCTCCTGTGTGCTGGTGCAATGTGAGCGAGAATATGAGTCACCTAGTTGTCAATGTTTTATGTGAACTTATACAATTTCAGCTTTCCGTAGTTATGTACGCCATCAATCATTGTTCTTGGAAAGCAAAGCAATCAGAATCCTTCAAATGTAAGTCCGCCAGTCAGAGGAAATGGCAAGCTAGGAATTTCTTTTACAAGCATAGACGTGCTGCTTTTGTGAAGTAGGAATATATATGGAAATGCTTTTTGAATAAGCTTATAGTAATTGTCAAAAAGTAGCAGATCCGTTTAAGTCGGCCAGCGGATTTTTTCCACTGATTTAATGAAACATATTGTTGATGTCCTCTTGTCCAGGTGAAGAGGAAAGAACCTCTGGAGCTTGAAGAGGGAGACATGAAACGGCCGCGACCCTCGACCCCGCCGGACGAGGATGACGAAGGTTTGCTGAGCTCATGGTGATCATTTCCACAGGAAGGTGGCTGCGTATAACTTTTAACCTGGTGCCTTGTTTCCAGCTGCCGAGGGCAGAATGCCAGAAGCCAACAGACACGGAGCTGAAAGGGACAACAAGAGGAGGAAAAAGAAGCCGAGAAATCGTAAACCTTGGGAGCTCGGCAGTGAGGGGGAGGAAACCTCGGACGGCTCCTCGACCGAGAAGGTGCTTCATCAACTTACATCAAATGTGTTTATCAAAATGCAAACCGGCATGGACACGAATGTCCGATGCAATTGGAATTTTAAAAAGTTGTATATTTCATTGATTTGTTTTTCAATATGAGCCAGAATTGGCATTCTGGCTCATATTGGACGCTAGATGGCAGCATTTCACTGTGATCTGTGTGTTGTAACGATGACCTCTTTATCTGTAGGAGGATGAAGAAGAAAGTGAAAAGGAGTCTGATGGTAAATCCCATCCTTTAATGTTATTATTATGTCTTTTATTTATTATGTTTACTCAGTCATTGCAATAATGATAACCAATATATTTTCTTTTTTTCAGACGATGCCCTCAGTGTTGATAGTGACGATGAGAGCCTCTCTTCGTCTTCTGAGGGCTCTTCCTCCTCAGGATCCTCGTCTTCGTCCTCCTCTGACGATGAGGATGAAGAGGAAGGAGAGAGGGCCGACAGTGACGGGCCAGACAGCATGGACGACTCCACCATGGACAGCACAACCGACAAAGATGCCAGGTCAGAAAGTTTTGGCGTGTTGCTAATACCTTTGAAAATACGTTTGTATTTAAGTCAACTTGTTATTGCGTCGCCGTCACATTTGCTGACATGTTTTCTTGTTTGTTTGTTTTTTAGGGAGAATCGTGCAGCTGCCGTTTCAAAGGCGGAGGTCAAAATAGGTTAGTCTGCATCATCAGCACGTAACAATGTAGAGATATTCAACATTAAAGGATCATCTTGACTTCACCTAAACCTCTCCTGTCGCCTTTCAGGTGGAGCCAAGGACAACACGTCAGACCCCACGGCAGCACCCACCAAGCGTCCTCCGTCCCCCCCGTACCCGCGTCCGTCTTCCCCGACTGTTCTTCTCCCCCCGCTCAAGAAACGCAGGAAGACCGTCTCGTTCTCACAGGGCGAGATCGACAGCAAAATGTCGAGCGCGCCACCGTCTCCGGCCGCCTCTCAGCTGGCGGGTGAATCGCTCCTCCTCTCCCCATGCAGGCCCGCCGACTCCCCCCTCGCTTCCTCCCCGTCCCCCTCGGGTCGTGCCGCTCAGGGCATCCAGCTGCTCCCCTTTGCCTCCAAGCCAGGCGAAGGCAACGCGCTCACCGTGCCCCCATCCGGGCGAGTCCACGATTCGGATGAGTCCAAAAGGGGCCTTCTGGTTTCTCCTCAGAACACGCCGCTCAAGTCCCCCGGAAAACGCGGCGCGGGCAAAGACTCGCCCAAGTCCCCCGTCATGGTCTGCCGCACCGTGCAGAACCTGCCATTGGACCACGCGTCAATGTGCAGGATGGCCTTCGAGGAGGCCCCGCCCCCACCCCCCGTCAACAAGCGGTCCAGAGGCAGGCCTCGGACCACCAGCCTGTCCGCGTCGTCCCTGAGAGAGGAAGACGAGGATGAGGAAGAAAGAGAGCAGAGGTTGAGGCTCAGAGAGGAGCTGGGGGCCACCAGCCTCCTGCAGCTGGCCTCCGCCTCAGCCACCGACCTGTCGGTGTTGGCGGCCGTGGCCCTGAAAATGGACCCTGACGCCGGGGACTCGGAGGAGACGGAGACGTCCGACGAAGCAGAGGAGCAGAAGATGGAGGAAGATCTCCTCTCCCCAGAGTCACTGGCCCTGGTTATGAGCCCAGAGGGGGTCGTTGTCCGCATGGAGCACAACTACTGCAAACCCCTTGTTCTCGCAGTGCCGTCCGGCGCCAAAAGGACTTCCAAACAGGACTCCTCCGTCTTACTCCCAGCGGACCTCAACGCCATCTCTGGGGTGCTTGAAGCGCCGGAGGAGGTCATCGGAGAGGCGCTACCGTCCAGAGGAGATGCAGGAGAATACTTATCTGCAATTGGAGTCCTTTGTGAGGCTGAGGATGTGGGCCAGGCTGCATCCCTACCGCCGCCGAAGAAGACGACTGTGGTTGGCAAAGGTGTGGAACTTGAAAAGGACAACAGCAAAAAGAGGAGAAGAAAAGACAAAGAGAACATCGAGGTTCCGCTCGCACTGAAGCAGAAGGAGCAGCCGGGCAAGAAACAGAGGAAGCGGAAGCGAGAGGTGTGTGGGACTTCCGCTTTGTTTGTGTAAACCTTTTGTGGATCTCCTGACCGTAAGTAGTGCGTCACGACTAGAGGGTTCATGTCATAACGGCACGTTCTTTCTTTTGTTTAGTAAATGTCGTGTTTCGGCATGGACAAAATTACTTCCTGTCTCATTCATGGCCAACATCTCCAATCTAGATGAAGTTATAATGGGCTTTTATTGGGGAAACCAACACGCTATATATTTACCAACAACAATATATTTAAGTAAAAACTTTTTTTAATTGGGCTACGGCCGGATGATGTTTTGCAGGCTCAAACGTTCTCTTTAATAAAAACGCTGCAGGACCTGTGCGTGTTTCCCATGAACATTAAAATGACATCTCATAAAGAATGTAACGCCGTCGTTTCGCGTAACATTTGTAACACACCTGCGCAGGACTCTGAGGAGGACGTGGACGTGGAGGAGCTCGAGTCGGGGGAGCTGTCCAGCTCCGACACGGAGGACGAGATGCTTGACGACGTGAGGAAAAGCGAGCGCCTCTTCCTGCAGGAGGCCGGGGTCACGTCCCAGCGCTGGCCCAAACCCGCCCCGGCCGCGCCCGAGCTACCGGCCAAGAAGTTCGACAACCGCGGGGAGTTCGAGCAGATGACCATCCTGTATGACATCTGGAACTCTGGCCTGGACGGCGAAGACCTGAACCTGCTACGGAAGACTTATGAAAAGCTGCTGCAGGACAACCACAGCTCCGACTGGCTCAATGATACTCACTGGGTCAGCCACACTGATATCCTTTTCAACCACTGACCTGCATCAAACGTGTGTGTGTGAGTGGAACGTACCTCTCTGTTACCAATGTCGAGAAAACCATGATCGATTTTCCGTCAATAAGTAGCTAAATAATCTGATTTAGTTTGGGTTCATTCTGCTTCGTGCGTTACCGCTCTTGTCCTTGACCTTCGGGCTGCACTGACCAATTTGCCAAATCCTCGGCGGAAGAAGAAGGCCGCAGGAGGACAGCTCCGCGAGCACGTGACCGGTTGCGCCAGGAGTGAGGGCTACTACGCCATCAGCCGCAAGGAGAAGGACGTCTATCTGGACCTGGACCTGCCCGAGCAGGTCATACGGGAGGTGGAGAATATCGACAGCTCGGTAAGCATTTCTTCTCCTGAATCTGTGATGGTCACCGTTCTGCAGAATGCTTCCCAAAGCCCTCCACATCTACCAAGTAGATTGTTGTCACCTCACTGTGATATCGTGAGATGTTGCGGTTACCGCTGCGGGCGTCTTCACGTTGAATGCGTGACTTTGATCCGTGGACATGGGATACGATCTATAAGATAAGCGATTTGTGGAAGCGATGGTGGAGAAATTCTGTGGAAAGAATCCTTACACATACCACGGGAGGTCTAGTGGTTGCTTGGTCTGGTTATTATATTGATGGATTATAGGAGGCTTGATATCCTTCAGGGATTGAAATTGCTGCAATCAGCCCACAGCAGTTTGGCTCAGATCAACTGGAAATTTGGGGGTAATAAGAATGTTGGAACACTGATGTGTCTTTTCCCAATAGCCGAGCCACACAAAACACAACAAAATGCAGTCTAGAAGTTTTGGACAATTCCATTACATGTTTATAACTACATTAGCAAAAGTAAGGAGTTCATTAGATACAACAAGACATTCACAGCTTTGTCTAAAATCCTCAATAGATGATTTTCAGCATTTAATGTTTCTATTTTCTCACAGAAAATCCTCTCCTCACTTTGTACAATGTCAGCAAGGAAAGCGTATTGGCTCCATATAACTCCAGATAAGTAGTCCGATTATTAGATGTATTCAGGTCATTTTCAAGCAGCTACTGATATTTCTGAGATGCTTCCTGTCGTTGTTTTGCGTTACTACGGCTTAGATCTTCCATTACATCTTGGATTCCCCTGTAATGTGTTTTCCACCATGGCTCAGTGGAGAAGTGTGTCACGCAAACATTAAACAGTTCCTCGGGGTGCGGTGGGCTGGTTGGCTGAATGCAAACCTCTGTGCCGTGAGTTACAGTGTCAATGACTCAACGCACAACTATCGTGGCATTTTTCTCCGGTACTCCTCCGGTTTCCCCTTCCCGGAGGAGTCTTCCCTGAAAACCTTTCAAGTCACAGATTGCAGTGTTGATATGATGATATGATATGTTGGTGGTATGTCAGTTTAATTATACAGCTGGTCACGATGCCTGTTATGAGGCCTCCTTTTCTTCAATCAGTCCTGTTATTGTTAAAACACCCGGCATTCATCCATTAAGCTGCCACAGCTATTTAATTACACACACACAAGCTGCACATTCATCTGACTCTTCTTTCATCTGTACTCTCCTCTGTTTGCCACCATCCATCAGCAACGTTTTGAGCCAATGGATTGTTGTACCGATGTTGATGGTATTTAATCCAAATAGCTTAATCCATCCTTCTATTTTTAGTTGTTAATTAAATATAATTAAATACATTTAACTGATAAGAAGCTCTAACAGACTTTAACCATTTGATTGAATTGATTTTTGGCCTCCTCACTGCGGAAGAATATAAGACCGCACCTTGAAAACCTGTTTTAATGAGTCATATTTTACTGTAAGCAGTGATGAGGCAGGTTCATCTAAATTTGTAGAAATGCAAGAGAAGCTCTTCCTCTTAACTTAATGTTCTCACACACTCCTTCCTTCCTTCCTTCTCTGTGGCTGGTTTACAAATGCAGCTCACCCACACTATCATTGCAAATGCAGGTCAAAGTGTTTTTTCTGGTTCAGCCCCTCCCACCTCGGGGGCCGCGCTGTGGCGTGCGAGAGCGCGTCGGTGGCCCCTTTGTGAAGCTCTGTTCTCTCTGTGCTTCCTGTCAGGGAGCCAACCGGGTCCTCTCAGAGAGACGCTCGGAGCAGCGCCGCCTCCTCACCGTCATCGGCACCACGGCCGTGATGGACTCTGACTTGCTCAAACTCAACCAGCTGAAGGTAAAGTGTCCCTGGCCCCCCCCCCCCCCTCGGGCTCATGGCGCTTGCAACGTTGGTGCCATGGGCCTTTTTGATTAAAAAGAAAAAAAAAGACACGTATCAGTTTAATTGTGAGCTTATTGTATGATTTAGAATATTTTTTTGCGTTTTTAACCTGCTGTCAATCGGCCCTTTCTGACAAACTGAAGCTAAATCCTCATGCAAAAAACCCCAGACGGACAAACCGATGCCTCGATCGGTGGCTTCTGTGGGACTTTGCTGATCCCAAACCAACCCTGTGTTTTATGGGGTTAGTTTGGAGTCACACAACACAAACTAGTGAACCAATTGAGACCGCAGTAGAACAGCGGGGCCCTTGTTCTGTCAGGTGAAGTGACATTCTTTGTTACGGGGAGTTTTTATTTATTTATTTTTTTAGAGTAATTAGATCGTGTTTCCCGTCAGTAAGCGCCGTCCCAAAGCGGGTTAGCGCTGTGAAAAGTTTCTGAAGACCGTGACCTTTTTTAGGCCGCCGTCCACAACAACGCTGGTACTCTGGAGCTCAAACATTTATGACATTGCGTCTGTCCGATAATATTCTTCACACGTGAGCAAAACTCTAGGAAGAAGTACTATAGGAAAAGCCCGCCACTTTTCACCGTGTTGCCGTGTGTGCAATCCAAAGAGCCGGAGCAAACCGCTTCCCTAACTTTGGATGCGATGACTATGTTTAAAACTATTTTAAGTGCATATCGGATGCGTCTGTGGATTAATCACCAGTTTGTGACCTATTTTTATTACTTGACTAATGAATTAGAGCTGTTGCTGATGCTATTAGAGATTAGATCATTATCTTGTTTCCCCTTAACGTGTCAGCGTGTTAACCAGCAGCAGCCTAAAGAAGGGCAGGGTCACATTTTAAGGTGGTGGCTGTCAGAATCTAATCACTAACAACTGAAACTGCATTTACTTGAACCAGCAGTTTCTCACATTTCAAACCACTTCATGTTTTAGATTTTTTTTTCTTCTGTTTTTCAAGACTTTTGTTACAATGAGTCTTTTTTCGTCCCCGCGCAGTACCGTAAGAAGAAGCTTCGTTTTGGACGCAGCAGGATCCACGAGTGGGGCCTGTTCGCCATGGAGCCCATTGCTGCCGATGAGATGGTCATTGAGTACGTGGGTCAGAACATCAGACAGGTAATCGCTCCCCACAGGCCCCGCCTACTGCACATCACATCCTGTATATTGTCCCAACGGTCCATAATTGCCGCCTTGTTGATGCAAAACGCACATTTTCTTTCGCTCCCTGCTGTCGGATCGCTGAACCAACGCCTGTGCTTTTTGTCCAAGATGGTGGCTGACAACCGGGAGAAGCGGTACGCGCAGCAGGGCATCGGCAGCAGCTACTTGTTCAGAGTGGACCACGACACCATTATAGATGCCACCAAGTGTGGGAACCTGGCCCGATTCATCAACCACTGCTGCACTGTGAGTCCCGACGCCCTCGCAGTCCACACCCGTCCACAGGACGGGGGGGACGGCCCATTGCCCCATTACACCAACTAAGTTAAATCGTGTCCCTTTACTCTTTCGCACACACACACACACACACACACACACACACAGCTGTTATGTAAACTGAAAAGACGTCACTGCCGAGGCGGGTGCGCAATGTAGCATTGAAAAGTCACTCTTGCCCATTGCTCACTCCCATTAAACACACCAGGGAGACATTACATCACTCTCACCACCTCAAAGGAGAACAATGGCGGTGGAAACCACATCACTGTTTAGTTTTCTCAGCTAGAAACACTGCCACAGCTCCGTGTGTCCATATCATGTGCATGTACCTCAACGTGGCACACGCTGTTATGTGATGTAATGCTTTTCTTGTTCCTTCAGCCAAACTGCTACGCCAAGGTCATCACCATAGAGTCCCAGAAGAAGATTGTGATCTACTCGAAGCAGGCCATCGCCTTCAATGAGGAGATCACCTACGACTACAAGTTCCCCCTGGAGGACAACAAGATCCCCTGCTTGTGTGGAACGGAGAACTGCCGGGGGACGCTCAACTAGCGGACGCACTGCTTTTGTTCCTCGCTTACCAACGGACAGCTGGACCCGGTCCACCCTCCCCAAGAGTGGAGCTGGAAACAAAGGCGCCCCCAGACGACCCCTCCCCCTCGTCCCCCTAACCCCTCCTATCCTCACAATGCCCAGGAAACGGAGAGACACACACACTTCCACTTTTCATTCAGCCGGCCATTTCGTGTGAGTGAGAGGCTTGTGTGCGTGTGGGAGGGAGGGGGGGGGTCAGCATTAACGTGGCAGTATTGTTTGGACTGCTCCGTGCAGCCAAGCATAGAAGGTCTTTATATTCCCACGCCTACCTGTGAGCACTAGAACATCAGTATTGTACTCCTACGTCGGCGTCATCGAACCACCGCGTTCACTCTTCCAGTGTCAAATCCCGCCCTCCCACACACACACACACACACACACATCTACACACGCACACCCACAAACGCACAGGTATATCTGACAAATTCAGGGTTTTTAAAAAGACTTTTAAGACGACAACTTTAATCAATTTGGTCTTCGGTTATGCAAGATATCAAAGCGTTAGGATTGTTTTGGAGCTCTTTTTAAAAAAACATTAATTTCATAGTATTATATTATCGCTGTTGTTTATGGTGTTGTCGTTTAGTTGCATTAGCTGTGAGTATCTTACAGCGGAATGAGCTTCAGTGTATCCTCGCCCCGTGAAACCATAATTTCTCCGCTGTGCGTTCCTCTCCTGATCCGCCACGATATTCTGTCCTTTTTAACTGTTTTTTAACCCACCGTGAATATAGGTCTGTTAGGTTGTTGCTAAGTTAAGTGTGTTTTCTTTTACAGGATCAGCCTAACTTTTTTATTTTCCTTCCTCCCGCCCAAGTTAAAGTCGGTGCTGAGAAGCCGTTGACAGTTTGTTAGGATCTCGACGTCTGGTTTTTAGTTCCATGAAGGCAACTGTTTCCTATTTCAAAAGAGGCTTCTTCTTCTTCTTCTTCTTTTCCCGCTAGCTCTTAAAAGCTTTTACCATCAAACCACCTTAGTAATTGTGTTCAGTGTTCGACTTAGACAGTGTGTGCTACACATGCTTTTAAACAGCACATTTATTTGAGTTGGTCAGGTGTTTTCAAAAGTTTAGTTTAGTAAAGTTTTTTTTTTTTTTTTTTTTTTTTTGGGCATCTTCAGAATGCGTTATTTTCAGTGTGGATTAATTCGCCCTCCCCCCCAAAAAAGACCCCATCCCTCCCTGAAAAACGGATCAGCTAAATGCAAACAGAAGTCCTGCGTCCGACCCGTTTGCCGCGTCGATGGCTGGGAGGTAGACGACCTCCCGCGCTGCACGCAGCAGGACGTTTGTGGCCCTTGTTGCGTCTCTGTTTTACAAATGGCCGTCCTCAAGTTTGACTTTAGTTTTCCACTTGTAACCAGAAGACTTTTTATTTTGTTCCCTCCCGAACAGGAGCGTGTGTGTAAGATGGTTCTTGTTGCAATGAAAGCCTTTCAGTACAAACCAACCCTCTTTAATACAGGATAAAAAGATGAAAGGAAAAAAAAATCAAAGATGTACATGTAAATATTAGAGAGGTGTTTGTTTCTCGTAGAAACACACCGACTTCAAGCTGTAAATATGTTGTTCCTTTTCCTCTCAATGAGGAGGAAACATGTACATACCTTCCATTCTTTTATTTTTTATTGTTTTTCTTTTTAATTTGATGATTATTTTAATATTATTTGCAATATTTCTCTTGTATTAATGCGTTGGACCCTTTATTAATGGTGCATTAAAATATTTTTTAAATAAATGAAAACCTCACGTTCATCTGTGACTGCGTGTGAATACGGCTCGGAGGTTCTGAGGATTTAGTTTGTTTCATGGGTTGAACGTTCTACTTAAAATGGTAAATTACAGGAAGGCGCTTGCATAGTTCCTTGCATGCACCTGCAATTTATGTATTTCCTGTTTGGAGTAGAGGAAGTAATGAAATATAGCGGTCAAAGTGTCACAAGTCATCGGCGTAAGTAGAAAGGCGATCGGTTTCCCCTCCCACCTTGGATGGTGACGCAAGTTCCCATCATCCGACTGGTAAAAAGCTCTTCATCTGTTCCAATGAGCCATGGCTTCTATTTTAGAAGTGTAGTCGTTTGAGTTGAGTCACTGTTTTTTTTTGTTTTGCTTTAAAGCTTCGGTTAGCTTTAAAAAATATATTTTATTTTTTGTAAACGGAACAAACATTAACAGAACAAGGACTTAATTTCTTTTGTGTTTTCCTATTCAAGTTGTGTTTTGCACTTCAGGGCCACCGTACTAATCAGTATTATCTTTACATATGAATTTAAACAAAGTATGTTCCCAGGTCTGAGGGAGAATTACTGTATGTAAAGTTATTTAAAGTATTCTGTTGCTTGACAGGGAGCTGTTCAGTGGTATATAAACTCACAAATCTAAATAAGATAAGGGATTGAAGTTGACCTTGTGTCATTTGTCCTCTGTTAATATGTGACCCGATGGGCTGAAATGGCCTTGACCGTTTGCCAGTCTCACTGATGTATTGTGTATGTGGCGTGCTGATAGTTCATTCAGAAGCCAAGGTCAATATCGATCAATGCGGCCGTTCATTAATCCGTTCACTAACATGTTACTTTTGCATCTCGGCACATCTTGTGCCTTTACGTTTTATAAGAATTTAAATTTAAACGACGTAATTGGGAAGATGTAAAACTGCTATTCTATGGTTGCGCGGCCACGGACCCCCTCGAGCATTATCACATATATGTAGTAACAATGTAGTACAACAACTCACCACAATATATGCTTTACACCGCGTCTTGTCATTTATTTATTTTTGCACCTTTTATAAAGTCCGACTTACCACAGAGCAGTCCACCAAGTATCGATGTCAATGCATCCGTCAATGAAGTTCTACAAAACGGTTAAAAAAAACCCAACAACAACAAACCCCAACAACAACTGGCAACAACTGTCTCCGCCTCCCGCGCGCATATAAAGCGCGCGCGCGTCGGACGGGCAGCGCTCGCGCTTCACAGCCTGCAGACGTCACACGCGCAGCCTCATGTCGTCTCTCGTGTATCTGCTCACCGGCGGCTGCGGCTTCCTCGGGCGGCATCTGCTCACGGTCCTCCTGGAGAAGGAGGACGCGCTGGCGGAGATCCGCGTGTTCGACAGAGCGGTGGAGCCCGGCCTGAAGGCGCTCGGCACAGGTGAGGCGCTCGCGCCGCGACGCAGAACGACGGCGGGGCCGCGGCGCGGTCTCGTTCCGAGCTCTTGTCTCGGGGTTAATTTAAATTGCAGCTGAAGTTAAAGCTGATTTGGCTCGTGTCTTGCTGCGTGGAGACCGGCTCTGGAAATTTGACGGAAGATTCTCCGACATAAAAAGAAAAAAAAAGAATTTCCGTGGTGGGCGAAGGGTTTGCTGCAACTTCTTTTTTTTTGTTTGTTTAGTCATTTGCATGTTTTGTCTTACGGGTTTACTGTGGCACTGAAAGAGACTATGGGTCCCAGGCTCTGGATCCCAACCAGGGGGGGGGGAGCTGGTGGAAGTTGGCAAGTCTAAAACAGCTACAATAAATGTAATCCTGCCATGTTGTTGTATAGGAGGGCCAGGGGCCCTTTTACACGCAAGTTTCCAGGGCCATTGTCTGCCTATCGGTCCACCAGCGGTGGGTTTTTTCTCATTCAGTAACCCGATGAGGGGCGATGGCTCGGTTAGAGCTGAATTCCACGTACAGGCGTGGAAAGAACTCCTTTCCATCGCATGCTGAAAGCTCTGGGTCACTGTGCAGATTAGACATCTGGGCTGCGGATGCAGGATTAGAGTTATATCAGAGTTAGATTGACTCATTCATGTCAATTTGAACTCTAAGCTGGTGTTTATATGTTGTCATGTCAGTGTTAAATCAACACAAGTGTTAACAATTTAACTCGGAATAAGTGTCAAAAGTAAATCTGCTCAGTGTTAAATACACTGTAGAGTTAAACCCAACACCAAGAAGTGTGTCACTGGTGTACAGTTACATTTTAAACGTATCAAAGAGTTAATTTAACTACCAAGTGTCACAAATAAATCCGATAAGTGTTAAATACACCCTACGTAGAGGTAAAAACCCAAGTCCTTGACACTGCATAATGACTCCAGCGCTTTCGTACAATTGACTCTTAACAGTCTTTTTGCAGTGCGATTTCAACCCTGCACTTCAACTCTTTTGCCTAACACCGGAAAACTACACATTTATCTGCGTACACACGTCTTTCCGCCGTCCCGTCTCTGTTTACAGTTTCTGTGTCACCACCTTCTGTGTTGTGACCTGAGGCTGTTCTCGCATGTTTGGTAATCCTTTTTCCTGAGAGGAGCAGTAACCTTCAACAACGGGAACGCCACACGCCCGCTATTCGCCGCAGGGGAAACAGACTTTATTATTCATTGTCAGTCGGGACTGAGGGCTGTTAGTTTCTTTGCTCCCCTGACAGATCAGGTGGCCAACACTCATTACAGACAGAAAGCACAATGTTATAATTGTGTTTTCCGTTTGAGATTTGAGCTGATTTTAAATCGGTGTGACGGTCTGTAATTTAAATGCTGTAATTGGTACAGTCACATGGGGAGGTTGGCAGATGGAGTGTCGCAGTCGCCACAGGATCGCTGACCCGGTGTGAAAAAGGGCCAGATCCGTTGACGTGTTGGCTCCACAAGAGATACTTTGTCTCCTCGTTATCTGTCAGCATTTTGAAAACAACTGCCAAGGCCAACCACAGTTTAAAGTCCTCCGTAAATGATCAGCAGAATCAGCATCGCTGGCAGTGTGAGAAGATACGTATACGTTATCATTTTAATAATGAATACAAATTCAGCACAGTTGTGTAATAATGTATATTGACATTGACAAGACGCTTCAGATAATCTGCAAACATGACAAAACGCATCTTTGATAAACATCAGTAGTTGTTTTGGGATTGAGAGTTTTGTCATTAGCGAACAGAACAAAGTGAGTTAATTCTTCCCGGACTCTGTCCCACTCTGACAAAGACCTCCCTGATCCAGGATCAGATCCATCACCGCCGCCACAGACTGACCGTCTTCCTGTTTCTCCCTCAGAGCGGACAAAGGTGGTGGTCATCCAGGGTGACATCACCGACTATGGCAGCGTGCTGGAGGCCTCCCGGGGGGTCGACGTCGTCATCCACGCGGCCAGCCTGGTGGACGTTTGGCACAAAGTCCCAGAGGCCCTCATCCGGGCCGTCAATGTCGCAGGTGAGGCTTCGGGGGAGTGAGGACAGAGGGAGGACAAAGGCGTCATTCTGTGTTATTCGTGTTTTACTGCGGGAAAAAAAAATGAGGAAATGAGCCTTCTCCTGTTTCTGGAGTAGTTTCAAGGACGGGACATCAGTGTTTGCAGTAATTAGGGTGGGAGGTACTGAGACAAGGTCGGCTGCTGTGTTGCTCATCTCTGCAGCGGAAGCCGTGTTGGCGTTTCAGACATCAGTGGGTGGAGTACAAACAAAAGATGGATGAGTCATTTTTTTAGGTTTATGAAAGTTTTAAGGTTTCATAAACATGAAAACGCACTGTGAAAGGGTTGAAAATTTAAAATACACCCAATGCCCAGATGGGCAATGCCGTGGATAAGACCTGTCAATCACAACGTAGCCCCGCCCTTAGACATACCAAACTTGACTGGCTACTTCATTTAACTCTGAATGGGACCATGATTCACTCAAGATTGTCGATATTGAATCAGGAATCAGGAAACATTTACCAAAGTATGTCAGAATTTGACGGTTGGTGCATAACAGCTAGACAGTTAGACAATGGACAATAAGACAGATAAGACAACATAGTGCAAGAGCAATAAAATATGAGCCGTGTGTTGGGGGCTCTGTTCTCTTGGTCCTGATGGACCTCGGCCTCCTGCCAGATGAAAGTGGCACACACAGGTTTTGTCCGGGGTGAGAGGAGTCGGCAGCGATCTTTTTAGCCCATAAATCTTTTTGAGCCCATAAACTCATGTTCATTGACATATATGATATTAATAGGGTCATTTCTCACAGACCTCCGTACGATCGGACTACTTTTAGCCACCGGAGGAGTCGCCCATTAGAGAGAATGCAGGTTTTAGGCTCCTCTGCACCGCCTTGAGTTTTCTGACCGATCCGGATTCTGCTCACAGGCGGTGATAAACAGTTTACATAATCAGTGACTGGGTTTATGTTTGCGGGTCGAAGCTATAGTCGGTGTCTTGCCACAGAAAGTCATTAGTGATTCAGCGCGTTCGTCATCCGTCAGAGTCAGCCGAAGGAAGCATAAATAGCCTTTTCCCTAAATACAGAGCGGCAGGAATTGACCATATAAACTACTCACTCTTAGGTTGTTTGAAGTACCTTCTTCCTAACTTCCTAGGCTAGATAACATTTAAATACTTGCACCAATGTCATCAAACATCCACAGAAACATAGATTAGTCCGTCTGCGTTAACGCGTCGAATCTGGGGAGGGATTTGATTTTGAAATTTCCCCCGTCTCAAACCTACACTCCTTCCTCCTCCCAGAGTTAGTAGGAATTGGAGGAAACTTGACTCTACGCTTCGAGAGAGAATTATACAGTTTATAGACTTTGGTTTCCAGTCAGTTTATTTAACTCGTGACTTTAAAGGCTCTGCGATACAGTACATACCAGAGACTTTAATCTTCCTGTGAGCTGAACTGTGGCCTCAGGTCTCCAGATGGCGCCTCTAGAAATAGATGGTTGCTGTACCTTTTTTAAAAAGAACTGTATATATGAACTTGTATTTGGCAGGGGATTTCTTGTGGAGGAACATATTGTTGTACATTGTGTTAAGTAGTAAGATCAAACACAGCTGAGTTAAGCACTATAAAGAATAAAATGGTGATATCCTAATGTGTGTGTGTGTGTGTGTGTGTGTGTGTGTGTATACATATGTATACATATTATAGAAACCGAATAGCTGGGAGGAAATGTGCACGGAGCCACACCTAGTTTCAATTTAAATAAAAAGTTACCAGATTCCTCAGAAATCGTAGCTGATGGATGGGCCCAACATATCCCAACTTGTGCTGGCGGAACTGAAACTGTCGCACGCACGCACGTATTCTGGCTCTGCCTTGAGTTAATTGCATACTGGAGTCTTTGATTCCAACAAGACCCAACTAATAGCTTTTAAACATGCTACTCACAGCAGCGCTGAAGGGTGTAACTATCAGATGGCTGCAAGCGGATCCGCCTACATACGATATATATATATATATATCAGGCGTTTCCTCCGACGTGTGCATTCATCGCCTGATTGATGAAACCTTTTGTTCTTTAAAACAGGGTCGAGTTGCATATTTTAACATCACATTTGAGAAAACCCATAAATAATTGTCTCACGGGCGTAATCGACTGAATGGTTTGTAAGTGTTAACACTCAATTGGCATTCATTTAATATTCTTAAGCGATGTCATTAGGTCTGGTTTTGATCTTCAGCCCAGATGAAACCGGGCCGCCTGCGAACTTAAATAAATAACGTTTATTAAAGTAGTTATTGTCGTGCACCAACTTCAGGACTGTCCTCGTTAAAAAGTATTTCCTCCCCTTTGCATTGACGTCTTTTCTTTTCACCGGCGGTTTACTCTCACATAATTGAGACCAGGTTTCAGAAAATCACGTTTTCTTTTTACATCTGCTAACGGCACACACGTGTGTGTGTGTGTGTCTGTGTGTCTCTCCTTTGAAGTCATTTCTTGTTGACCCTCTCCTTATGCTTTCTATTACAATTCAAAAACTTTCATCCTGTTGTCCTGTGCGTGCTTTTTAATTTAAATTTACAAGAGTGATTCCCGAGGCTTTGAGGAATTACGCAATGTAATCCCGTCCCACCTACACCTGACACGTGACTCAAGTAAGTTTTCTCTCTGCTCAGGAACGGAGAACGTGATCAACGCCTGCGTTGAGTGTGGCATCCAGAGCCTGGTCTACACCAGCAGCATGGAGGTGATCGGCCCCAACGTGGACGGAGACGCCTTCGTCAGGTGAGCCTGAAGCTCGCTGTTTTCTCATGAATGCCCCATCAGGGAAAGCAAAGGTCTTTTTAGCGTAGATATGATCGGGCGGGGATGAAATTACATCATTTTCAGCAAACTAGTAGCATACAATCATGGGGCTTTCAGACTCTCTGACTACCTCACTGTTCCTCTGTGAGGTTTGTTATTTGACCGGCTGGTATGTTAGAAATGTGTTACGTAATGCTTCAATCTCAAGAGACGCTGGAGCAGCTGTCTTGTTATTGAAAGAACAGCTGAGAGGAGAAAACTCCGAGCTCCGATACCGTGATTCCCCACGACACAAGCAGTGTCCATTAAATCCAATGGCTGTAGTGATATTTATGCATAATGGGCTGTGCACATTTATAGTTGACAGAATTAATTGTTATTAAATGTTAATTTCGTCTTATTTCAGACCACAGTCTGCCTTTTGGCACGTCAGGTTACCATAGTAACTGACCAAGAGTTTGAGTTACCGGTTTGCTGGTTCTCAGTGTACCTGAACCAGCCTGATGAGTGAGTCATGACTCCTCCGGTGATTCTGTCTGCAGGTCCCGTGTTTGTTGATGTTCACAGCTACGTGTGTGATGGCAAAACCAGTTCTGGGATTCGTCACAAACGTAACATTGAATTTTGCTGTTTTTTTGTTTTGTTTTTTCAATCCAAAAAAGGGCAACTATTTTGATAAAAGTAGCAAAAACATCCAACTATAATACGGGCTTTGGGTGTGGGTCAGGACATTCTTCCAGATGTTTTTTGTTTATTTGTTTGCACGTTTTGTTCATGAGTCCGTGCCTGGACCTCAGAATAATATTCAAAGAATGGACTTTTGGCATCATCGCCTCAGGAACGCTGGCTCTGCCAAGCATTCCTCTCAAACGGGGAGGCGAAGAAAACACTACCTGCTTTCTGTCTGTCTCCCCTGACTGTTAATCTCTCTGCAGGGGCGATGAAGACACGCCTTACCGGGTGAAGCACACCATGGCATATCCCCAGAGCAAAGCCAAGGCGGAGAAAATCGTGCTTGAAGCTAACGGCACTAAGGTACTTTAAAAGCACGTTTTTACCAGAATATTTTTAAAAAATACAATGCAAAATATTTGATTTCTTAACATAGGTTGCCCTTTATGCCCCTCTCAGGGTTTGGCTTCTTCATTTTTCATTTTTGCAAATCTTTGCTGCCTTTTATTGGAGCACTGCACTTTTTAAAGACATTCTTAAAAATCCCATAGCATTTCATTTAGGAAAATAATTTCAATGTTCGCTCAATTAAAATAGATTAAAAAAAAGATCTTGTGTATACTATATTGACATTTAAAAAGCAATTTATATATATATATATATATATATATATATATATTACATATATATTACATATATTAGATTTATCATGTTTGACACCATCTGAGCAACAACAGTTAAAACTGGATTGCACAGTGAGAAACTGCTGGGTTTATTTTCGCCGTAAAACATTATGGGGAAACTTCTTCGCCACAAAATTCTAGGTCATCCCTCTGGCATTGCAGTGATGTAACTCTTATTTAGAGGAGGATTACACAGAAATGTTGCCTTTAACCGCTCTGTCTCTCTGTCTGTTTTTGTTTTTTCTCCCCATGGCTCCTGATTTCCCAACTCTGAATCCTAATTTTGTTTGTCTCCCGTCCAGGTGAAAGGTGGGAAGTGTCTGTACACGTGCTCTCTGAGGCCGACGGGGATCTATGGAGAGGGGCACCAGCTAATTAAGGATTTCTACACGCAGGCTGTCCAGAGGGGGGGCGTGGTCGTCGGAGGAGTCCCGGAGGACTCAGAACACGGACGGGTCTACGCAGGTAAGACTACAAGTGTGATTCGGGACCAAATCAGTGAAGACACATTGAGGATAACCTTTTGTAACCTGTGAGGTGGAGAATTTTATACCCCGCTATTTGTATCATAAATAAGATCTAGCGTTGATAAATCATCTCTATTTACCATCCAAATTCACTATTGCATCACGCGCTGTAGATCTTGTAATAAGCAGGCTGTATTCAGCCGCACTTGCGTAACTTTTGTAAGGGAATTACATGAATATTAAGCTGTTTAATAAGTATATAATATAATAATAAAAAGTTGGGATAAATATGTATTTTTTGCATTTTGAGAATAAAGTTGAAATGTCAGTACATCCGCTAATGCCATCAGAAAAAAACAGATTGGCTGGACTTTTTGCGCACTTCTTCCATTGTGCGCTCTGGTAATTACTCACTTGTTTGCGTTATAGGCAACGTGGCCTGGATGCATATCCTGGCGGCCCGAGCCCTGAGGGACCGCCCGCAGACGGTCGGCGGTGAAGCTTTCTTCTGCTACGATGACTCGCCCTACAAGAACTACGAGGACTTCAACATGCAGTTCCTCTCCACGTTCAACTTCCGACGGGTGCGCATCCCCTCCCTCGTGCTCTGGTTCATGGCCGTCCTCAACGACGCGCTGCGCTGGATAGCGGGCCCGTTTTACAACTACACGCCGTTGCTGAACCGTTACACTTTGGCCGTGGCTTGCACCTCCTTCACCGTCCGCTCCGATAAAGCCCAGCGCCTCTTCCAGTACCTTCCTCTGTACGACTGGGACCAGTGTCGCAGCCGCACGCAGAGATGGGTTGACACGTTTTCTGCGGGTAACCCCAAAGACTCCTGATGTGACCTCGCGCTCTAGAAGCAGCCAGAACTCCAGAAGTACGCCGCAGGGTCGTAACCTGCGGAGAAGAAAGGGAGACGGTATTCACAGTATGAAGTATATTTAATTGTATTGTTGTACTTGTGTAAGTCTAGCAGTTACTTAAAGAGAAAGCATTATTATTAAAGCATACCCTTTTTGAAAACTACTATTCATGATTCAAATTCTAGTGGAATCAGTTCATGTGGGTTTAGTAGAACTGCCAGGAACTACGCTTTCCGTTATTAAGAATTATTCAGGTATCAAACATTTCCACGTTAGCATTTGTAATTATGTAAATAATGACAAATGTAAAACAGTTTACAAGCAATTCCTGGACTTTATATAGATTGTATTTTAGTAATATATTATTCTTCATATCATGTTTTATATTTCTTAATTTAGAATATGTTAATGTTTATTTTTTTTTGCTGAAATGTACCATGATAAGTTTCTTTGTGTTTAATTTTCAATAAATATGTTTAATATATTTCAGAGGGCAATGCTGGTTCTATTTTACACTTGATTTACTTACAGGGAGAGGTTCCTTTCTTGTTTTTCTTTCCTGAGCCGATATTGTAGTTTGTTACTATGTAAATCATAAGAACAGTTTCTGCAGTTTCTGCAGTTCTGGAGCCCTGATTCTTGTTCCTAAATAATTGGTTTCAATATCCATGAGCATGTGTTTACTTTCCATCTACAAATGGTTACTGGGTTCCCCACCTTTGGATCACCATGGTGACTCAGTCTTGCTCGCTGCTTTTGTGGAAACTTGTCGTCAGGCTTGATGAAAACCAGCTGGGCAACAATATGGTTGCATGAGTAAGTCTATGGGTGTTCCCTTCTACGATGTTTCTGGTGTCTCCCCCAATCTTGTTTTTTTTCACCATGGCAATCCTCTCAACAATCACATGCGTGCTAGTGTGAAATGAAAACAGAGAAATGAGTCACCAAAGCTATGATGGTCTCTGAAACAAAGCAGTTGAAATTGTCTAAAACCAACAGCGTCATGTAGGTTGGCATGTATGTGCATGTACGTGATGGATGGATGTTTATGGTTGATCAACCCCCATGAATTTCTAGGTTAAATTAAATGGGATTGCGCCATCTACTGGTGCTATATAAAAGTAACGGTATAGTGAAACATAAAGAAAACACTCGCCCTTCAATACGTTTTCATTAGATCATATTCATTTAAACTGCATTGCTGTAATTTGGGAAATGTAAGTTTTTCCTGTTGAGTAACTCCATGGTAATAACATCTTCAAGTACACGTAGAGTAAAAATATTTGATCATTGATTATGGTCAAATAAAATAAAATCTGTGGAAATATTTTATTCTCAAGATTAGCAAAAATACTCTTTCAGAAGTAAAAGGCATGAATTTCAATAGTACAAACATACAAGTAGAATGTAGATAGACCAATCTCCTAGTCATACATATATTTAGCATTGGAATAAAATTTGTGATGCACATAACATAGGCATCATTATTAATGATGCAAATGTTAAGGGTGGGGCTCATCTAACAAGTGTTAACTTATATACAACCATATTATTTATAATGTATATGTATTAATTTGTTTATTCCTATTTAGCATGACAAATCTTAATCTGTAATGTAGTAACTATCAGCTAGGCCTAGGACTAACATATTCAGAATAAATGCAGCGGAATGAGCATAAAATAAAATCGAACTACAAATATAAAGCACGGGTTTATATAACAACATCAAAAATAAATGCGGTAAAGTGCGGTACTTAAGTAGTAAATAAACCTAGTCACCATCAACCACTGCGTATGATGCGAAACACATCGGTTCTATTCAGTCACATAATGCGCGCTGTGGAAGGGAGGCTCCTGTGCTGGTGCGTGCGTGTGCACGACGACATTGACGAGTACACGCACGTAGCTGTCAGTAGGAAACGCAGGCTGCTGGTGTTGGATGTACCCCTGCCGCGCTGCTTGGATGCATTAAAAACAAAGAAACTGCGTTTTGTTTCACAATGAAAACCATTCTATAGAAGTTCACTTGCATTCGGCGATAATTGTCGCAGCAAGTCCGCATGTCTAACACAGGTAACCGAAACATTCGGCTAGCCAGCTAGGCTAACAGAAGCCCAACGCTATCCGCGCTAATGCTAACAGCTACAGTGGGCTAAATAAGCTAACTTAGCCAGCGAGCTCGCCGATTGCGAGACGTCTGCGCTTCCAGGTTGCCACCCGGTTCCGCGGTGCCTGGACCCCGGTCACGCCTTTTCGTCGCACTCCATTTCGCCGAAGAGGTTGCGGGACGCGGAGCAGTGGCGGGGGGGGAGCGTACGGCTAGGAACCCCCTGGCCGTCCAGGCGGACGGATCGCGGTGACACCGCCGGTTTGTTGGTGAGTTGAGCAGCCGAGCTGAAGTTGTGGTTGACAGGGGGCGGCGGGGTGGGCAAGGCCGGGGACGCTGTTCGGCCAGGGGCCCGGCAGCAGTCGGGGAGGCAGGAAGAGAGGGTGTTTGGCTATTCGCTAGTTAGTAAACCGCATCGCTCCTGTGTGCTGAATCGGGAAGTTGAGTCGCCAGAAAGGCCTCTAGAGAGGATGTAACAACAAAGTGGCTGGTGTTATTAGCTGCTAGCATGCAACCGATAACGTTAGCTGCCTGGCAGCCGCACCACAGACGCCAACCTGCTTCATCAGCAGAATACTGGCTTACTATGCTCACCGCATGTGCTTTGTTGTCAGTTTATATCTTTGGCAGAAATCATCGGCGAGGTGTTTGTGTGTCCGTGGCTTAAATAATGTTAAAGCGTCAAAGGTTTTTTTTTTCTGGAGTAAATCATTGTATGCCTGATATTCAGAATTGTATGTATTTTGAGATGCAGTTTCCGATGCATGCTGTCGTGAAGTAATTTTACTTTTAATTTTAAAAGAGGAGTTTTAGCTTGATGACATGTTTTGCCGTTTCAAATAAAACCAATCACATTCAGTTCATCAGTAGGCTGTCAAGAGTTCTCCTGATATCAAAGCATGCTGCTCTTCTTTGGCTGCTCCTCTTCTTCTAATCTCTGATCCAATTTTAAGAAGAGGAACTCCTCACAGACACTTGTGTGATCTGTTGCATCCGGCGCCGACCTTTTAATGTCCGGGTCATGACGGGTTGCTGAGAGGATTTGCAAAGGATTCAACTGGTATTTATTGACAAAGTGATGCCCTCTATTTAAAGAAAACTTACGTGTATTTTTTTTTATTTGTAAAGGAGAGATCAGGGAGGAATCATGGCTGAACTCTTCACCCTATCCCCATCACCCCCTGCATTGAGTGACCCTCATGCAGTTCCCTCCATCCCTCCATCCTCGTCGGTGCACCCTACTACCAACAGCCCGGCTCTGGACAAGTCCGCTCCCAAGTCTTCCCTCTACAATGACAAAGCTTTGACTGGAAACAGTCCTGCTGCACCATCAGGGGGTTCGCCCTCTACCCCCCTCCCATCTTTGAGTCCTCCCGAACTCACTGCTGAAACGCCTCTTACATCACTGGTACGCGAAGCTGCTCCACAGACAGACGCCTCAGCAGGGAAAGATGCAGAGGTCGGCGCTCGTGTTGCGAAGCAGGAAACGAGCACCGACCCGCCGGCTGGAGAGCTCTTTAATACTGAAGAAGAGACCCCGGCACTGTCAAGCGAGCCATCGGCTCAGAGCGAATTGCAACAGGCCTCCCCCTCTCCTGATCTCAATCCTGGTCCTAATCTCTACCCCAATGTGCATGTCACACACAATCCAAATCCTGTAATGGATGATGGTCAATTTACAGCGGGCCAACCACAAATTGCTGCCGCTTCCGATCCCGCGCCCGCAGAGTCCAGTGGCACGGCAACATCCGCATCAGCTAAAGCCGAAGAGGAGGAACCTCACCCACTCCCGCAAGCACAAGACCCTCAAAGCCAGCCTCCCCCCATCTCCCCGAAGCCCTGCACCCCAAGTGAAGCAATGAAAGCACAAGACCCTCAAAGCCAGCCTCCCCCCATCTCCCCGAAGCCCTGCACCCCGAGTGACGCAATGGCAGCACAAGTGCCCATCTCCCCCACCAGAGCCGAACACCCCAGTCCGACTGTCCCATTGATCCAAGAGCCTGGCCCCGGCTTCACGCTGCCCCACCCAAAACCCCGGCCGGCACCTGACACCCTCAGCTACCTGGAGTCAGCCAGCATGATGTCAGGGACGTTGGAGTCTCTATCTGGGCTGGGAGAGGACGGCAGCTCTGTGGGCTCTGACTCAGAGATAAACGGCATGTCGGTCAGGCGCACTGATAAATATGGCTTCCTAGGTGGGAATCAGTACAGTGACACAGGGTGAGTATTATGACACTAACTGAGGGCGCTCCCGTCCACTGTGCAAAACATTTATCCCTGTATGAAGGCATCACCTCGAACAGAAAGGTTTTTAGATATTCTGAAATTTGAGACGGCTATTCAGTTCTGCTTTTTTTTTCTTTTCCGTTTTTTCTATGTAGATATTAAACTGTTTGCAATATGAGACACCATCAGATTATGGCCACTTTTTAACGGCCTCATCTCATTCACTCTCAGTCATACATCTGCTCCCAAAGAGATACTCCTCTCTGTCTCCCCCTCTCCTTTCTGTCTCCTCTGCTGCTCTAAAAATGTCCGTTCATCCTTTATCTCCCCTTGGTCTGACTCAGATAATGCTGAGAGCATTTTGTGACTCAGTATGTACTGACAGTGTGTCTCTCTGGTATCAACCCCAACGTCCATCTGCTCACTTCTTCCCTTTTCTGCCAGATATGCTTCTACTTTTCTGACAAGCTAATTGCTCTTCCGCTGTTGAATATTTAAAAGCATTATTGATTTAGCGTCGCTATTAGCAGTGAATTCTGGTCAATGCGATTTCGGTATCGGAGTAATTTATCATAATGTTGTGCAAATGTAAGAAGGAAAGTGAGGTAATTTATTTGTGCAATTAGATGAGAAACATATTGTAGTACAATGTTTAGAGGTGCGAAAAGTACTTCTTTCCTCAGGAATTTGGTCATTTCTTTATATTTTTTTGCAGAGAAAAGGATATTCGAGTTGAAGTGGCCAGACAAAGGGAGGTCAAATGGCTGGATATGTTCCACAACTGGGATAAATGGATCAAGCATCGCTTCCAGAAGGTAGGCATCAGCCTTCCAGCCTTGTTTTACGTAAACTTGGGTTGGTGATACTTGACATAATGCCAAAGCTGACACCCTCCGTGTCTTTATGTGCGTTAAAGGTGAAGTTGCGCTGCAGGAAGGGGATTCCATCTTCTCTCAGAGCCAAAGCGTGGCAGCTGCTGTCCAACAGCCAAGAGCTCCTGGATGCCAACCCTGGAAAATTTGAGGTATCACCTTTAACATGTCGCCTGTTATTGATGTTATAAAAATATATTATTATTTGGGAATATGACACAAAGGGTGAATGGTATAACTTTAAGACACAAGGTGTAAGATTCTGTCTTCAATTTAACTTGTACAGCTAATTGTAGATGGGTGCAGGCCTCCATCATCGAATTAAAAACTGGACTTTGATCGACTTTGCTTGATTCCAATGCGTGTTTGCTGGGAACTTTCTTCTCGTCTGTAGCTGTGGGGAACTTCAGGAGATACAAATTTACTCATTTTCAACAACCCTACTAACTCAGATTAAATTCTCACAGTTCTGAAAGTGTTCTTCTGCCCGCTTAATTAGTGAACTTCTCTCTTTCTTTGTGTACAGATGATTCAGAATATTTAAGGACATCGAAGAGGTGACAGTACTTTGGTTGAGTAACTGTAAAGACAATCGTAATGGGCCGTTGTGGCTGAGCGGGGTAATTTCAGCTGCGGGGGAGCTAAATGTGCGCAAGCGCAGAGACCGCAAGCTGTAAGCCTCTTATCAGGACCGGTAATCCTGCCGGCCGTGCCTCCGTGTACCGGTTGGAGGGGGGTCCCGGCACTCTGCTTAGTATCGTTTGCGTTGTCTGACTCTCAAATGCGTTTTCAGACAGGGGTTTTCTGTCTAGTCCACTTTCATGGCTAATTTGGAAAACCGACTCCATGAGTTATGAAGGAATCTTTCTAAAAACGCGTCTGTCCCTTTTTGTTTGTTTGTTGCTGCAGGAGCTGGAGAGAGAGCAGGGAGAAGCTAAGTGGCTGGACATTATAGAGAAAGATCTCCACAGACAGTTTCCCTTCCACGAGATGTTTGCTGCCCGCGGTGGCCACGGGTAAAAAAAACAACCTAACACTCTTTATCAGCCGAGTGAAGACACATGACGGACAAAAGGAAAACATGCACACTGACTGCCATCTTCAGATATAGAGAAAGAAACCGAAGCAACCAAGATAATGATGCTAATTAACAGTAAATAAAATAGAGTCGTTATAATTCAAAAGCGATAATTTCATACATAAACTAATAAAGGAAAATAAATAGTATAATACATTTAATAATCATTTATTTTCTCTGAGAGGATAAGCAATCAATATTTTCGGTTACTTTTGTCTGCAGTTTTTTTCAGCTGCAGTTTTCTGTTTGCTTGATTTTTTTCGTTCCCCTCACGAGTCATCGACCGGCTCAAGTGTCGTTGCGGATTTGGCCGCCGCATTAAAAAGGTTTACACATAAATTTTAATTCCTGTTAATTTTGAAGGTTATTTACCACGTTTCTGTCATTGAATTTTTAAGTTTTAAGTTTTTAACAAAGTCAGGAAAGTATTGTTTAAGTGCAAATAGCGGAATGATTCCACTCAGTGAGGCAGACTGTTTATTATTTCAGGGCTGGTACCCAAAGCCGAGGCACCGACATGTCTGCACCAGGACTTCAAACAGTCTGGCTGCTGATTGGTGCATCCCTAATACGTTTATTGTTTGTTCCTGCAGGCAGCAGGATCTGTACCGGATCCTGAAGGCCTACACCATTTACCGGCCTGACGAGGGTTACTGCCAGGCCCAGGCTCCCGTGGCTGCGGTGCTGCTCATGCATATGCCAGCTGAGGTGAGGGGCGGAAGCATCTCGGTTCGCACGCAGTGGTCAAATGAAAAGGTTTGACCACGCGGCCAGGTTACTTCACAAAAGCGTCACAAATACTCGGACTGATTTTGAGCTGTGATGGCTTTTTGTTGCCGTCCAATGCTCCTAACAAGTCACCTTTTGTGTTAGTTGATCCCAAAGTCCCTCCGTACAGACGTCACATCAAACATCCAGTGCATGACTTTACACGAGACGGAAGAGTTTCCAACGTGAGTCCGGACCAGTGGGCTCTCATTAAGAAGAGTCAACATCTGCATGTCCGCACGTCTCGGCGTGGGTTGATTTTGTTTTTGAGTAGCGATGCTTGATCAGAAATCACGCTCTGTTTTGGCTTCAAAGCGTGACCTCACTTCCTGTTTATCAGTCTTCCCTTGGCACATTCATTTAGAGAGATTGGCGAGCTCAGTGCGAGAAAACGAAACAAAGCACTCAATTATTATAAATAGTAACCGGGGTCGCGACCAGCGGCGCTACGGACGCTTTGTGTGAGCAGACCGACACGAGCGGCAGGAAGTGCTACAAATATCAACCTCGGTGATGCAGACAGGACCCAAGTTAGTTGCTTTTGATCGGTCAACATTTTTTACAGCAAGGTTAACACACAGATCTGCCTCACTTGACAGCCTGAATTTATTATTATATACCACGCGGATTTGATCTGACGTAGTGAAACTCAAGTAGCTGCGGCTCGAGTGTCTTTATCTCCTTTCAAATCTGTTCGTTGTTTAGCAGAAGGGCACTAGGATGCTTTTTTTTGGGGGGGGGGGGGGATTTGATGCAGCGATCGGTGCAATCAGAACCTTGACTGTGCTTTGGTTCTGCTTTCACAGCAAGCTTTTTGGTGCCTCGTCCAGATATGCGAGAAGTATCTTCCCGGCTACTACAGCGCTGGACTGGTGAGTGAACGAGAGGCCTCCTTTGTCACAACGTCCTGTAAGTTTTCTCTACTTTTCTTTCTCTTTTTTTTTTTTTGACGCCATAATTTCTGCCTTCTCAGGAGGCGATCCAGCTGGATGGCGAGATCTTCTTCTCCCTGCTGCGGCGCACGTGTCCGATGGCGTACCGTCATCTCAAGAAGTTCAAGATTGACCCGATTCTCTACATGACCGAATGGTTCATGTGCATCTTCTCACGCACCTTGCCCTGGGCCAGTGTACTGCGCGTGTGGGACATGTTCTTCTGTGAAGGTACCATTCAGATCCATATGAGCCGTCATTTAACGCCAGTTGGTGTTGAACTCTTAACAGTCAATAAGATGTGTTATAGTTGCTTGAGTCTCTGCTTGTAGGGGTGAAGATCGTGTTTCGCGTGGGAATGGTGCTGCTGAAACAGATGCTCGGCTCTGTGGATAAACTGCGGGAAGTCCAGGGCATGTATGAGACCATGGAGCGCCTCAGGAACATCGCGCCCGACGCCATCAGAGAGGAAGTGTTGGTACAGGAGGTGGGTGTCTCACTGCATGTACACAAACCCAACCTGCTTCCCTTTTTTACTCACCGACACGAGTTATATGTCACGTTGCAATCATCACTTCCTCTTGTCTGTCCGACGCCTCGCCCAGATTATCATCCTCCCGGTGACGGAGACGCTCATCGAGAGGGAGTGCAACATCCAGGTGAGGAAGTGGCGGGAGTCCAGAGGGGAGCTGACGCACCAGCCCGGCCGCCGGCTCCACGGCACGAGGGCCATCTTCGAGCACAAGCGCCGCGCCGCCTCCATCAGCTCCGGCGGCAGCTTCTCCTTCCTGGGAAGCTCCATCCCGCCGCCGGGGCCCCTCAGGGCCTCCTCCAGCCTCCTCTCCCTCCCCGGCTTCCGCAGGTCCAAGGCCCCCTTCCACTCCCAAGCCAAGAAGGGCTCCTTCTCGGGGCCCTCAATGATGGAGTCTTCAAGCCTGGAGCGAGGCCCCAGCCACAAACCACCCATCCCTCACGGGGCCGTTCAGAGGGCTCCGGCCCCCCACCTCCGGAGCCCCTTGGTCGGAGGCGCATCGGGGGCATCGGGCCCATCGGCCGGACCTGCTCCGGCCTCTGCAGACCCCTCGGCAGACCCCTCGGCACGGGGCCAGCCTACCGCTTCGGCCCCGACACAAAGCGCAGCAGCACCGCCCAGCACTCTGTCCCCTTCCCCCAAGGTCGTCTCCGAGCAGGTCACGCCCACCATCCCCTCGCCCACGGCCAACAACGCCCCCCGTACGCCAATTCTAGAATCGAAAAAGGAAGTGGCGCCGGCGCCCGACGCCCCGACCGGGGAGGAAGAGGTGAAGAAGAAGCGGAAGAGCAAAGAAGACAAGAAGAAGGAAAAGGACGACGAGAAGAAGAAAATGAGGGAGAAGAAGGAGAAGGACAAGACTGAAAGAGAGCGACTGAGGAAGGAGAAAGAGAGGCTGGAGAAAGAGAAGAAGAAAGGGGGGAAGAAAAAGGACAAAGGGGGAGGAGACGTGGAGGAGAAGAATGGAGCTGCAGCAGCAAGGGATTCGGCCTAGTTTCCCCCCCACTCTTCATTCCAGGATAATGAAAAGGGACGGCGAGCCGAGGAGAGGTCAGGGAACAAAAGTCTCCCAGTCACAGAAAAGAGAGTTGTTCATTCAAAAAAAAAAAAAAAGAAGAAAATTAGAAAAATAGGGTAACTTCCTAACACGCATCATTTCAAGGACCACTTGGAGAAAACTGGATTATGGTTTTACTAGCTCCTGGAGGGGCAGTTCGACCCCTCGCTCAGTTCCCTCTTTTAGTTTCAGTAAGATGGGGACAAATTTCCTTTTTGTTCTTTCAACTGGAGCATGGACTGTGAATTACCGTCGTTATCGTTTTAGTTTTTGATTTTCAAATTGTTTCTGGTTGTCATTATGATTTTAAACGAGATGGGGGGAGGCAGTGTTCATTGAAGCACTGACTCAAAGGAAGTTGAAGTAGTTCCGGTGCCATAGAGGATGTAAATAAAAGGTCCACCTGTTAGCACGCAGTGCTCGTCTGCGGCCTGCTTCTCAAACACGGCACTGAAGGCAGCAATGCCCGTAATGTTGTTGAGGATGTATTTATTGTCCTGTTAAATGTTGTGAGTGAGTGCGTGCCTTAGTAGTGTAGTGAAATGTGTTCTCGTTCTGTGTGTGGCCTCCCTGTTTTCAGTCTCCCTTAGGCTGCTTTTTTTATTATGATTTTTTTTTTTTTTTATCCCTGAGTGGTTCTTCTTGCAGTGGAATAAACCTGAAGGAGGAAATGGAGCGATGTACACGGACGACGAGAAGGAGAACATTAAGAACACAACCGGACACCATAAAACACAGGGAGCATTTTATTGTTTTTATTTCAACTTCTTTTGTCTGAGATTTTTGCATAAAGCAGGCGCAACACAATTGGTTGCCGTGCACGAGTCCCGCAGACCAAATCTGTAAAATTAGTATTTTTGCTTTTGACAAACAAAAACCCTCCAATTTGTATTTTTTATTTAGCCGAATTTCCTGCGCGGGTAAGAACTCAAGATCACAAACACATTAGAATGTGACCTTGAGTATCTTGGAGAGAATGAAGGAAGATGTTTTGCACTTGTGAACTCGTCACAAAGCACCACTGAAGTCGACCACTCCGTTGAAAACGAGTCCACATCTGCCTCGAGGACCTATAGGAAGCCACTTGACTGGAGGCGCCAGGTGTGCCAATGTAGCATTGACCTCCGATCTTTGGCCTTCGGGCTCTGGTGTATTTATGTACAAAGTGGTTAATTTAATCAAATATAGTATATTATGAATTATTATTATTATTTTGCATCTGACTATTTTTCTATGTGAGCGAGAGACACCTGGTCGACTGGAACGATGGCGGACTACACGCAGTGTGGCTGCAGGGGGGGATCATCTAAGTGTTTTATTTTTCATTTTCTTTTCGTTGCACGCCATGTCCTTTCTCTCCTACACAACCACCTCGATGCACGTCTTTGCTATTATTTAGGTTTACTGTCACTGTTGGTTAGGTCAACGAAAGGTTTACTGAAGTGCAGTGTTAGATGGACTCGGGTACAGCGACCGGCCTCCGATGGAACAGAACAGCGAGGCGAGTTTTCCAGACAGAATTTTTGGGAGTTGCAGGTCTTAATCGTACTGTATAATATACTAAGAAGTGATTTGTGAGCTTCGGATGGCTCTTTAATTGGAGACCTTGAGTGTGTCTTGTCTCAACAAGTTGTGTTGTAACACGATGACCTCTGGACTAACTCCCTAACCTATTACACTCAGTGTTCTGTACTGTAACATATTTATGCACACATGGAGCCGCACTGAGCCCGTCAGTGTACGAGGAATAGTGCCAGGTAGTTAGCGTAAAACCAGTTGATGCTCTTTAACCGTACTGTTTTTCGTAGTCGAGGATTAGAGGGACTTTCGTCTAATAGTAGCCAACAGATATGTCCTGCATTTTCATTGTTCTTACCCACTTACTTCGGGTCTGTACAAGGCCGTCACGTAGATGTACGAACGTCCCTCCCGCCCGGTGCGTTCATTCATACGCGCACATCGGTGTAGTTCCAGTGAGGACAACCTGAACACATCTATGCAAACCGGCCTCCGCCTCCAGTGTTGACGGCGTTGCGGTGACGGCAGCCCAGAAGGCGTTCATTTTGTGCGTCAGTCGTTCTTTTTCTGAGCACACGCACACACACTCTGATTCCGGTGGACTACAGTTATTTAACGCGCAGTAGATCCTCGCAGCTCATGTCTTAGTGATGATGTAATCTCTCGTGTCTCCCAGGACTCGAGACGCCTCGATTAAAACTAATAATCTGGCCGGCTTGTGGAATCAGTTCTGAATTATATAGAAAAGAAAAAAAAAAAGCACCTGAAACCATTTCCATCAGGTCCTTCAAACAGTTCTGCATCCATCCTGAAAACGGTCGTTTTCGACCCGCTAAACGTTTTAAGAAGTTTGTTTCTCTCCCCATGCCGTTACATCTTTTGTGTTTTTAAGTTTACATTGTCACACTCTGGTGAAAGTGAAGTAAAAATCATATAATTGAATTCATTCCTTCGGATCTACAACTAATGTATTTAATTGATAATGACATTTGTGATGAGTAATAAACCATAATATATTAAATCACGTTTTTTTTGTGTGTTTTGTGGACATTTCTGTAGATTGAACTGCGTGTGCATTGTTGCTCCACTAGACGCCACTATGAGACGTTCACACATTTATTCCAGCGGTCTGGATTCCGCACGGAGCCACTGCACACAGACGCTGTTGTACAAAAGGAAAGAGATTTTATTCACAGTTTGTCCCTTTTATTTTTTACAGAGGAAAGGCTCGCTCGTGGAAAGAAAAAGGTGATTTAATAGTTGCAGGAAGGAGCGGAGGGAAAGAAGTCGAAGACTTGAATGTTTTCTTTCGGCCCTTTTCTCTCCCCTCCTCCGATAGCTTTTTTTTTTTTCTTTCTTATTTTCTTCCACTTTTCGATGAAGAAAAGTTGTCGTCGCTTTAAGGATGCAACTTTTCACTTTCTCGCCCGCAACTGCTCTCCCTCCTCTCCCCTCCTACACACCAAAGGACGCCTTCAGAAATTTGGAATGAGGTCCTCTTACTGCGTGCAGACCCCCATCCTCCCCCAGTAGTGAACCTGTCTTCTAGGAAGCAGTTTTCATTCACACACCCCAGAGGCAGGCGGAGACGTAGAGGGGAGAAGACAGGAGATGGTTGCAAGAGGAAAAAAAAAATATTTGGGGAGAAAAGCTTGTGGATGGAAATGATGTCACAGGATCCTTTTATTGCAAATCACCCCTTTTCCACACAAGCAAACACAGACACGCAGTGGGATTCGTGTACCAGTGTGACAAGTCTTTGGTTTGAGCACATTGGTTCACACGGGTGGTGAGCGAGGAGGAAGAGGAGGAAGAGGAGCGAAGGAGAGGGAAGGGAAGGCAGAAAAAGCAAAGGGATTGCTGCATTTTTTTTGTTTTGTCTTCTAGCGTTCTCTTTACTCCTCCTCCTTCTCCTCTCCGTGTGTGATGACGTAACAGATGTTCTTGTAGTCCACGTTGCCGGCAACATCTGGGGGGAAGGCGGCCCACATGTTCTTGATCTGAGGAAGGAGACGAGGGATATTCAGATACGCTCTTACCGATTTTCTCCCGAAGATATGCAGCGTGTTTTTGAAACACTGCTCCTCTGGTAAAGTTATCCACTCGCTGTCATGTTACGTTGCATGATGTATATATGTTAAATAAGAGGACGCAGTTCTCCAGTGATTTTACCTCCTCCGCAGTGAACCTGTCGCACTGGGTGGTCAGGAGCTCCTCGAGGCTGCAATGAGTCAACAGTCGGACGTTGGGAGTCAAACAATGAAGCGGACAAGTGCGGAGAACACTGACATCATTTTAAAAAAAGAGGCCGCTCACAATTCCCTCTTGATGCTCCCGGTAGCCTCGGGGTCCAGCACCTTGAAGGCGGTGACGATAACGTCCTCGGGGTCGGCACCTGGCGAGCACAAGACGGACAAACAGGTTAACCTCTGCACCGAGGAAGCACACGAGGACGACTGTGAGACGTAGAGTCAAAACTACGAGAGTCCTTTGCATTTGCTTTACCACTCGGTTCGGAAGATACGAATCCATCATATGTTATAAACTGACCATATGTTTTGTATTAAAAAATCATAAAAGTAACTATTGTTGTTGTGTTGAAAGTACAAAAGTTGCAAAATATGAATTACTTGAGTCCACTGTTTTCTTTTTTTTTTTGAACTTGTTATAAAAATGAGACGCCCACCCTTCAGTTTCTCTCCGAACATGGTGAGGAAGACGGTGAAGTTGATCGGGCCGCTGGCCTCCTTGATCATGGCGTCCAGCTCCTCGTTCTTGGTGTTCAGCTGGCCTGAACGCCATCCAAAAGACACAAACGTGGATCAGTACAAGAGAGACGTGGAGCCGCGCGTGCGCCTCCCCGCCGCGGACGCGTCCCACCGCTCACCCATTGAAGCCAGGACGTCCCTCAGGTCATCTTTGCTGATGATGCCGTCTCTGTTCTGGTCAATGATTGTGAAAGCCTACAAAGAAGACAAGCCGACTTAAAGAGTATTGTGTAAGAATAAAGACTGCAGCGGCCTTTTGGTGATCGGAGGGGAGGGTGGGGGAGGAGGGGGGGGGTGGGTTAAGGAAGCCCCGAGTCTTTCCTTACATGTTAATTTGGGAATGCATGACTAGGGAACAGCTGTCTGATCCACTCTGAAACTTAACCTCTTGAACTCGGACTCCCCTCTCGTCTCTCCCCCCTGCCCTCCCTCCTACTCCGAGGGATACGGAAACCAACCCGTCTAACTTTCCATCTGCGTAGTGTGCTAAAATCACCGCAATCATCACGTCAAACATTCCCAAAGTGCCACTGTAGGCGCCCGTATCACCTATCGCTGGAGGCACGTTCCTCCGTAACCAGCACGTATCCCCTGGCAACAAATTAAAACCCCCTGACTCCATCGTTATCCCAGCACATCCTCGTCAAACGTGTGCACAGAGGTCCAGTGGTCCCGCTTGGGCCTAAAGACGACCGTTTGAGTGACAGCTGGGGGCCGGGGGGGGGGGGGTTAGGGGGTGATGGGCGGGGTCAAAGAGGCACCAAATGTGGAGGGCTTCAAATGGCGACAGAAATTTCAGAGCTCCTCCTAATGACATTCTTGTGCTTATTGAATTGTCCGCGGAGAAGAGGATCCGCACGCCAAACAGCAACTGCGGTGAAAACGGATCCGGGAGCCGCGTAGGCGAACTCTAATTTTGGTCCCAAGTAATTGAAGCGAAACAACGAGCAACTTTAATTTTGACTCTTTACGTCCATGCGTCCCCGCGTTAAGTAGAAGAAACCCACCTCTTTGTACTCCTGAATCTGGCTCTGCTCAAACATGGAGAACACGTTGGAGGAGCCGGACTCTCCTGCTGCCTGCCTCCTCTTTGCCTTCTTTGGTGCCTGGAGGACGGAAACGAGGAGGGAAAACATCAACAAAAACCCACAGCGATGCTCCCGGGTCCCCTAAAGATAAAGCGATGTACACACTCATACTTTCCACCAAAAAGAGTTTATCCGAAGAATATCTTTCATTTTCATTGTTTCAGCCAATGAATCGTTAGAAGCATAAAGAGGTAAAACTACAAAAATGAAGGTTAGTGAAAAGGCGGATAGACAAATTGTGTGAGCACAACGATGTGTTTCTTCCCATCGATTGATTCCTCTATTTGACAACATGAGATGCACTTGGTTTGTTCTTTCAGCTCCCAGATGTTTGACTTTGTCATGCAATCTGAAGTGCAAACTAGAATTTAACAACCCAAGCATCCTTAAAACCGCAAGTATCCAAAAATCACAACAACAAAAAAATGCTTTACTGGAAATGATGAAAAAAACGCTTAATATCATTTCCACTGTTTCCACAAAAAAATAAAATAAATATGCAACTCAGAGTTAATCCACGGGGTTGGTTTGATATTTCCACCAGAAGAGGGCAGACAAGTGGGAGAGCCGGTACTCACCATCTTGAGACGGTATGAGTGGAGGTTTGGCTGATCGAGGAGGAGAAGACAGTGTGAAGCCGCGTATTGCGCACATCCCCGGCGGCTTATATACCCTCCGCAGGCCGGTCTAACTTTAGCCACAGCCTCAAGTTTGGAAGCGGATTAAAAAGAGAGAGAGGGGGAGAGGGTGAGAGAGAGAGAGAGAGAGAGAGAGATGGGTGAGCGAAGCTATCAAGTTTTGACCATCCTCTCTCTCTCTGATGCTGAGGGGAAGGAGACAGAGCGGCGGGGAGGGGGGGACCGGATCCCCTTACGGGAGATCAGAAATAGAACGAGGGGTCTTGGAATTAAGCAAACCCGATAGCCGAGGGACCGTATTGCCGATCTGCAGTCCCGCGTGGACTAATAAGGACATGCGGGACATAGATGCTGTTGGACCAGTGGACACTGTCCCTCCGCCCTCGTTCTGTCCTCCGTCCGCCCGCAGCCGCCGGCTCGCTTTATTTTTGGTTTCTGATGTCCTTTGCTGTATCGTGGACGGTGACACGCGTGATCTATACGCGCAGCAGCAGCTCTTACCCATATGTGCACGGCCGCGTGCACTTATTTTAAGTCGCAATGACGCTGAGTATCAGCTGATTATCATCCGGGGTATTAATCAAAATATCTCAACAAACAACAACATGGAAGAACAAATGTTTCAAGTTTGTCTTTGAAAAAAACGCACAGAGCGTTATTTAAAATATCTATATGCTCACACAGAGTCATATAAATGACATAATACATTAATGCTCACTGGGCTTCACTTCACCAAGGACACATCTTAGTTTTTTCCTTTTTTTGACTTGTATAATTACAATGAATATTATTATTGACATTATGTGTTGTTCGTGCCAATTAACTAAAACATTAAACATAACATGAATAATTAGTGACAGGATAAGAACAGGAAACATTTTGTTCTTCATTAAAATACGTTTTCATTAATCTTTTTGTTCAAAAACTACTCAAAATTATCAGAATTTGTTACATTTCCGACGTTGAAATAACAAGTTGTGGAGGATGTAAAAATATACCCCATAAAAACCTCCTGCAGTTAAACTTTCAAGATCATGCATTTAAAGTATAAGAAAACTGATTTTGGAGAAACACGTGACTGTTCTTATAACCGGCATCATATTGTTTGTGTATTTAACATGTTTCCATATAAAAGCTAATTTGGTAAACATTTCATTTGAGGCTCAGAGCATCTCATTGCACGCGTTGTTTAAATCGTTTTACTTCTTCATCTAAAAGTTTTTGAGTCCGTTCTTTGTTTTTCAAAGGTGTGTTTGATCATGAACACTTTCCTCCATCCCGCCCCCTTAAATACACAGAGATTACTTAACCCCCCCCTGATTACCCCCCACCCGCTCCAGGCATCGTGGCAGCTGCATTCCCAGAAGAGCATAAAAGGCACAGCTGAGCTCGACCAAAATAACTAAATAAACGTGTCGGTCTGCCAATGCGCCGGGGCCCTCGCAGCGAAGAGGCTTCACTTCGTTAGCTTTTCTCTTTCAGGTTTTTGCGTCCGAGTTGACAATCTGCTCTCATTCCATCAACAGCCGCGCTGATCTCCTGCATCGTTTCCGGCGGCCTGCTTCAGCTCTCTGGTCACCGGCGCTCTGCTCCTCGTGTCCTTTCCGGGTCATCGGACGGCCGTTTGTTCGTCTCTGGTGTTAAGGACATCCAGAGCCCGACACTACAGCCGGCAGACCTCTGCCTTGTTTTGCTGGTGACCTTTGACCCCTTAGGTTAACGCGCTTGTCGACACCTCCTCGAAGAATGAAATACCTTCTGACTGTGATTCCCGCTGTTTGAAGAACAGGGGCCAGCTAAAGAGATGCTCGACCTCACGATATCTTTTTTTACACTTTTGCTTTAGATTCAATATGAAAACCTGTTTAACTAAAACTGTAAAAAGCCCTTGACTCTTCACGTTAAAACTAAGGTGAATGTGTGTGGAAGCAGCAATATTAGGGTGCGCATGAACAAAAATATTAAGGTAAAAATGTGGCATTATGTTCAGCAATTCCACACAAGATGAAGATTTTAGGTGCAATAAGCTAATTATCTGATCTAAAATGATAAACAGGACCGAAACGGAACATGTGCAAATCAATAAGGAAGTGAAAATGAAAGATAGAATAAGATGAATATACTCAAGCTATAAACAACTCCAGCACACACAAGAACCAACCATGAGGAACACTGTGACAAGATTACCAGCGCATAGTCTAGTAAATGTCAGCAGTACGCAGCGAGGTGTTAAGCGCTGTGAGAAACAAATGATACTCGGCAGTTGTCTCAGAGGCGTTTGATTAACACAGCAAATCGAAACGTGTCAAATGAGGATTCAACACGTTAACTTAAAATAAAATGATGTAGTACAATTTAGTAAAGTGCAAGGTATGAATCTGATTTTTAAGATTTGTAAGAATATTAATAATGATGAAGCCAACAATAATGATATTGATAATAATGATAATGACAAGATTATATATTATCATTTGACACACTGATGCCATAAATTATTTGAGTGTAACATGAACTATGAATATGTTTGTCTTTCTTTTAACCCACAAGATTTATGGAGGAAAGTCAAATTTTCCCTATGAAGACATTTTGTGAGAAGAAATAATCCCTCTCTCTAAGAATAGAATAAGCTGCGACATCACGACCTTTTTCACAGTCTTGCCTCCCGCTGCAGTTTCCATCCAGATGTGGAAACACTCGTATACGGTCGACGGTGTAACGGGACGCCTGTCGCCACGCTCCCCTCCAGCCATCGATCACTTCTTAGGTGGATGGTGTGTCGGTGTGTAGGGGTCGGGAATGTGGAGAAGCTCCCACCTGATCCTACGGAGGAAGGCCGACCTTTGTGACACGTCGGATGTCACGGACAGTTGTGTGCGATGTTCTGGTGCGTTTGGGGCCCTCGGCTTTTGTTATTTGACCCCGTTGTGCTCCACAGATCACCGTGCAGTTTAACTTTAGGTCGAATGTCAAATCCTGTTTTTGGCCGTCTCCTGGTGTGTAGGTTGAAGCTCCTTTAACCTACACATCCTTTAGAAGAAGGCGCTTTCGTCCCATTAAGCCAGTTAGTTCAATTCAAATTCAGCGGATGTCAGCGGAGGCCTTTCGTTTCCCCCTAAAACACCAGCTGCATTGTGGTTTGTCTCTGCCTCATAAATCAAGTGCAGTGCCCGATTAAACCGCGCCGCTTCCTCCCTAAATCAGGTGTGTCGCTCCGGCGCCCCCTGTTGCTCACTCTGCTCCACTGACACCTGTCGCTCACCTGCCATGAGAAACAAGACAGCAGAGTCGCGTCCGAAGCTCTCTGTGTTTCCCACAAAGCGCTCATTCAATCACAGATCTACGGCTGTGAAAAGGAAAACTTTGTCCACATTTTCTCCCCTTGTTGCCTCACTTGCTTAACGTCTCCGGCTTTCTAACAGAATTGTTTTGATCGTTTATAAAATGTCATAATCTGGACCCAAATTAAATTAAATAAATTAAATAGTTGTCTCTTTTTGTATTCCGTGTCAGCATGTTATTTTATATCACAGGTACGACTCAACCAACTAATTACGGGACATTTTAGTCAACAAGTTTTATTTTCTATGCATTTGAAAATATATAATACAAATTTGCTTAATACTGCAACAGAAAACCTTTCTATGTGATGGATACACTTTAAAATGGTGTCATTCGAAGACTAAACCGCTTAGCAGATATGCAGGAATATATTTAACACAATTAGCAGCACAAACAACGAGGGCTTCTTCCACGGATGAATTACAACATGTGTTATGACTCCTCTGTGTGCGCATCGTCTCTTGTTCCTTGGTACATGCTGGGGACCGTTTACGGCTGCCAGCGTACGAGACGGAGGGAACATTTAGCACGTGCGCAGGCGTCCTCGGCCTCAAACACAATCGAACCCTCATCACTTCCCTTTTGACACACATGATCTCACTTCCTCTCTAGCGGTGGTGAGATGCGGCGCTTCCTTCACTCGAGGCTGACGAGTTCCCCGTCCGTGTGCTCCTCTCGCGCCCGTCGACTCCTCAGCCACTCCTCTCTCGCTCTCTTCACTTCCTGGCCGTAATGATCGTGAAGTTTACCAAAGTCCTCGAGGGGATCGAAACCCACCAGGGGCCATTCGCCGTACGAGGGCGCCGGCCCATTGAGCGGCGTGACGTGAGCGTGTCTCCTGGGCCACAGCTTAGGGGACTTTTTAGCCACCGCCTTGGTGGGCATCGACGGGGCTTGTAGAACCGTGCCGGCACTGAAGCTCCTCCCCGGTCTGACCTCGGCGGTCGGCCCCTGCGCGGCGAGGGCGAGGTCGCCGGCGGGCTGTTTGGACCAGGAGCTCTGGGGACGGGCCCCTCCGGAGCCCTGTTGCTGTTTGGCTTCTGTAACGGGAAATAAACATTAAGAGTATGTTAGCGTATCCGTGCAGCAGCTTTCGGAAAGGAAACGTTTGGGTATTTTTGGGGAGGAGACGATGGAAATCACACTGCTCATTGGATCCCATCAGTGGCCAGTTAGCTTAGCTTAGCTTAGCATTACGAGGGGGAAACGGGTGACAAAGGGAGTCAGTCGGAGTCTACATATGTTACCTTGATTGTTTTACTAAAAGCAAAGTTTGTATCAAATTTCCTTCATCGTGATCCACATCTGTCTTTATTATCCTCAATATTGGAATAAGTTGTGTTGAAAGTAAGGAAACATGAGCTCTTTAAAATATGCCGCTAGACTTCATTCGTATTTATTTCTAACACACACTTATCCTTTTTTATCCTTTAGGACCTCAATGAATTCAAAATCTAAAAACCTCAGAGCTGGGGGAGATTAAAAGGGATTTATATAATGTGCAGTATGTCCCCACGGTCTGGATCAGGGGCCATGACAGACTCAAGGTCAAAGGTCAACGCCGAGAGTTTCCCTTTTCTGTGTTCATGTCGTGAAAAAAAAGGGTTACAGGGGGTTTATGTGCTCGACTACAAGGTTGTAACTTCCTGAAGTCCGGCGGCTTTCCTTCCCGTTGGAAAGATCCAGGATAGTTGTTTACCCCTCGCACGGATCATACCATCTCATTGGTTAGTTATGAAAAAAGGATATAAGATATGAACAGCCGCTCCCAAACCCACCTTCATACTGCCTCCCCAGGTCCCCCACCAGCAGGGAGAGGTAACAGTGGCTGGCGGAGACCAGAGTTTGCACCCAGCTCTCCTGAGTCTGGCCGTCCCGCGCTGCAAACCTGTAGGTTTTGAGTCCCGGCCCCTCGAACACCAGGGAGAAGGCAAACTCTACGTCGGACTCCGAGCGCCGGACCGAGCACCCCTCCAGCACGATGACCCCCAGCAGGTGACGGTCCCCCGGACGCTCCTGGTAGAAGAGCAGGTTGGCCTTCAGGACGAACCAGCGCCGGCGGTAGGTGGCGTTTCTCTCTTTCTGCGAGGTGAGTTTGTCAAAGTAAAGCCGGATTGTTTCATGAGTCACCCAATCGGGTCTTCGTCTTTAGTCACTTAGCGGCATCTGTCTTTCGTTCGTTCAAACCTTTTTGTAGAGATATCCCTCTTTGTCGACAGGAGAGGTGCATGAGAGATAATGGGTCAAGATCTTCTCATGGAGCTTCATCCCAACACCTGAAGAACAGAAATGAAGACATGATTTTACTTTAAATACAAACGGCTGTGAGCGAGTGAGTGAGTGAGTGTGCAGCACTGTGTCTGTCCACGGATGATCTCGCAAACTGCATTATATTTTGAGTGGCCAGTTATGGATGCATGCTCTCATCATTGGGGCAATTCTTTCTTTTTCAAAGTTTTTTTATTTCAATCTTTTTTAGCGTGTGACCCTCCTTCTATTTGGGGCCCATCGTCTTCTTCCATCTATGTTTGATTAGTTTTTAGAGACAATTACCGTCTAAACTTAATATAATAATTGTCTAAGTTACAAATTTGTAAAAAAAACAAAAAAAACAAAGAGAACTTTGTATTTTTCTCCACTTAATCACCTTTCAGATTTACCTTGTAAACCTTTAGAGAGGTCTGACCCCTCGATCGAGAGCTACAGGGAACTGTAGCTCTAGTATTATAAGTTGTTTAAATAAAAAATAAAAAATATTTATTTATTTATCATATGATTGATATGATATAATCAACAGGTGCTACTTGAATGCAGAAAGGAGTAATAGTGCTGCATTCCCGCTTCTTAAAGAGATATTTCATCATGAACGCATTAGTTAGTTAAAAGATTTCAATGATTAGATATATATACAAAAAATATTAGAGGTTTAAACTTTTTCACTTTCTTTTTTCGAGTGCAGTTCAGTATAGATTTACGATTACTGTTTATTTTATTTTGATTCCTTAAGCTTTGGGTTTAAATACAGTATCTAAAAAACAGAATGAAACTGTTACTCCAAATACAACGTAATCAATAAAACTAGTCGAATAATACTAGTTGACTGTGTACCGTGACCTTAATAACTTGAGCCGATGCCCATTAAAACTGTCTTGTCCTCCTTCCATATAGTTGTTGTGACTCAGGCAGCAGTGACAGAATATAAAACAGTGAGTCAGACTTACCTCTGCCAGTGACGATCCCTCACAGATTCACTGTCTTTGCATTATTTACATTTCCAGAGATCTTATTCTTGGTCCTCGCCGGTCTTCAACATGAGGCCGATTGTTCTCGACCCGTTTGAAGCATCCACAGCCAGACGACGTTTGAACGTATGGTTTCAAGTTACTAACACTGGTTCTCCCTCCGGGCACGAGAGGACCAGTGTTGAAATATAAATAACTCGACCCACTTCCCGGTAACAAAACCCAGACATATTATATTCTCTCTCTCTCTCTCTCCTCTGCGCTTGAGTCGACCCCCCTCCCCCCCGAGCTTGTGGATCAGCCGAACCGAGCAGTCACCAACAACAACGTGGCCACCTGGAAGTGAGATGCTGGATGCTGAAGTGGAGGTCCGGTGGGTTTCGCATCTGCTCTCTCACTTCTGCCTTTTCAGTGAAAAAACTTCACAGGACTTTACTTTGGGCACGTCTCTGGTGGCGTGTGGACTTGATAGATGAAGAGATGTGCAGCATATCAGATATTATTAATACATTGATAATTGTTTGTGACAAAAATTTCCCTTGTATCAAATTCCCTTCACTGCTTTTAGAGCAGTATCATGGAAATATGTCTCTTGTTATTATTCTCAATACTCAAATAAGATCTGTTAAAAATAAGGAACTATGACCTCTTGAATTTGAGTGTCAAATAGCGTCAAAAAGTTATATATTAACTATATATATATACTTGTAAAACTTTTTCTGAAGTAACGTTGAGAAGAAATGCAACACTTGGATGGAGTACCTGTACCTCAATTCTTTTCCCCCGGGAGTTATCCTCTGTAAAAGGCATCAGATCTCGCCTGTGCTGTTTTCGGCCCAGTCTTCTCGCCTCTCGCCAGGCGGCGGCGGTAACGCGCCGCATCTTTGTTTACCAACATCAGGACATAGAAGAAGAAGAAGAAGAAGAAAACAAGAAGACGAAGAAGAAACCAATACGTCGTTTGAATTATTTTGAGCAGGTCTCGACTCACTTTTTGGCTAAATATCAACGAATTGACATCGTTTATGTACTTCCATATTAATGTAATATACAGGATGTATGGTAACAGTTAACTGCATGTAAACCCGCATGTAAAATGAGTTTGGACTGTGTTAAACCCGTCAGTTGCGCTGGTGCTCTAGGCTAACATTTTTAGCCACAAAGCTAACACGAGTTCAGTGGCGACCGCTCATATTCCCGACGTTACCAGAACTACGTGCACGCGCTTGAAAGCCACCTGCCAATATCATTAAGCCGCCGTGAGTTGCGTGTGAGTAATATAAGAGTCCCTGTCCCCCCCGTGCAGCGCCATGCCGAAAAGGAAAGTTACGTTCGAGGACGGGGAGTTGGAGCTGGAGGAAGAGCTCCCAAACAAAAAGGTAACGTCAGCCCACCATTCGCTTCACTGGAGAGAGCTCTAAATAGTTCCCTGGTCGCTGGAGAGAGCTCTAAATAGTTCACTGGTCACTAGCATAGACTCTCTACTAAAAACAGAAAAATAAGTCAAATATACCTAAAGTGTGGATAGGAAAATAAGTCAATGTTCAGTGAGTAATCACTGTTATAGTTCTCTGATTAACATTTGGAGTGCTTCATATACTGTTTCATTGTTTAATCCTAAATTGACTTGAGTGATACCTAAAATGTGTTCTTATTACTTGTACTTACTTACACATTTGATAAAACATTAAACCGAAGGCATTGCATTGCCTTTGCCCCAGTGAGGCCGATGGCAGTAACGACTTCTGAGGCTCTGCTAGATGGCCGTCAGAGTTCAGTGATCAATAAGGAGAAGTTGGTCATTATGTTTGCGTGTTCTTTTTGCATGCTTTAGACGGGATCCTCGGTCTCATCCTGTAAGGGGGACGTTTTTTGGGGGCATCTATTTCTTGATGTCAAGACTTGAACATGCAGAAGGACACTTATTATCTATTGACTTTGTGTCTTTTGAAAAGAACATACATGTCAGGCAGGTGCTGTACCATGAAGCTAAATCAATGACTGCGTTGTCACAACATGGAAATAAGTCAATAAATAGAACAGGAAAAAAAGATGCCTTTATAGCTTCTAATGTCCAGTAATGTGAAACGTGATCTTTTCTTTTCCTTGTTCTACTGTTGAATCAGACGTGCGAGGCAGTCGCCGGACCAGGCTCCAGGTTTAAGGTGAAACATTCCCTGGACAGCGACGAAGAGGATGAAGGGGAAGAAACAAAAAGCAGCAGCAGCAAATATGATATTCTGGCCAGCGATGATGTGGAGGGTATGTCTAGTTTAACATTTGAGCTGATGGATAACAGAGGTGGCTTTGCTCACTTAAATATGACATATATTACTTCAAATATACATGTATTGAATATAAAAACATGTACATACAATCTTGAGTACTTACAAGCGTTTCGCCTCAAAGTATCAGTGATTATGTCACCTGAGACCAGATTAACTACATTTTTCAGGCCAAGAGGGAGCGACCATCGACTTTGACGAGGGCGTTTCAATTACACCTTTCAACCTGGACGAGGAGATGCAGGAAGGATACTTTGACTCTGAGGGAAACTACTTCATCAAAAAGGAAGAACAGATTAGAGACAACTGGCTTGACAACATTGATTGGGTAATTGCATTTCATTATAGACTTTTGACTCGTATCTGAAAAGTTTTGGGCAATTCTCAATCTAAATTACTTCTTCCAGGTGAGAGTAAAAGAACAACCTTTCAAACAAAAGAAGAAAGGTCTTGGAGCCAAACGGAAACGCAGAGTCGGTGATGAGGATGAAGCTGAGGAAGAGAAACAGAGAGAAGAGAAGCGGGCAGACAAAGAAAACGATGAAGGAGAAGACGAAGAGGAGGAGATGGAGCCTGCAGAGGACCCGCTGGCCTCCTTCACCCAGCACCAGCTCACTGAAGCTGTGATCGAACTGTTGCTACCCGGGGAGACCGTTACCACGGCGCTCCGTCGGCTAGGAGGCCTCGGGGGACGGAAGAAGGGGAAGCTGAGGGAGGAGAGCGAGGCCACCGAGGAGACCAAAAGGGATACAGAAAAGCTCGACAGGCTCACGGCCCTCGCCGACAGACTGGTGGGGTCCGGGATGTTTGAGATCTATCAGCAGACGTATGAAAAACTGGCCTATTTGATGAAGAGCATGAGCAGCAAGCGACCAGCTGTGGAGAAGACCGGGGGTGGTGATGAGGAAGAAGATGAACTTGATATGTTTGCAGATAAATTTGACGAGTCGCTTACAGGCCGAGCAGAGGAAGAGGAGGACAACAAAGGTGGCCTAGTGTTACTTGGATGCATTTTCCTTCAATAGTAAAAAAATAAATAATGATCTTGTTTTATTAATTGTGGTTTTGTCTTCTCAGTGAGTGACGAGGTGATGTGGGAGTACAAGTGGGAAAACAAGGACGATTCAGAGATTTTTGGCCCTTTCACCAGTCAGCAGATGCAGGTATGATTGATTAGGATGCCACAAATGTACCAAACCAAGAATGTGCTTTTCCAAACGTGTTTATTAGAAATAATATGTAATATGGATGTGGTCAAAGTCTATGCAACTCATTTAGGACTGCATTCTCAGAATAACTGTTTTGTTGATTTGATTTTCAAGTGGGGAATCTGGACATAGCTCAGGTTTTCTATGTTTAAAATAAAGTGTGTGCACAAGGTCAAAGATAGTTTGGATACATTGACGTGATTATATGAGGTAGCAACGTTTTTTGCCCAATTATTTAGCTTTTTCTCCAGCATACTTCTTTCCCTCCATTAGTGAATCTCATTCCAGCTTTAACATGAAATCTTGCCGAATGTTTTTTTATTTGTTCTTCTATGTTTTTCCAGGATTGGGTGGATGAAGGTTATTTCAGCACTGGTGTTTACTGCAAGAGGCTCGACCAGAAGGGAACTCAGTTCTACAACTCCAAGAGAATAGATTTTGAGCTGTATACATGATCAATGTCCAGCGGTGAATGAATCACAACCATCATGGTCATGAAACATATTCATTGTTTGGAGGCTTTGGTGTTAAATCAATCATTTTAACAGGGGCTTTGTTTTCTGTACATTGCTTTTAAATAAATAAGTCATGTATGTGGTGTTGCCATCAGACATTTTTCTGTCTAATTGTACTCCTTAGAACTATTGTAGGAACTTTTTAGGCTCATTGAGAACTCCTTTAACTACGTGTTGCCTCTGTAGTTACTACTCTTGTGAGCAACACAAATGGACTGCTGTACTAGATTGTATTAAATGCCACTTCTGCTGCAAAGAAATGAATATTCCCAGTGAATAAAATAGATCATTTTTAAACACACAGCTTCAAATGTTAACAATTGGTATTCATTCGATTATATCTAGTTAGCATGCATTCACAAATACACCAGTGTTACCTCACAGGACGTATAAAATATCAGGCCAATTGAAATATTCCTTTAATACTCTTCTGAATATGCAAAAGTTCCATCTGGAAATCTTTCATAACTGATAAAATGCGTCACTGAATAAAGTCCAGTTTTAGTAAGTGATCTAAAGCAAAATAAATCCTCATCAAAAATAACCAACTCTTCTAGCTTGTTGGTTGTGAGAATCTGCTGTTTTTATTTCAATGTTACTTAGCGATGAGTCCAACGCCTAAAAGAAGTTAAAATGTTGGTCTTGGAGGGTTTTAAAGATAGTAGGCCGTCCGAGGACATACATAAAATATATGTATATTTTTTATTGTTTTATTGCTACTATTTAGTTTTGTCATCGCTCTCCGCCCACGACGTCTCAAAGTCTCCTCTGATTGGTCAGATTTCAACAAGACTTTCCGGGCGGAACAGACCTCGCTCTGTGATTGGATGATTGGACCATCCGTCCGTCTGCTCGTCGGATTCGTAAAACGGATGAATCTGTAACTCGCTGTAGGGCGCCGTCCGGCATGCCCTGTTTACGGTGAGGTCGGAGCACAACCCCCCGGTCCAGCTCAACGGTCCTGGTGAGTGTGTTTACTTTGCCGTAGCCCCGGTAGCCGTCTGCAGCCAAAGTGCAAAACCGGAGCATGTCTATTTAGCGTGACCTGTAAGAGAGAGAGAGAGAGCTCCCGAACGTTGGGAATTCAAATGACAGCTCCCGGCTACGACTATTCCCCGGTGCGCAAACTGTCGCGTTGTGTTGCACGCCGTCTGAGTATTGGCCAAACCGGGCGGTGTTGATGGAGTCCCAACAAAGCTCCGCTCAGATGTAGCTGTAGTTCCGTGACGGAACAACGTCGTTGGCTAATGAGCGCGTACGTGAGCTCGCGTATAACGCTTAAAGTTTAAATAGGAAACTGTGTCCATTCCAGCATTTAGACCTCGCGCAGTTTGTGATCGAACCGCCGCTTCCATTCCTTTCTAATCGATCTATTAAAAACGGGTTTTTAAGTCGGGTCATTATTTTTATAAGCTAATCTAACATTAGTCAACGTAACGTGGACGGGCTGTAAGCATAAGGTAACTAACGTGAATGACTGCGAAAGAGCTCACGTTGACAACATGAGTGTTTTTGTTGGGGGGGGGTCTTCCTTCCCACCATCCTGATCATTGTGGCCATGTTGACTGAATGTAATCTCTATCTTACATGCAGCCATTAGGACACAATATTTCACAATATTTAATGAGTTTCTTTTCAGGTCCCGCGACAAAGTTACACATTGTTTACACAACTTTTATTATACATGTCAACTTTCTAATGGACCCCATAGAAGATCTCTGTCTCTCTCTCAACCTCTTTTGGCTTTGCCTGTTTATAAATATATTATTAAGTTAAATTCCTCATGCCTGCCGTAATTTATAAACGTTAATCTAAAAATTTACTGAGTCTTGTTTATCGCTTGTTTACCTGATCTTTGCCACATCAGGTTTATGTCTCTCACGACAAGTGTTTTCATTATGTTCATTTGCAGATGAATTAACTGTTTGGTCGAATGTCAGAATGTAGTGAAAATGTATCAAGGTTTGAGTCTTCAAATGTCTTATTTTTAAAAATACAACTAAAAAATATCAATTTATCATAAAAGAGAAAACCTTCACATTTTTGCATGAGCGGCACCAGCACGATTACGTTAATTGATTATGAAAATAGTTGGTGAATATTTTCTGGTAATTGATTGGCGGACTAATTGTTGCTGCTCTAAATATATTAAATGATTCCATTTCTCTGTTTTCAAAGCTGAAACAATTAGTCAGTTCATCTATTCAACAGATCACTATTTTGGTTGTCAAATAATTGGTTATAGTCATTTGTAAAGCTAATCAGCCTCAATTCCAGCAAATAACATGATTTGATGGTTTTCTAATCAGTCCAAAACTCAAAATTATAAGGCCAAATGTGATGGTGAATTGCTTATCTTTTGAGTTTGGACTGCTAATTAGAATAAGAAAAAGACATGCAGGACTCCCGTTATTTGAGAAATGTGACTGGTATTTTTGCACTATTTTCTCAACCTACTATATACGGTTTCAATTTTGATAAGTGAAATTATTAAAAGATTAAATTATTCCAATTTTCAGAATATAAACTGCCAATCCAGGGATCAGAAGAGTAAGTGAAGCTTCATTTTAAAAACCTTTTACGAAGTCCCTTCATACCGATTTGATGTCCTGCATGTTTGTTGTTATTTACAGACAAGGACAGACAAGAAGAGCGAGAGAGCAAGGGGATGTTGACTCATCCCTCTGACTCGCTCCATCAGATTGTTTGTCCAATGGATGAACATGATATTTCCCCAAACAATTTCTGTAGTGAACCTCCACCACCTCTCCTCCCCCTTTCCTCCGTCACTCCCAGGTATAGTTGTTGTGGCACTTTTTGCTTTCTTTTGCCGTAGGTTTGTATTCCCTTCCTTTGCGTTTTACCCTTTTATGCGTTGCATCATTCACAAAGTGCAAGGAGTACATTTCTACGGACAATGTCCATTAAATGTGAATTTCCCTTTGTGTGGGGATTAGGAAAATATGTTTTCTCTCTTGGATTCCGTCTGGTTTTCCGCTAGTCATCGTGCAGATTGTCTACAAAACGCATTGTAGCCTCGGCATCTGATTACAAAAGACTAAATTGTTTTGTGTTTTGTTTGTGTTGTCTGTCCCCAATGGAGACGAGCAGCACAAATACACCAAGGCAGCCTGCAGCACTAGTTTTGAAATAGCTGCTGTTTGAAAGCTTGAATGTCGATGCAAACAGTCCCACCTCCAGTTTAAAAATGATTGTAATTCTTTAAGTGCATCTGTTCGGTGCAGTCAAAACATATGTAAGACATATTTAGAGAGTTGGGAAGTATCCATCAGTTCACGTTGTGCTTGTAATTATCTCAGGAATCAGGAAACCTTTATTTGCCAAAATATGCTAAACATACAAGGAATTTGTCTTGGCGGTTAGTGCGACAGTAGACAGACAGTAGAAGACAACAGTGCACAAGTAATAAAATAAAGTAGAATGAAATGCTAATGCAATGGGTTAGTAGAATAAGGCTATGGGTTAGTATAAAACAACCCATAGCCTTATTCTACTAACCCATTGAAGCCCATTGAAGCAGATGAGGTTATCCACATGATTGTTCACTTCTCAAAATCTAATCCTTTCTCTTTTGGAACGGTGTTCCGTCGCCATCCTGCTTAATCAGAGCCGTGCAGTGCACTGCATACAAAAGTGAACATTAGAGCGTGAATGTCAAATATGATTTGTTTGCAGTTGTGAGCGACTGTTGTCTGGTTTGTGAGCGATCAGCAGCCTGTGTCAACACAGGGACCCGTTCCGTAGGCTGCATCACGTCCATTATGAGAGACGTATTTAGCATATTAGTTTGTCTTTCCCCACCAACCGGATTATTGTGGCCATGATGACTGGAGGTAGCCTCTGGTTCTGCATCTGTTTTAATCTTACACGCTAACATTAAGACGTTTTCCTTTTTATATATAAATACTGCCTATTGACTTAAATTCCTAATCAACAGCTGTGCAAAAAATGGGATCTCGGGAAGCCGAAAGAGTTGTCGCATTCAAGAGATCAGGGCGCCGCCCCCTAAGAAGTCGAGCAACAGAGCGGCTCAGAAACCACTCCGACACAATCCGGCCCCCACCAAGAGACCAAGGGAAACCGCCGACATGGTAGGAGCTTCGCTTCACGGAATAATGAAATAATCTTTTCGGGCGCCGTCGAGTCACTGCTCACGCGTCTCTTTCTGATTTGTAGGTGTCACAGGCCAAGCAGCAAAGAGTCGAAGGCAGCCGTGCACATGAGGCCCAGGAGGAGGTCAGTCCCGTCTCTCTCTCCCCGCTCGCCGGGTGTTCCAGCGCTGCAGTGACCAATCCTTACGTGTAGCAGCTGTTCTTTGTGTCTGGTTGTGTCAACATTAGAGACCGATACAGTGAGTGTTGATTTGAGGGATTCTAATCCTCCTTCACGGTCTGCTGCATCCGACGCAGACAAGCGATCCAATGTCTTTAATGTGACCCAGTAAAGGAACAAACGGGATGGATACAGAATCCAATGTGCCACTGCACTGCCGAGGTGACCCACTACCAGTGTTTTAGGATCCACACACGACTGAATGGAAATGAAATGGCTTGGGTATATTTATTATAGAAGTACCAAAGACTCCCTTTTGACGCAATTTAATTTTCTGAAAACGACTTTAACAGTTTATGTATATTTTTGCAGGATGGGTTCGATGTGAGATTTGAAGCAGAGTGCCGAACTAAGTAAGCATTGTAGCAAACTCTTCTCATTTTGTGTTTACACGGTAATCATTTAGTTGATTTAAATCAAAATTGACATTGTGTCTTTTCTTTGACATTTTCTAATTATCTTAAACCCACTGAGACACAGAGCTTTGTGTGTGTTGACTGTGGTTCGTAAGGATGTGCAGGTTTGTTCAGTTTGACGTAATGTGAAGTGGGTCAAAAAGTAACAAAGCAACATTCTGAGGACGTTACATATAACTTGCAGCTCTCTCTCACAAGCAACGTGAATACCGTGGTGCTCATTCCTGTCTTTTGGTGCTACTGTAATGCATAAAGTTGCATAAACTAATGCAGGTAAGCTTGAAGTAGTTTTCGATATGAGCTGCATTATAAGGTTTGTGAACAGTGGGAATAGATGTTTGGATCTTTTTAACAGAACTAGAGAGGTCGGAACGCATGAAACATATATCCATGCTTTCTATCGTTTTATAGGGACGTGGTTTTATTTTACACAATGACACATTCTGCCTTCTGGTTATTTCTAATTTCTCTTTTTATTCATCTTCATTCAGGCAAAGCGACCAGAGGGGCCCGGAGACTGAAGTAAATGTGGTTGAGCGTTGTGCGGCGGATGCCACGCGGCCTCTTGACACCATGGAGACGTTGTCCATGGACACCATGGAGACGTTGTCCATGGACAACGCGTCCCCCCCAAAGGGATGGGTGATTGGACCCTTGTTTCAGTCATTCAGGTCCAAGATGGCCAGTTTCACAGAGATCGTCATGACACCCGTCAAGCTCTTCAGAGCCAACAGTCCGCCACCATTCACGGACCTTCCAGACAAACTCGACGAGTTGGAGCTCGAGGCCGCTGGAGCGTCTGATGACGAGCGCTCGCAGCCGAGTGACGCGTGTCCTCCAGGAGCACAAGATGAGGGGGCGGATCCGGAGAGGCTCAGCGACGTGCAAGCGGCCCGAGGCGCGATGACTGTCGCTCTTTTATATTCGAAAAAGTTGTCGTTTGATGAAGAGTTGCCAGCGCACGGCTCCGAACAGGTGGGCGGCTGTGCAACAACGCAAAAAGAAAAGGATTTGCCTGATTCTGTGCCGCTAGAACGCCTGTTACCCAGCAGCGTTCCCGAGGAAGCGTCAGACTCTGGAGGGTCCGTCAACGCCTCAATATTGTTGCAGCCCTCTCTCAACGTAAGTGCCTCACGTGAAGCCAAGTTAGAAATGTCTGGTGCTGCCGAGGACCGAACATGCCGATGGACGGTCCCGCTGAAACAACTGTCAGGGAAATGTTTAGTAAAGAAAGTTACCTCTAAGACTTCAACATCCAAAGTAAAAAAGGAGAAGTCTGCGGTCGGTGATGAGCAGGTTACTCTCGTGAATTCAGTCCAAATTAACAAAGCTGATTCCAGCTGTTCAGCGCCACCCGACACCGTCCGTCCTCAGCCGGATGTTTGTGAAAGTAGGACAATAGAAGATATGGATCGCCCCGGCAACCTGAGAAACTCGAATGACCTCGCTAATGGAGTGACAACGAACCCTTCTTTGGATCCTCCGCTGCCAGATTGTGAGTTAAACCCTAAAAGTTACTCCGCTTCATGTCTGGGGAGAGAAAAGAGAGGAGTTCAACTGGACTACCTCTCCAAAGACTTGATAAAGAAGAGAAGACAAGAGCCATGGAATGTGGCTTCGGGTGTCCGCATATTGAGACCACAGAGAAGAGAAGTTGTGTCGACCACCGTAGTCCATCAGGGAGAAACTCCGAAGCTTGTCGAAATAAGCGAGTCCGTTTCAACAAGAGCAAATAAGAAAGGAAGCAATGGACCGGAAAGACTTGCTACAGCAAATGAAACCGTTTTAATCACTGAAAGTTGCTCCCTGGATAAAAGCAGCGGTGTGTCTGAGAACAACCTAAAGGTAAGCAGCAGCCGGCCAGCGCCCAGTGGTCCATGCAAAAAGACAAGAACAGGCCTCAGTAAACCCGACGTAGACATCGATAACCGTATGGAACTGGAACCCAGCGTGGCTGCCGCCTCGACGAAGCAGGCGGAGCAGGAGAAGCTGTCAGAGGCTATAATGCCGCTGCAGAGCACGAGCAAGCGCAGGAACATCGGCAAGAAACCAGTCAAACGGAAATCCCCGAGCAAATTCGGCTTGATTGCACAATCGGACGGCACTTTGTTTACTGTCTCGCCAGCACCATCGGCGGGGCCGTTGGATCTCCCGCCCGCAGATCTGAACGTTCAAAAAGAGGAGAGCTCAGAGAAGGGGCTGACCATGCCGTCCAAGAGAACCAAAAAGCATTTCCGAGTTGCTGCTTCAGGTGGGAGTCGAGTGACCGGAATCCGTGACCTTCGTCCGATAGCCAAAGCGAACCAGACCGATGAACGCAAAGGTAAAGTCTCAATGCACCCTGTGTATTTTGAAATGACACCTTTTGAAAGCAATACCCCACCTGTTCCTTCGTCCTCCCGGCCCAACGGTTCTGCACAATCAAATCATGCCGCTAAGCACGCCGCCGATGGGAGCGAGGAGAGCGCTGCTGCTGTGTCGGATGAGTTATTTCCCTCAGACGCCTGCAGCATCAGCGTCCCTGGGTCTTCTGCACGAGGGGTGAACATTAAGCCAAGAAGAGCAGATAAAAAAAGGAGAAGATGCCAGGTTTTGCACAGCAGTGCGTGCGAAGGTGGCGAGGTGACCAACGCCGCCGCCGTGGACGCCGCCGCCCCGGCTGCAGCGAGTTCCCACACGCAGGGAAAGGACTTGTCGAGGCGCCTGTTGCGCAGCTACTCCTGCCCCGAGATCCCCTCCCTTCGTCTCTATGACACCCCCTCGCCTTCGGCTCTGCATTCCCCCCATCACGGCAGGCTCCACGCAGCGCAGCAGCACCGGGCCCACCACGCCCACGAGTCCCTCCGGCGGGCTCGTCGCCACACGGTCTGCAGCGTGGAAGTGGAGAGGGAGATCGCCCCGCTCTGCCTCCGCAAGGAGGTGTACCCGTCCAGGAGGTCCCTCCCGTCCGCCGCAGCCACCCAACTCCTGGGGTGGTCTCCCAGTCTCTCTTCCGGCACCTCCCTCGCCGCTCTGGCTTCCAGCTTCCTCTCCAGCCCCCTGGCTTTCCTCTCCAAGAAAGCGAGCCCCGGCAATACCGCCCTCGCGTCGTCCTCCTCCTCCGCCGCCTCCTGTTCTCCGGTGCCGAGGGTGTTCCTCTTTAGAATGGACTCGTCCACTTCTGCTGCGTCGGACTACAGTAGCCGGTAACGCTCTTTAACATCGGTTAAGATATATTTTGCGGTAGTGGCGGCGATGCGGAGCTGATATTAGCTCTTGTTTTTTAGTGGGAATCCGTTGGAGTGCGAGATGGAGAGAAGACAACGCAGTGAGGAGGAGGATGACGGCGAGGACACCAGTTCGTCCAGCCAGGAGTCTGAAGACGTGGGGTTGAGAGAGGAAAAGGCTTTGTCCGATTCTGAAATCAGGGTATACTTGATTTTCCTTTTTAAAAATATGATCAATAACACTGTTATCAAGCATACATTTACTTTCTTTCCTGTTACAATTTTGGACTGTTTATTATGCTGATATCAGCCGTTTGCATGCCGTGGCATTTGTAATTTATTTGATTACATTTCATTACAGGTGGGACAAAAGCATGAGGAACGAGGAAAAGTGTCATCTATAAAAATTCGGAAGACTTTACCCAAACCTCAGAACAACCTGACCCCCATGGGCCTGCCCAGACCCGTCAGGTAAGAACCAAATCACGTATTTTAACTGAACCTCACCACTTTCTACCACTCTCTGTCCCAGTAGCAGAAAAACACCAGCTCCTAAACATTGATTTGTATTTGGTGCCACACTAAATGCATTCCCCCCATCATTTATAAAATAAAAGTCAGTGAATTTAGCCGCGTACTCCTCCTTTCTGGATCATTGGCCGACAATAACTTACTTCCTCTCGATAAAGGTTCCCTGTTACTTTATTATAAAGCTTTTAGTTTGAAGCAACAAATTAATTTATGTCAGTCTCAACACATTAAACGCTGATCAATATTCAGACTGATGCCCTTTCTCATGTTCCACAACAGGCTGAAAAAGAAGGAGTTTAGTTTGGAAGAGATTTACACCAATAAGAACTTCAGCAAACCCCCTGAGAGGTAAGGACAGTTTCACAACTTGGACGGTAGACGTACGTTTGAAGATTAATTCAAACACCTTAATAAAATCCTTTTTTTGAAACGCCGTGATGAGACTAATTTAGAACTCATCTGGAGGTCAGATCGTTGCCTTCTATCAAACGGTCGACATTTAGGATTTTCTGCTGACGCGTTAAATCACTCGCTGATTATTCATTTGTTACTCCGGTTTCAGCCGGCTGGAGACCATATTCGAGGTGCCCCTCAGTCGGCGGGACGGGTCCGAGTCCTGGTACGGCCAGAGGCGGGTCAAACGATTCCTGGAGTTCCTGGATGCCGGCGAGGTCAGAAAGCCAAAGAAGCCCCTCGTTGGTGTTGGAAAGGCAGGTGTCTCGTCCTCCAGGACGAGACGGGGGGGCTTCCCCAAAGACGAGGCGTCCCTCTGCGCGCGGGATGTGGACTCGCTTCTCTGTGCCAAGCTGGATCAGCTGACTCTGCTGTTAATAGATGATCAAAAAGACAGCTGACGGACGCTTCTTGGAAGGCCTTTGTTTGGCCGCCACTCAAAATAAACACTGCGAGTTAACTCCGTTTCTCCCTTATTCTCAACCTCCGTGTCATTTGAAGAACTACGTTTTGATGAGGTTTTTGTAACATTTTGCAGCCTTTGAGTCTCAGAACGACGCATCAGAGGACGCCAACTCGTGGAAGTTGGTTCTAAAGATGCCGGTCAACCGTCCGTTTGTCCCCTGGCAGCTGAGTGAAACGCTCCTGGTTCAAACATGTGTACAGTAGCATAACAAGTTCAGTATGTCTTTGTTTTCAGTCCTGGGACTAACCCTCCCTGAGTGAGCGGTGACCCTCATCATTATTTTAATTAAATCCATAAAGGCAGCTGTTTTATTAAATGCTGAGTATAATGCATTTTACGTACCGGAAAGAGATTTGTATTCGCGGTTGGCCTTTTGTACAACCAACTTTTTGTTCATGATTTATGGTGTGTGAAGTGTCATTAAGCACTCAGTCAGCTCAGTTCAAATCTTACTTTATTCGTGTGAACTTTGTGGCTAAAGAGGTTTTTGTTGTATGAAAAACAGCTTGGAAACAATATTTTCAGATTCCACTGCTGGTTGGCTTCAGATTGCTTGTGGTTCTCTGGATCGTTTCGTGCCATATATATATTTGTACTGCGAACGTATCTTCTTGATAAACTGTCTATGTATGTCATTTTTCTTTTTGGCCAAATTTCATTGAGGTTGCCTTAACCGTAAGAGGTTTAAATAGCTGGGTTTTTGTCGGCGGGTTGGTAATCGTTCTGAGAACGTCGGGTCAAGATCCTTCAAACAAATCAAAGCACAAAGTGTTTTTCTTGTGAAATAGTTTGTTTATATAAAAGTACAACAGCTTGATACATTTGACAACAAAGCTAACATGGTAACATATGGCAATAAGATCAGGGCCTTCACATGTAGATCTAGGATTGGGTCTTTACTGGGGACATACAAGTTAATGTCGGGACATTTTAGACAGACGGAGTAATTTATTAACTTGTACTGTAAGAATATGTTACCCTTAAGGATTGGGTTTGTAATGAAGATTGACATTCTAGTATTTTAAATATAATGTGTCATGTCCCAAACTACAGGTACCCCTGGATTTTTATATTGTTATTTGGATTTGTCCATGTTCATATATTGTTGAATAAATATTACCGCATATAAAAAAAGAAACACGCAAGAGTCGTAACATCTGTGCTCATCCTTGACCTGCTTCAGTGTGAGTACAAAAGGGTGGACCGGGTCAGCAGCCGGGCCGTGTGTGTCCGTGTCCTGGCCCTCCATCAGTCTCCCAGAGTGATGAGATATGAGACCAACATAAAGAGGATGGGCGTTAAAATCAGCACGGAAACCCAAACCACGATGGAGATGATGCCGAACTTCTTCGCCCGCCTTGTAAACGCCGCGGCTCTCTCTGGATCCTCCTCCCGCTCCGCCTGCAGAGGTTACAAACAAGAGCGCTTCTTAGAATTCAACGTGAAAGCGGCGAGGGGGATCCGCAGCTTTTAGGCTTTGCCATTTTTGACTCGAATGGTACCTCGACCGAATTTGTCAGCGCGCTGATTCCGATGCAGGTGATGCCGCAGATGATGCTGCAGATGGCGAGCTTCCGGTGGTGCGGGTCATCGCAGCGGCACCATCTGGAGCTGGTTGCGTAGCGGTTCTGCCGGGCGGCTGCACCCATGATGGTCAGTGGGACATCCTCAAGCTTCTCTTCACGTGTCCTAGGAGATTTAGACATTTCTGCAACAACAAAAAGATATTAAGAGTAACCAGTTTTGACAAAAGGCCGGTTTAAAAACCTACATTTTGAGTGAGAAAAGTTGTTCACACTTGTTTTTTTTCGAGAAAAGGGACTTTTAGGTCATTGGTTTCATTCTTGGGCGGCACGGTGGCGTGGTGGTTAGCACTGTCGCCTCACAGCAAGAAGGTCCTGGGTTCGATTCCGCCCAGTGGCCTTTCTGTGTGGAGTCTGCATGTTCTCCCCGTGTCTGCGTGGGTTCTCTCCGGGTTCTCCGGCTTCCTCCCACAGTCCAAAGACATGCTCTGGGGATCAGGTTAATTGGGGACTTTAAATTGCCCGTAGTTGTGTGAATGTGAGTGTGGATGGTTGTGTGTCTCTGTGTTGCCCTGCGATTGGCTGGCGACCAATCCAGGATGTACCCTGTCTATCGCCCAAAGTTGGCTGGGATGGACTCCAGCCCCCCCGCGACCCTGTGTGCAGGATAAGCGGTTTGACAATGGATGGATGGATGGATGGATGGTTTCATTCTTTCTGTGGGAGTTGAGGCCTGTAGGTTCGCGTTTAGTTCTTCTCAGGTCAGAAGACTTTGACAGACTTTCTCACTCATTTATCAGGTTGCACTTTATTTCTTTTTGTTTCGTTAAGTGTCAGACTGCATAAGACTGGTGTCCCCCTGCGTGCTGCAAGACAATGCAATGTTTTACGACATTACACTTAATAATTAAACGTCCAATGGAAGCCCATTCCCGCCAAAGAACAAGGTCCTTTAAGTCATAATAAGGATAGTATGTCATGACTATCACATAGTCGTGTCCTGACTTTAACTGAGATAGTCACATTATGAGATACTGTCTTAAAGGCGACAAGAATGCGCTTCCGTAACTTCCACACAGGGTTTGGAATTTGTTAATGATTTTTTTTTAAATGGCTCTTATTAGTAAGACTATACTCTGCCCCTCCCTGTTAAACCAGAGTTAGGCTTTTTCTTTTCTCAAGAACAATAATGAATCCTTGCGGTTGTAATTTAACTCGGCTCAAAGGGAATTTCCGGGAAAAGTGTTTCCTCATAATTTTCTTGAGAAAACGGCGTCGCTTCCCTTAAAGCGTCAGCCCCGTGGTCCCGGCTGCTGATGTGTTTAAAACTACCACCTTGTACTGAACGTTTACAGGCTCGACCGGCCGGTGTGAGTTTGATGGGCCCGTTGTCTGCAAGTGCTGGCAAGAAAAGACACTCCGGTCAAAGAATTTAAAAAGTAAAAATCCCCCACAAGCCTAAACCTGTTCTTCACAATTCCTCACACGGACGACTCTTTGTGGTGAGCGAGTTTGTCTGAGCTGGCTGCTTTGATCATCTAACGAAAAGGAGACATTGAATGGCGTACCTGCGTCAAGTGTTCCCTGTCAACTGGACAAAAAGACAAGAGGCTTGGAAAACGTGTGACTCTCTCGTAAAAGAAAAACAAGTGGAAATCCTGCTTGTCTGAAAAGTTGTCATGAGGTAATTAATCTCTGATTCGATCAAAGCGCTTCGCTGCCAGCCGGCAATCTCTTTGGGACTGGTTTAACAATGTGTCACCATGCAGTGCTCGACAGGCCCGTGAATCATTGGTAGTGGCTGTTAGGAACCCGATTACGAAATGTGTGTTAAGAGAATGATTTCAGAAAGGTTCTCTGTTAAGGAGTATACATCTTAAATACATGTCACATTCACCCAGTGATGCACTTTCAACACAAACATCGTTCAACAGTACACTTTAAAGCACGAACCTGATCGAACTTTAACTGACAGTACACACCTTCAGCGAGCGCTTAGTTATCCAGATGATCCAGAATCAAGGTCCTATTGAGAATCTTGAGTCTTGTTGAGTCCAAACAAAAAGCCCCTTTTCGGGTGTCAACTTTCACGTGAATCTTTTTTTTTTCCTCCTGAAAGTTTTGGTTTTGGTTTTCATTGTCCACACATGGTCTTGTCAGTCCGAGGCCCGGCGCCGCGGAGACCCGGTGCTGTAGAAGTTGTGGAATGACAACTTGCTGAGAAACTCAAGTCGGTGAAACTCTCACGCCCATCCACTGTGAAGTGTTTGCCCTCATGTTGCTCTCTGTCCCTCCCACCTTCGCCACGGCCTCCTCTCTTCTTGGTTAGTCACCTGCTTAGCACAACCTTGTTCTCTCATCTTCACGACACTGCATTCCTGAGCATTGGAGTATCGTCTCGCCTTGTTTTTCTACATTGTGGGAGGAGGACGAGCGGCTCTCGTGTGTTTTTATCTTCCAAGTAACGGCCTGCCGCTCAGTCACTTGTAACTCTTTGAAACGAGCAGTTCTTGCTCCTCTAGTTTTTCTAGTCCACTGCCGCCACACAGCTTTATGACCCAGAGATAAGACATAATACTGCCCATTTTGCTCAGCCACTAATGGCTACCTGGCGGCATTTGTTCACGGCTGACGCCTCCCATTGTTCAGCAGCCTTCAAACCGCCAAAACTAACTAGCATTGTCTTGTTAGGTAATAATAATGTTGGTTTATTCTCAGAGTAACAAGGTCTGCTGGATATTTTTTTATCTAAATGGATCGGCCGGACAAACAGAGATTACGATAAGAGTGCGTGGGAACTGACTTCAAAACAAGGGCTAAGTGCCTGTAAAGTGATCAGACCTGCCAACTTAGTTTAATAATTCAGGTTTGACCCTTAGTATGATTGTGGACCCCCTCAGAAAATATCAGTACAATCTTGTGTATAATTTCAGAATATAAGTACTTTAAAGGCTCATTCATAAGCCTATTTTCCTCTAAATTCAGATTAGATTTTAAAGGAAAAGGTAAATTGTTACAAGGTAATTTCTATTCAGAATAACAGCTGTCAACGTCAGAGTGCAGCTCAGACAATCATGACATTCTAATGTAGATTTTCAAAGTCAAAGTCCCTCAAAATCTCCTAATCTCCAAGATATCTATAAAGTATTTTTTTTAACTATTAGTAATTGTCTTTCTTTTGTAGATTTTTTTTTTATTGTTTAGCATTCATAATATACATTTATTATCAGAAGGGTCTGTCTGTGCCTGTTTTGGGCATGTTATCCAAGCCCCGCCTTAAACTCATAATCCACCAATGAGGACTCTCCAAACACTGAGGGCGGAAATAAACACGGAAGTGTTTTGAGAAAGCGAGAACGACACGTATTCGGTGCGCATTTTCACCCTGTACCTGAGCCAAAAACAACTTAAATTGAATACATTTCAGACTGCAGTACATTTCAGTTTGTTGGTTTAGTGTTTCGGTCCTAACGGTCTGAATGGAGAGAAGAAGAGGTGCGGTTTTGGCCACGGAGCGATATGGCAGTGCAGAGTCCTGGAAGTATGTTGCAAAGGATGCAGTCATGGAGAGGACGAGAGATGCGAGTGAAGGTGTATCGAGAGGAAACTCTCTTTTTGCAGTTTTTAAAGTAAGGCTTAATCATTTCCACAAAATGAGGTACAAATGAGGTTTCATATGAAAGTCACGTGTTTCAGACGCAAAGCAATGTTTTTAACCAGTCCAACTAAAGGATGGAAAGTGAAAAAAATAGCTCTGAGAAACAAAGAAGCAATCACCTGTGATTGGTAAAAGAATGTGTGCAGATTTAAATAGAAACAGCTTTTATTTTTATCAGTATTTTGCTTCAAGTGCACCCAATAAATGGAAGCTTCAATCGTTAAATTCTTCTTCTTTTCAAATGTAAATAATGCACCTGGAAACTGAAGTATACCGTTTTATACCTCTCCAAATAGCCGGGGAATAAGAAATACATCAACGTAACAGCTTCATCAACTTCTCCTCAGACTCACATTTTGACTTTTGATTTCAGTGTGTCTTTCTGCCTCAAGGCTACCCAGAGAGCGTCAGTGATGATTACCTGCAGTACCAGTTTTGGGATACTGTGCAGGTAGAGTAAATGAAGCACTAAACACCAGCGAGATCATCGGCATCAGATCAAATCTATCCACCCGCTCTCTCGGCTCAGGCTTTCTCCAGCTCTCTGTCAGGGACTCTGGCTACTCAGGCTTCTCTCAGAGGCGTTGGTGTTGGAAACCAAGAGGCAACAGTAGCTGCAGCCACAGTCACCTGGCTACTAAGAGGTTATTAAAAATACTCCATGCCATAGATGCATGTTACTCTTGCATGTTGAGTGCAAACTAATAGGTTTTCCCTGCAGATGGAACTGGCATGTTGGGAAGAATACTCTTCGCTTGGCAGAAAGGGTAGGCTTTTATATATGTCATTAATTCAATGAAATTAGAGTTTGAGGCTACGGTAATTTTGCTTATTTGTGCTCGTCTTTCACGGATGAAAATGATTCTTCATGATCAGTTTCTTTGTCTTTGCTCCAGGAGTAAACTGGACTCTGAGGCCAAAAAATGGAGGTAATCATTGTATTCAGGCAGTAGATTATAAAATAATTGGTTTGTCTTCTCTACTCATTATTGCAAACCTATTCAATGTTGTCATTTCATTTCTTTCCAGGCTTTTTGCTGATGTTCTCAACGACATCGCCATGTTCATGGAAATATTGGCCCCATACTTTCCTGGTTGCTTCACCGTGATTGTCTGCACAGCAGGAATATTCAAGGTAAAAAGGAACAATCATTTAAATCATTTTTCTTTATGAAGAAAAAAACCTCAAGATTCACCTTATTGGCTTTTAAAAGATGAGTAATTACGTAAGCGAGTCTATAATAGCTTTTTGCCCATTAGTAAATGTATAATTATACACCCAAAGCCCACAAACAATTCTAGTAAATTAGAACTTCCAAAACATTAACTCGACAGCCTGTTGATCAGACTGCGTGTTTATTTTTGCAGCACTCCACCCAATCATTATTAACACAATTTAAATGATTGAAATAATTAAAGCAATAAGTGGCAATTCACAGGAAGCACTACAAACTGTGATCTGAGACAAACAATCGTACCTGATGGATTGTCCAAATATCCTGTTGTTGAACTTCTAAACCCTCAATCGACTTAAATATTTAGGGCTTCAATATATTTCTTGATAAACATGAGCTCACTTGTGTGTGTTTTTCTTCCACAGTCTCTTGTTGGGGTGGCGGGCGGAGCGACCCGAGCGGCTCTGACTGTTCACCAGGCTCGCAGAGACAACATGGCCGACATCTCTGCCAAAGATGGAAGTCAGGTACTTTATGACCGGGAACTGTTAATTGTGGAGAAAAGCAGAGTGAACCGTGTGATAACTTGTGATGGAGAAGGAGAAAGGTCGCGCCTGCACAACACTCTAATGCCTACTACATCTAGTATCTTGAGGTGGCATATCACAGTTTACATAATGTTAGTACGATAGACATTTTTGACAGCAAAAACTCAGCAATCATTGATTTTATTATGCACAGATGTGCTTTTCCATGTCTGAAAGTCTTCCTTACAAAAAAGGTCAAAACAGCTGTTTGCACTGCTGAGTTTAGATTGATAATGGCAACTTTATGTCTATATTTCCCGCAGGAGACTTTAGTGAATCTGGCTGGACTGCTGGTCAGTTTGATGCTCATCCCCCTCGTCACTGATAATCCGATGTAAGTGTTGTTATAGAAATTGTAAATGAATCTCAAAATAAACGTTTCAAAATAATAAGATTTATTTTTCACCTCTTTCCGCCCATTCAGACTGACCGTCAGCCTCTTCTTCCTCTTCACCGCCCTCCACCTCTTTGCCAACTACAAGGCGGTGCGCTCCGTTGTCATGGAAACGTTGAACGAGGCCCGGCTTTCGATTGTGCTTCAGCAGTACCTGAAAGACAGAAGGATCCTGAGTCCAACGGAGGCCAATCAGAGAGAACCGGTTTTATTGGGTAATTTCCAGACACCTGGTCATAGTTTCTTCAAGTGTCCAACTGTTAAATACAAAGATTAAAAAGATAAATATAAAGAGATATATATATATATATATATATATCTCAAAAAGCATCATCTTTGCCAATGTCACTTTTTATATATATATATATATATATATATATAATTCTAGTATTGTATGTTCAAATATTTCTTATTTGTGTTGTGTTCAATAAATGTAGTGTAATTAATATTTGTATGTACTGTTCATTTTGTATATTAAGAATGATTCATTATTCTGCTTGTTGACAGAGTTTAGGAAAACTGGGCCAATCAAACTTGGAGTGAGGCTACAGGAGGTTATAGAAAGGTAATGTGACGCTTTCTTATAGAATAAAAAATGACACTCAACAACACAGATTAGTGTAACTTTGCTTATGTTTTGTAGCCCAGAGGATCTGACTTTGGCTTTGAAGGAAAACACCATGCCTTTCCTTGTGGGAGTTCGAAATGGTATCTTATTTCCTGTCCTCCTCCACAGAACATAATGTGTTTAAGAGCCATATAAAATACTTTGGATGTTACCTAATTAATCTGCTGATTCCTCTTAGGCTGTGTTTGTGTTTGTCTGGCACCGGAAGCATCCGTGCGTGATGAAATCAGAGCCATGTGCCAGGCTGTGTGGCTCCGGAGCAAGTTGAGCATCCCAACTTCCAGAGACCCTCCGATGCAAAGTGAGCCTTTTCCTCCCTTATGTTCATTACAATTTTAGCAGTTCTTTCTCTAATTCACAAGATTTTATATTTTAAAGGTAACTGGGAGATGGTACATGAGAGTCACAAGCTGATGGACACGATTTTCAATCCATTTCTCAAAGGTGAAAACATACACAAAACTACTTTAACCTAATCACCAACTTTTTCTTGTGTAATTACCAATAGAAAGCATCATCTTTGCCAATGTCATTTTAGGTGTGGAAGCTGCAGGATGGGACATCACACGGACTTTACTGGACTGGGATGAGTGGAGGGTCGAGTGGAAAACAAAGAGCTACTGAGCTCTTTGACATCTGCAGTTTGCATTGATTATCAGCGTTTCTAACGTTGATCAGACACCTATGTTTTTATGTATCCTTTAATTCATTGTGTGTATTATAAAAGGAAAAGAATATGTTTTCATGAAAATATTTCGATTTTTTTACAGGTTTTTTATGTAAAATAAATGTACCCGAGTACAAATGTATCATACGAATAAAAGTATAACTGACTGCTCTTCTGTGTTTTATCCATTGGGTGACGTCATATTTCAGTAATGTGCAATTGAAACGCCACGAAGAAGAAACTTCCGTTGATGAAACTATTGCATCAAGTTAACAAGATTGTGGGGCAGTAGCTGCACTTCCGGCTTGTGGATCATTGACAAATACCGTTGAATATTCAACCGCAATGTTTTATACATGACCATCAAAGATATGCACTTGTTTACTACCATCTACTTTGTAATTATCGTAAGATTTATTATTTTACTTGATTTACGCGTAAAAATATGTCATTATTTTGAAAGTGGAGAGCGGAAGTTCTGGTTGTCTCATTGCTGCCTTGACTAGTCGCTCAGACAACAATTGGCAACAAAATCTGTTAGTTTGGATGCACGTTTAACAAAATTCTGTTTTTAAATGGGACGATACAAATGTGCCTACGACTGCGAAAGCTCCGGCGAGTCGGATGTGAAGTATTTTAAGTGAGTATTAATATTTCCCACTTAGGAACAGAACCAACTAGTCAAGCTAGCTAACATGAAGCTAACAATAACATCAACTTGGATTAGCATATGAGTTAACCACTCGCTGCTGTTTTCTGTCCGAGTGTTTTAAAATTTTAGGGTACTACGAATATAAGATAAACGAAGGATTTGCTTCACTTCTCCATTTATCATTGAAACGGTGGAGACAGAAGGCAGACAGTATGAAACAATAAAATGCTCCTCATCGATGTTTACTTGTCTGCTCTTTAATATCAGTATTATTATATGTAAATTAAATGTACCTGAGTACAAATGTATCATACAAATGTATCGTGGCGATAGTTAAATTGGTCTAAAATTAGGTGGGGAAAAAAAACGTATAAATAGATGGACCTTCATGTTCATACCGTTATATATGTGGCTCACATCCATCACATTAGTAATGATTGTTGTAACCTATAAAAACTCCTGGATATTTACCAGAAATGACAGCGGTTCGTGAAAAAAGGATGGAAATGTGTCCCACATTAAAGCATAACGCACTGACTTTTAAATCCTACAGATTTCCCCTCTACAATCCCCGAAAGCTCAAGAAATGGCTCAGCAACATGAAGTTGAAGGACTGGAACCCGAATCGCTTCTCCGTGTTGTGCATCAATCATTTCGAGGAACAACACATCGACAGGACGGGCAAATGTGTGAAGCTTCGGGAAGATGCAGTTCCCACCATATTCTCATCTCCTGGCAAAACACAGAAAAGAGAGGTTTGTTGGTGGTTACTCAGTGTCGTAAAATGAAACATCAGCTGCCTTTTATAGAGTGGAAAAATGACTTTCAGAACCAGCTGCTTAATTAAAGAAATTCCTTTTTATCTGCATCATAATTATCCAAATAAATATATCACATATGATTACTGTCGCTGACCTCCTGATGTAGGCTTCCAGTGACCCAAGAAGAAAGAGATTCAAGGTAAGAGCATATAACATATAACATTTCATTTTTTTCTGTATTCATGGAACCGTTGTGAGCAGCCTTGTGTCTGGGTTGTACAACAAGGAACTTAACACAAATAAACACCTTTACTTCACTCAAGCAACAAAAGTATTCACATAAATGACTTGTTTCTCTGTTGTGTGAACCCAGTCAGCTGGTGCTAAAACCTCACGGACGAGTCCAGCTCCGTCTCCAACGATCACTCCTTCCACGGCAAAGAGAAGAGCCCAAAGCGAAGAGCCAAGCCCGGCTGAGGAAGAGCCTACTGGGTATGTTATGCTTTACCAAACTCTCCGCCGTTTATCCTCACGTTACCGCCGGTCGGCAGCTTTTCATCACTTTGTAACACGTAGAAAAATGGTTTTAAGTACTTGAGTTCACATTTTTTGTGAGGTGCACGTGTTCAAAACACAGATGTCATTAACAATAACATTAACTATCACGTAGGGCAAAGTAAAAGTGACACATCAACAAATTATTTTAGCTTTAACTTTTATAAATTATTTAAATTATGTTGTCAAAATAAAATGAATAACAGTTCATCCTGAACGGTGATGATTTTAATTCACATGAACATGTTGCATTTTTTAACTAAATTATATTCAAAGTGTATCATAGTCCTGACACTCTATTACAAGCAAATAATAGCTTTTTAATTATTCTGTATATTCATGCACGCCTGAGATTGTCATCACTGTGAGGAAGTAACCGATCAGTTCCACTTTCCACCTTGTTTTTCTGTATTTGGTGTTATGTATCAAGTTTGAACCTGTGGACCTTTTGATGGTTTTATTTTCAGGGACAAAGACCCCCAAACGTCACATGACAAGTGGAGGATTATAGTAGATGAAGGACTGATGAAGATAGAGTCATTTCCACACTTCTTCCATGGCGATTACTGCGCACCACGGGTACATTTTGTCGTACATTCAAATTTAGTCTAATTAACAATCAACACATTATTATTAGTTGATTATTTCATTATTGATCGGTTTATTTTTAGCACAAATCATACAAATGAAAGGCTTTTTGTATCTTTAGATCTAATTTGACATCGTGTAATTTATCACATGCTCCAACAGGGTATTCAGTGGGCTCCGGATGACGATTTGAGTGTAAGTCGTCCTCGTGATTTTGTCTTTTACGCTCTGACTTCTATATTGTGAAGTATTTTGATCCGGTGCTTGTCTGTAATGTTCACAGACCGAGTGGGAAGCCTCGGAGAAGGTGATGGAGGTAAGTAACGACACAGGTACCTGAACCAAAGCTACGATGGCTGCGATCCTCACTGTCGCGTCGCGGTCGGCAGGTGAAAGAGCCGTGGCAGTGGCTCGGTCTGGACGTCAGGGGGCCGCTGCCCCAAACGCTGAACGCACACCGCTACATCTTGACTGTAACGGACTACTTCTCCAAGTGGGTGGAGGCCGTGCCCATGCAGTCGTGCCTCCCTGAGGACGTCGTGAAGAACGTGGTTGACATCATCGCCCACTTTGGGTACCCGATTAGGATACTCTCCAGACTGCCTCATGGCATAGTCCACAAAGTGAGTGCCTTGGTCATTGAACTGCTCCTGTAATTTGTTATAAATGGCTTAAAAGAGCTTGAAATGTGCTACTTTTTTGCATCCAAACAGAAGTAGGGGAATCAGCCTTTAAAACCATCTAATGAGAATTTCTGTTGAGTGACAGATGGTTGGGTGATGGGGGGGGGGACACTTTAGGTTGCCGCATATTTTGATTTGTAATAAACATATTGTGTCCTAATCAGCCAGTGTCTGACATAGACGTGTGTCAACGTGTTCCCGTGTCAGATCAACAGAGAACTGAAAGATCAGCTGAAGGTCACCGTCGCTCTCGTTGTCTACCATCAGCAGACGGGCACCATGGATTTAATCACGCAGCAACTGATTGACAGGTCAGTTCTTGGAGTGTGAGTATGATAAAATTAGATGTTACCTTAATGCGTGTTCCAGCTTTGTCTTAGTCAGGTTTACGTTGTAGCTCCACTTGTGTGTCCTATGATGCGTTTCTTTCTGATGGACGCACTGCGGACACGCCTCCGGTCATGACTGTGTTTCCTGCTCGTTAACAGGATGGTAAGCGATCTGGTAGAGGAGCACGCGGCCGACTGGGACGTCTATCTGCCCGCCAAGGTGTTCAGCCTGTGTTTCAGGGAGCACGCGAAGACCAAGGAGAGGCCCTTTTCTGTGCTGTGCTGTAGGGGACTGGAGCCCGTCCAATCCCCCAGAGGACTGGACGTACGTGTAGCTTCTGGACATTCCAGGTTGGATGAGCCTTTGTTTCTGTAATGCGGTGACGTGACCCGTGTCTTCTTGCCTCTCTGTTCTACAGTACGCTTACTCCAAGATCCAAGAGAGTGCTTTCGTTATTCGATAGATATCTACAGTTTATTTGGTGAGTTGAATATACGTCTTTGTGTATAATATGTTTATATTTAATTTAACTTTCTCCATATTTCTGGGTAAATGGAATCTTGCTATTTCACATGGTATTTTTCATTTGAATTACCTTCTCTTTCATTTCGCTCCACTCATTTTCTCACTTGTTTTTTCTTACTTTTCAGGCCGATGGATGTGGAGTTCGGTACGGGTCTTGTTTTTATTAACACATTGGGGAGGAAGAGTATTTTCCGGTCATAGAAGCGTTCTGACTTTGTCGAGGACGGCAATGGAAAAGTGCAGGAATTCTTCAGGCCTTACGGCCACACGGGGAATGTTTACATCATCGGTCACTCTGCCAATGACATTTCAAATCAGTTCAGTCCAGATTATGTGTTTCGACCTGTTTCTTGTACCAGTATCAGCACAGTGGAAGTGCGTTTTCATGCTCGTATCATTGTTTTGAAATTCATCTTTCATATCAGACTGCCACATATTACGTCAATGTGTCCTGCTAAAGTGATGCTGGAAGAGCAAAAGAAAATGAATACAGGTCTTTACCAGATAAGAGATCTTAGTTTAACCTTTAAACATTTAAGTTATAAGCATTTATTTGTACTCTGGGTGCTGTGGCTGATTTTCGGCCTTGTTCCATCAGTGTTTTGTGAACCCGATGAATCCTCACCCAGTTCTCTCAGTTGGCAAATCCATCTCTCTGTATATGAAATGTAAAACATGTAAATAAACATGCTTTAAATAAGAATTGTTTTGAATTTGTTGTCATGCTTATTGTCAGTACCAACTTAAAACTTGTGTGTTCACACAAACATGCAGAATGCATATTACATGAAATCATGCAAAGATAAATTTGAGCCCCGTTGTTGACGGAATAAAGTGTTTTGGTAAAATGAATGTCAATCCTAAAACAGGAAAAAAAAACCCTGATCTCTCGCAACTTGATGCTGCTCGCTTGATTTTTTTCTCAGCTGTGATAGTTTCAGCTGCTCCCTACTCATCCAGATATTTATTGGCCAGTAGAGTTTACATCATGCAGATGTGACTGTTACGTTCTGACTCCCCAGGAGGGGAGTGGGATTCACGCCACTGCCCGAGGACGTCCTGTGACCAGTAAACGGGTATGGCGTCGTAGGTGCAAGAAAACCAACATCACCTGAAGTTGGGGTAAGCAGTCTTTTATTTAAGCGCTGTTAACAGGGGAAATGAGGAGGGCTGGCGGTACCAAAGCAAAGAAAAGATCAAAATGCCTCCCACCCCCTTACCTGTCCTATCTCCCAACGAAAACCACTAACTGGCACACTAACAAGGCGCCCTAACCAACCTTACAGTAGGTGGCCCAGCCAGGTGTAGCTAGTGTTGTTAGACAGGAGAGTAACCCTACGTGCAGGTATGTAAACTCCGGAGCAGGCCTAAACTACTCATCCCCCTGTAAGAAAAAGAACAAAAGAAAAAAAACAATTAATTGAATACACAGTAAACCAAATCACCAGAACTAAATAACTACCCCACCATACACCAGCACTCACATACACACAACCAGAGTGACACCCACCCGGGTGAAACAAACACAGGGGTACATATACTGACAGAAGGGCATGATGGGATTGGAGATGAGTGGAAACAGCTGAACCGGGTAACGAGAGTGGGTGGAGCCAAGATGAACGGAGATCATGGATGATCAGTACCACCTGTATGAACACACACACGAAACAGAACACATACCTATACACAGAACAGGGGACGTAACAGTGACCATAGAAACAATGGTTCTAGGTTTACAAACTATGCAGAGACAAAGTACTTCATCAGAAAAGATGCTTCCAATTTGATTTACGTGATGGGTATAGACGCATAGAAACAAACCATTCATTTAATAAAGCGGTAGGCCAAGGATGTAATAAGTTATGAAAACAACAACAACAAAAAATATGCATGCACTTGATATGCTAAGGATTTAAAAATTTAATTTTGATTACTACTTTGTTTATTATTTTATATTGTCTATCTTCTATTTTTTCATAATAATAAAAAACATTTCACAATCTCCCTGCGTCCTACAGAAAAAAATTAGAAGAAGAAGAAGAAGAAGGCGCAGAAGAAGTAGAAAGAGAAGGAGGAACGGGAGGCAGCGCCCCCTGCCGGTGCAGTGGAGAGTCGCGCCTCGGGCGGTCTGATCTGATGCTGCTGTGATCTCACAGTTGTCGCTGTGCGGTGGAGGCGTTTTTTTTTTCCTTGTGTGCAGCCAACCGCAAGAAATGGTGAGTGGGGAAAACGCACAGAGCTCGAGATGTAATGGCCCGCTGACTCGTCAAACTTAACTTTAATCGCTCAACAAAGTCTTTAAGCTTTAAAATGTACCCTGTCGGCAGCGACACCGGGCTCGTCACATTAAACGATCACCCAATAGCTGATGTCTTTGTTTAGCTAACCCTTGCTAACATTGGTTACCTTCCTTACGTTGGCTAACGTCAACACTGTGTCTTACGCTTGGTGGGCATTGCTTTACAATGCCTGGGTCGAAAGCTTGATTGGCCCTGAGGGGTTTAGACGAACGGGCATATACATGTATTTTGTTTTAGACGTATGACAGCTCAACCGGCAAACTTTGCTCTGATGAAATGGCTAGCTAGCCACGAAGAAGCTAACCAGCAGAAGTTGTCAGTACCTGCTTCATCTCGGTTAATGTCACCATATTAACAGCATGTAATTGTATTAAATAACTTTATTTTTACAGGTGAATAAAGCCAGTTTAACGTTAGCCAACAAAACGTGTGTTTTGGTAGGTGACGGCCCGGGAGCCGGGCCCGTAGGGAGCTACTCCGGCTAGCCGTTGGTTAGCTCACGTTAGCTCCTTGTGACGCTAACTGGCAGCTGCCGCACCGTCTGTCTCTAAAAGCCTTAACTTAGCCGTGGTTGAGACGTTGTCGTTTGTTTAACGGGGCTTCTCATCTCATTCCCCCAAGTGCTGTCACTGCCAGGTTCCTCACTACTGCTGACAGGCATCCCAACCCTCTAGAGTTATCATTCATAGTTAGTCATTGTCTGTAATAAGCTGAAGTACCTTGAACAAACCACAGATGATGAATGCATTTACAAGCAATGGTGCACTAACAAGCAAACCTTTCCTTATTAAAGTTAATTGTGTGTTACAGCCACGTTGTCCCTTTGCATAGCATGTGTTGTGTATCTAAGTCCCATATTTGTTGTTGTAGAAGTGCACACTTCCAAACCAAGAACTTATTTTCAGGCATGATGACGCTGAAGATGAAATCCTCGTGGGGTTCATCGAACGTGTGATTTAGTACTTTCTGATCATCTTTATAGATGTAGTTATTACATCTTGTCCAATGAAAACCGGGTATTTACAGATGTGTTGATTTTGAATGTTTGTGAAGAACCAACGGATGACCGCTCCTTGATCTGTTGAGTCATCCTACTCCACTACACTTGAAATGGAGTATATTCACAGTTTGGTACTAATAAAGGAGCTGAAGTAATCAGCAATCAGAAGTTTTCTTCTGGTGATGCCAACAACCACTTTCTTGAGGTTTCACTCCAGAAGAGTAATTAGGAATTTCTTACACCAAAATTATCTTTTTTGGCTTGCAGGTTTAAAAATGACAATGGGTTATTATTATAGATGCAGCAGACTTAATTGTTGGTTGGTTGTTTAGCTTTACAAAGACGTGATTAATTTCAGGTGCAATGTGCACTATCACGTCTGAGAAGAAAGAATTTACAAGGTCTACAGCGTTTTAACTGATGTAAATATTCTTGGGAGTCATCAATGTCTCATTTCCTCTCTCTCCTCCGTCACTCGATCTCTCTTCAGGATGTGTTTCTAATGATCCGACGTCACAAGACGACCATCTTCACTGATGCCAAAGAGTCTACCACAGTTTATGAACTGAAGCGCATTGTGGAAGGCATTTTAAAGAGGCCCCCTGAAGAGCAGAGACTTTACAAGGTAAATCTCCCGTCTTACTCGTGAAATGTCCGTTTTTTTTATTTTTTATTGTTCCTCTCACCCACTTTAGCATCTTTCAAGTTAAAATACCAAATCTTCTCAGGTTTCAGCTTCTCACATGTAAATACATGTTTTTAAAGGATGTACATCATTACATTTACTCAATGGTTGCAGGATTCTCGCTGCTTAAACCTTCACTGACACTAAATACAAAACATGCTGGCTCAGAGCAATGCAAGTAGATTCATGACAGCGTATTGTGAAACTGATGAATCCTCCCCCAGTTCTCCCAGTTGGCAAATCCGTCTCCTAAATTCCCTCAGACGCTTTGAACACCATGTCGTGTGGAAATGAAATCATCTGCTTGTCCACTACATTTCTCTTTTTGTATGAATGTCCTTCCCCAGGATGAAGTGATGCTCAATGATTGTCAAACTCTTGGAAATTGTGGCTTTACAAATCAAACCGCTCGACCTCAGGCCCCAGCCACGGTGGGGTTAGCTTTCCGTCTGAGTGGTAAGTAGTTTACCCGCTAATCAGCTCCACGTTCTGTCAGTGTTGTAGTTTTGGCATCAACCCTTCATTTGTTTTATTAAGTCCCTCTTAGCCCAGTCTGAGAAGAGCCGGCCTGTTTTGAACGTCAGTAGCTCTGATTTCCTGTGATGCATCGCCTCTCTGTCACTTTCAGATGATTCATTTGAGCAGCTGAGAGTCGAGTCTTTCTCCACCCCCCCAGAGCTCCCTGACGTCATGAAGCCCCAGGACTCGGGCAGCACAGCCAACGAGCAGGCTGTACAGTGAGGGAGGGGGGCAGGGAACCGACGGGGCTGCACAGGGGGTCGGAGGGTGGATACACAGGGGAGGGAGGGGTTAGATTTTGGAATGCCCTCACGGGTGAGTTTTACCTGGCCGACGACAGATCTTCAGTGGGGCACAAACAATTCCGAGCACGGATTCCCCTCGTGGTAAATGAGAGGGCGAGCGTTTTCAAAGTGCTTCATTTGTCCTGAACTCGGCCAACGCATGCTAGATAATTGATCATTTCACACAAGACCCTTCAGAGATACCTGGCGGACTTGTCACGACACTGTCGGTCATGCGTGGGATTGGTAATGGCTGAACATAAGAAGTTGTACCTCGTATTTAATTAATTCAACTCTTTATTTAGGGTAAGCTTATTGCTAGTTTACCTGTTTTTGTTTTTTTTATTTGATTTTGCTGGCTTAAACGTGGGAGTTAGATTATAAGGTGTGACATTTTTAGGCTTTTATGTTTGTGTGTTTCTTTATTAAACTATTACTAGGATTCAACATGTTTTTTGGTCTTTGGCCCTGGATATGTGTTGCAACAATAGCTAGGAATTTGTGGATTTCTAAGTTACTATCTGTATTTCAAAAACCTTAAACAATATGATCTGAGATCAAATGGATTCAGGTGTTAACAAGGAGACCTGGCATTAAGATGAACGTTTCTTGGTACTTGACCTAATCAGTAGTTGTAGTTTTCCTACAGTAGCTGCTCACAGATGTTACTGAGACTGAACGCACCCAGCTGTGGGTATCTACAACACATGTGACGCTGGCGCGGACCTCCAATGTTTGATTGTAGCCGATGACATCTTAAAGATGTCCTTGACTTGAATCGGTGTGGCTAATTGAAAGTAAACCCAACGCGTTTTAAGTTAAACAGGTAGTTTGTCATGTGCTGAGATGGGATCCATGCCTGTCCGCAGCGGGCTGCACATTTGACCCTCCGATGTTTCCCCATTTAGCTTTAGTTCAAGCTGCAACTTGTGTTGTATTGTACCCCATTAATAGAGAAATAAACTCCTGCACATCAAGTAGAAGTCTCATGATCACTGGGTCCCATGATCTGGAAAAACTACAATTTAAAAACTAAACCCTCTATTAGTTACAACATGAAATTGTTGACATTAACATTTGCAAATTGAGGCTGTTAAACAGTGGGTCATGATCAAAGTTGCACTTGTAACTGATTTAACATTAAAACAACTGTTTTTCACCCCTGTGCACTGTGGTGTTTTTCAATGCGTAGTTAGCGGAACACAATCGATCTGCATTTAGAGAGACCTTTATTTTGATTTTGTGTTTTGCAGCTGTTCTGCTTTTGTTGATTGTCTAATTGAATCACTGGACTGGTCAATACAATGTCATGGGATTATAAATTCCCGTGACAACATCACAGGCATGTTTTTCAGTAGTCCATAACTAGAATAGATTGAATTTACAATGACCAATGAAAACAGAAGAGCAAATCGAGTGTCTGAACCATTTTCCGTTATGAATGACTTGATCTTTGACCAGATTGTAGCTGTAAAAGTCAATAAACAGTAAGCATAAAGTTCTAATAAGCACCACATGGCAAACGATGACACGAGTCGCCCGTTGCGAAAAGTTTCCAACTTTCCGACAGACCTTGAAGGCAGCGCTCGGTAGCTAGCGGGCTAGCTTAGCGTTTGGCCGGCAGCGATAAATGGCGATGCCCGCCCGCCGCCGCGATTAGCTGCGCTCGCCTCCCGTTCTCTTCTCGGCTCCTGTCCCGGGGCGAACCTAGGCTCGCCTCGCATGGACGTCGGCGAGTGCGTCGTGTCGGCGGGCCGCGCCGTGCTGGACATGGCGCAGCGGGAGTGGCAGCCGCTGTCGCCGGGCGAGCTGGAGCAGCGGCTGGACCAGGCGGTCGAGGAGGTCCTGGAGGCCGAGCTGATGGCCCGACTAGACGCCGAGCCTTCGCCGACGAGAGGCTGCGGTCGGGCGCCGCGGAGTCCGGTGTGCGTGGAGCCGCGAGGTCCGCAAGGCTGCATCAGTCCCGCGGAGGAAGAGACACCGGAGCCCGGAGCGCCGTGGGAGAGCGAGTCCGGTGCGGCAGTGAAGGTGTCGTGTCCGTTATTCTCACGCAGGGCTCAGAAACGAAAGATGATCATTAATTAAAAAAAATGCTAGAACTACAATAATATACCTACAGGATATGAATGTTTGAACAAAATGAATAAATAATAAAAAATATATATTTTTTTAAAGGTAAATAAGAACTCCTTCAGACCTGTGAGAGTCTCTGTAGTAACAATGACCAGGTTTCACATTAAAACACCTCTTGAATCCACTGATGGACATTTTTCTTCCCCCCATTAGCACATCACAGGCCTGCTTCAAAGCTCCGGATCCAGGGCTCGATTGGCCGGACGTGCACGCTTGTCTCTGTCCCACACCGTCCTGCTGTCCCTCGCCCTGCTGTCTGAGCGCGTCAGCTACCGATCTGTGTCCCGCCGCTTCCACCTGGAGAAAGGAAACATCCACAGGATCTTCTTCTCCTTCTGCGAGCGCCTCAACGCGCTGGAGGAGAAGCACATCCGGTGGCCAGTCGGTGGGTTTGACCTCCGGGGGCGTGTACTGGACGGGATCGGGGCGGCTTTATCGAGGATCTGAAGGTAGAACAGGTTTTTTTTAATCAGGTTCTCCTCTCTGTTCTCCAGGCAGGGAGGCTGAGGAATCCCTTTTCCCACTTTGCAGTCCAGAGATGGATCAGCAAGGTGTCCCCCGGGTCCTGGCAGTGTTGGGACGCACCCGCGTCCCCATCCGCCTGCCGATAGGGAAACACGACGTGGAGAGCACAGTGCCTGAAGTGAAGAGGATGAAGAAGGAGGCGCATCCCGACTCCTGGCTGAACCTGCAGCTGGCGTGCGACCGCCGTGGCCGGTTTCTACACTGCAGCGTCAGCAAAGGATCGGACACGGACGGAGGCGGCGCTCTGAGGGACAAACTCAAGCAGCGTCCTGAGCTGATGCCCCCCGGCTCCTGCCTCGTGGCCAGAGGCGGACACCCGCTCAGCGCTCGGGTTCTGACTCCGTACTCGGGAAGTCTCGGACCGAGAGAGGAGCTCTTCAACAAGGTGCTGGAGGAGCATTTCCACATCCTGGATCAGGCAGTTGGCAACCTGAAGGCCAGATTTAAAAGGCTCAGGTATCTGGACATCGCAAACTACGAGCGAGCGAGAGCTGTCGTGTTGACCGCCTGCGTGTTGCACAATGTGTTTTTGGACATTGGACAGGGGGCTCAGGGGGATGTCGAGGAGGAGGAAGCCATAACCCCACAGGGTGGGTTGGAGACAGATGACGAGGGGTTGCAAAGACGCGACAGCATCTCAGACTTGTTGTTTCAAATGTTTGATTCTGGAAGCGTGTGATGTGATGGCGTGTGGTGGGTGGGCGTAAAATCGTTCAACAGGAAATGTATTAATGATTAAAGAATGGGGACAGAATTGACACAAATACAATTCATGCATCAAGGCCACTCAAAGGTTTTCTTTTCCATACATCTGATCATCATGGACACGTCACACAGATTTCATTGTACAAATGGTGCAGACAGAATCTTCTCTTGTTTCTGTCTAAACCCCATTTTGATAATGAGATGACATTAGTGCAGTTTTTCCAACAGTGGGAAATAACTCAAAAATAATATAAGGATTTATCTTTACATTTTGAGTCTTAATAAGACAACAGTAAAGGATGGCTTTGACTTCAAAAGACTACATTGTGTGGATTATCAGTTTTCCACAGTAAATGTGGGTTATTACTGTAGTTCACCATAATAGATGAAAAAGGATTATATTAAAACATCCCCCTTGTTTAAGTAAACCCTAGGACTGTAGTATGTACATTTAAAAACCAATAAGGGGTTTAATATGTATCATGACTTACAAAACTTCAAAGCAAAGCAAATGATTGTCAGTAATCATTTTACTGTTATCTGTAATAATCACTAAATATGAGATGTACATACCTATTTTCCACAGGTTTACAGATATGTAAACCTGTGGAAAATAATTATGATGCAGTTCTTCCCTTTGACCACTGGAGGGGAGTAAACTTTTATATTTAAAATACACCCACGCCAACCGTCCACTACTACCATATATACTGCGTTACCATAATAACATCCGGTAGTTTCAAAATAAAACCGTAAAAGCAACACAGTGTCTCTGTACAGAAGTCGTCTTTATTGCAGGATTGTTTATTGGAAAACATTACAAAGGAAAGTTTTGCATAGCGATTGTGTAAATGATTAATACATGAACAGTACCAGCATCAATGAATACTGTTAAAAATATAAATCAGTTTTCACTAAAAATGTGTTTTAGTCAAACTGATTTCCTTTGAGCAATGATCATAATCCCTTATGATCATTTCCATTTCAGTTTGCACAACTATTGCATAGGTTTATGACATCTGATATACAAACTGGTGCACTGATGTTAGGGTGTATTTTCTTATTTGAGTCATATCTGAGTGTTTCTTGCTCTACAACATCAGCCAACCATAATGCCCTTCTTGCAGGCAGTATACAAATAGGTGATGTTTACATCCATTAGACCATCAACAGAAAAGCAGGCCCTATTGTTCTTAAAACGGTAACAGTTAACATCTTAAAAACATTTATTACAAACGCCCTCAACCTGCGTTCTTCGTGCAGCAGTTTTTGGCAATAAAAAAAACAGCGTGTCATCTGGCCTAAAGTCCATCCTTTGACATGTGTGTGCTGTTCTTCTGAGCCAGGCTGGAGATGGCCTGTGCCAGGTTGTTAATGGCGTCTATCTTCCTCTCCTCCAGGGCTTTCTGCTGGGCCCACATGTTCATCTTCCTCTCCTGCAGCTCCATGTACAGCTGTAGGACGTCCTGTGGAGGCCTGGCGGTGCAGGGGGCAGCTGTTGTTGGAGGGTTCGGAAGGATAGGGGTGAACCTCTTGCTGACCACGGCCTTGCCCACTCTCGTCCCGCTGAGTTTTGCCCGTCGCTGGGCTTCAATCTCCTCTCTGCTCTTCCCCAGGATCTCGTGCATGGCCTTGAAGAACTCCCAGTGGACGCTGGAGGCCCCCAGCCTCTTGGCCCTCTCGCAGTTCTTCCTGTATGTGGCCAACATGTTTCTCCACTTGAGGTCACACTCGTACGCCTTCACTGTGATATCGGTGACCTCCGACTCTCTTAGTTTTGTGTTCACTTTCTCTGCCACCGTCTCCCAGAGTTTTTTTTTCTTGCACACAGGCTGATCGAAAGCGAGGTCCATTTCTAGTCTGGTGTTGACGAGGTGCCACGTAGCCTGCAGAGTCCAGATGAATTCTAGAGAAGGAAACCACAGGTGCATCATGTCACTGGTTGTTGAATTATATGACCTTGCATTAAATCTATCACCGTTTTTTTCAGTTTCTTAATTATTTTTATATACATATATAGTGTGATCACAACATACATATGAGCTAATAAGTCTGCATTTGGTTATCGTTAAAGTAATTGGTATGTTGCGAGTCTGTTTATGACTACAATCACTGCGTTGGGCAGAGACTGCGCATTCATCGGGCCCTCCTCGCTTCACGCAGTGACTGGATGAGACCATCAAGGTGGAGGCCACTAACCTGCTTTGGTTTTATCGGTGTCCGCGCTGGACACAACCGTTTCCTTTTCTTCCACTTCAGTACTTTGGATCACAATTGTCTCCATCACCTCCATCATGTGAAAGCTATCAATTAACAGTTAAAAGTTTTTTTTTTTAATTAGTTGTGGGTATCTATCGTGGAATTTAACAACACGTAAGAGGCACCGGTGCCTTTTCTCGCATCGAGTAAAACGATGACTATAACAACGTTACTTAGCAGCCTGGGATGTGTAGTCCGCTTAAACTGTCACAGACAGGCTTTTGAGGGCTTTAGTGTACGAGTTGAACTACAATCCCTAAACGCCACGAGTCTTTCAACACAAGCTACCATTTAACGAAGCCATGGGGAATGTAGTTCTTTCGAAGGAAAGAAATACTGAAGAGGATGTATAAGGTAGTGACTTTTAAACTACAAGTCCCGGCGTATATCTCACCGGCCCACCTCTTTACTCCCTGCTCCCTCCCTCGACCGCCCCTGTTTTGTTGTTTGGCTAAAGATGGCGTTAGCGGCTAACGCAGGCGATTGCATTTTGTTCCACAAAAATATTCGGCCAGTGGTAACCAAACATTGATCAACTAGACCTTAAATCCGCCAATTGCTGTGTAAAAATATGTTACATGGAGATAATACATGTCTATCGCGTAGAATAACGCTTGTTCGGCCTTCTCGCGATGGAAGGCCTGTTTGTTAGCGAGTGGACCGAAGCCGTTGGAACTCCATCTCCCATCAGCGACCGCGGCGTCAGGTGGTACAACTTTCCTTTTTCATGGTATCTGTAGTTTTCTGATCACACCACAGTGTTATTTTTTCCTAAACTCAGAATTTTTTTTTTTTGAATGAACTCGTAAAAAAAGCATAATAACCAGTTGACTAAAGAAGCTAACGGCGTGAAGTGACAGGACATGAGATTTAATTTCTCAGTATTCACTGTGAACGTCCACCGATGCTCCACAAAGTGAATAATATCTGTCTCAACTGAGAGGAGAAAAATCCAGATAATTAAACCGACCCGGCCAGGCAGCGTGACCATGGCTGCATCACCCGTGCAAGGTGACGGGAGACAATCTCGAGGAGCCTCCAGAGAGGGTCACCCGTCCTCCCCAGAGTCTTCCTTGAGCTGGTGCTTGGCTCACCTCTCTAAACCTGGGTCAGGGGCCGAGCACCAGGGGCACGGCAGAGAGGCCGACAAGAGGTCCAAAGTCTCTCAGTGGCGAGCGCTGGTCGCCATCCGGACACAGCACATCAAGGGGGACAAGGCCGGCATCGCCCGATTCAGAACTCAAGGTGGTCACCGGCCGCTGTTGGACCTTCTCAAAAACCCGGAGTGCTCGAGGAAAACCCTGGACCTGGCTCTGAGCATCTTAGCCAACTGCTGCACTGAGCTGCAGACACGCATAGAGGTGAGATAACAGGAATATCATCAAAAGCTCTATTTATTAAACCGCCCGTTGGACCTGCTCACATTTTAAATGTCTGCCGCTACAGGTCCGTAAGCTCGGTGGGATAAAGATTGTAGGTAAGTTGTCTCTTACATTCTTACAAGGAATAATTACTTTTTTAAAACTTCTGCCTCAATCTCAAGGGAATTTATGAATAAATGAATTGTGTGTAATCCTGAGACAATTCCTTACCGTCACAGTGGAGATCCTGAAGGAAAACATGGCCCTGGAGACGGTCCAGAACCGAGCAGCCCGGGCTTTGGGGAACCTGGCCATGGATCCAGAGAGCTCTGCACTCATCCACGCTGCGGGTAAGTCTTAAACGCCAAACCCAATCCTACCTTTACAGGATGCATTACCTTTTTGAGAGACTGCTTGAAAGCAAGTCTTTCAGGAGCCCAACGCAACTCATCGGGGCCCCAACCGAAAACAATCGGTTCAATAATTGATTATTCTTCTAATTTCGATCGTTTTGAGTACATTTTTCAAGCCAAATATTTGATGGTTCTAGCGGCTCGAATGTGAGACTTTCCTGCTTTTTCTTTTCTTACATTAGTGGCCCAATTACATTTTACAGGTTCGTTCAGTCAGATAAAACAAAACATTTAATGTCGTCACCCTGGGCTCAAGAAAATGGTGACGTTGGCGGTTTTCTGATTTATTATTTGTATTATGGTTTTATGGACCAATTGATTACTCCAGGAAGCAATCTCCAGGATGATCGATACAGGAGATAATTGTTGCGGCCCTGCATTCATTATCCTTGTTCTGCATTATCAGGGAATATCCTAAACCTACGTACGTAAACATATGGAGGTCTAAACGTGTTGCTGCTATATGATCTGTAAGAAGTTCTTGTGTTGGTTTGCAATTCACCCTCGGATCAAAAAAACAGTGTCTTTTTTTTGAAAAACCTCTTCCAGGTGGCGTCCCTCTGCTCCTCCTGTGCGTGTCTCTTTCCTCCGGCCCGTCGTCTCCCACCACCGCTCCGCCCAAAGAGCCCTGTCCCAAACTGGAGTGCGCCCAGTCGGCGGCCCGGGCTCTGCTCTACCTCTCGGATACGCCCCCGAACCGCCTGTCGCTGCTCACCCAGGGGACCTTAACGGCCCTCGCCCCCCTCGTCGCTCCGGAGTACCCCCAGGGGCTGCGGCGTGCGGCGCTCAGGACCCTCCACGAGCTGACCCGAGGCTGCGGCGTCGAATGTGCCAGGGAGGTGTCCCGCTCCGGGGTCCTCGCTCAGCTCGGCGCCATGGCGACGGGGCAGTGCGGTAAGCCCTTTGAGGAGCTGGCGCTGAAAACCCTGGCCAACATGTGCTCCCAGGGCTGCCTTCGCCCGTTCGTGGGGTCACTGGGGGTCATTCAGAAGTTCGCCGAGGAGGTCAAGAGGGACCCGCTGAAGTCCGGAGTCTTCCTCAAGGCGCTGTGCCTGTGCTGCAAGGAGGCGGTCAACCGCGCCAAGGTGAAGGAGAGCAGTGGATTGGAGGTGCTGATTGGCTTTCTGGCTGCCCATCAGAGTCACCCCCTCTCCCGACTGGTCATCCTGGCCTGCGTGGACTTTGTCTTTGACGAGTCGGCTATGGAGCAGCTGCAGGAGTTGGGGCTGGTTCCTCTGCTTGTTGCACGGCTGGTTGAGCTCTCCAAAGGCGAGGAGCAATCCGCCGAGAAGATGGACGTGGGTCTCTCCTCTAGCGTGTCTCCCACTGAGCTCCTGCCTTCATCCTGTTTTGACTCCTTTGACTTTCCTCCTCCTCCTGAGGGCTGCAAGAAGGAGGAAGCAGGAAAGGAGCAAGGCCTTGGTTCCCCAAGCTTTTTAAGTCTCAAGTATGGAAAATTAAAAGCGCAGGTTTTATTCTATTTTATTCTACTGGTTTCTGTTATTTATCTACTTGCTTTTTGTTCTCTCCTCAGGTCCTGGTTGGTGGCTGAGGGATTGATCTCCTCAGAGGGGGACCTGCTGGATTCCTCTGGTGTTGAAGGAGAATGGGGGAGTCTTCAGATCCCACAGTCTTCCTCCCCCCACACTTCCTCTCCAAACCCTGATTCCTTTCTTCCTCCATCTTCTCTTAAAAACTCTTCCCCATCCAACTCCACTGCCTCTTCTTCTTCTTCCTCTACTTCTTCCAAAAAAGCTGCTCAGACTTCCCCTGTGTCTTCCTCGTGTAAAATCCCTGACGGCCCCCCCACTAGTCCTCCAGCTTGCGTTGTGCTCACACCACAAACCCCGGCCAGTTCCTCTACCGTCTCCTCTCCCACGAAAACCGCCCGAACCCCGGTCTCCCCCATAAAGTTCTCCTCCCCTCACAGGAGGCGGCGGCGTGCTCACGCAGCGGCCTGCTTGACCGAAGCCACCCTCGCCACGCCGCCGTCCGCGCCCCGCCCGGCGGCTTACCACCACCCGTACCACCCCGAACCCTGGACGCCCGAGTCGCCCATCCTGCTGCTGCTGTCGCGCTTCTCCCACGCCACCGACCCGAGCGCGGCCCTGATCAGCGCCGGCGTCATGTCCGGCTTGCTCTACTACCTCACGCAGCACCAGGACCCCAGCAGCAGGTGCTTCCGGATGCTCTGCAGGCTGAGCTGCAATCCAAACTGTTTGCAGGCGCTCGTCCGGACCGGCTCGGTGGCGCTGATTTGTCACCATCTCTGCCAGAGAGGAGGCGGGTACGAGGGAGAGGACCGGCAGACGGACCGAGTGAAGGCCAAAGTTAAACAACTCGGTGAGCAAACGATCCTGCAGCACAGTAACTTTAGACCCCAGAACCGTAAAAAAAAGGGTTAAAGATAGTTCACATTGTATTAATTTTGTATCATTAGTGCATTCTTGTTTATGTCATTGAGATGAATTCTTTGGAGGAGCGATGCAACAATCCAACTTGTAGCCTTCAGCTACTAAAGAGGATATTCAGTTGCTCTCTTTTCTTCCTAATTCTGACATGAATAACACTCAAGAACCAGCTTTTCTACAATCGATCAAAACATCTGATGAGTTGTTGTTTCAAACCGAGCAGTCTGTGACTTAACGTGCACTGCCTGTCCCTGCAGGTTTTGCTCTTCTCAGTAATCTGCGCGTCCAGTGTGAGTCTGGATTCGGCTCGGGGGTCGTTGCCCACGTGATGCTGTCGGGCTCCGAGTCCGACAAGATGAACTGTGCGTTGTCTCTGCCGTTAATCAGCAGGTGAGCTCCGGATGAACAGGAACACGATGAACATCTGTAAATGTGGCGACTGGGAATTCACAAGAGGGAAAACAAGTCTAGTGAAAAAAGCAAATATTCTGATCAAGCGATCACAAAGTTGGTAACCTTTCTTTCCTCCAACAGCAACAAGTCGTTGTTGAAGAAACTCCTGGTGGACAGCGGCGGGCTGCTGCTGGCTCTGCAGCCTCTTGGCTGCCATGACGACGACGACGACGACGAAGACCAAGACCAACCCACTGAAGGTGGGAAGTTTCTCTCTGACTGGTTTCCCTCTCCGCATTCCGGCCGGACTTCTCGCCTCCACTCGCTGTTCTCCTCCCTGCTCATCGGGTGCCTGTCCGCCCTGACTGCTGGCTTCCAAATGGATCTCGCCAAAAACCACCCAAGTCCAGGCCCGACGCAGTCAGCCGGCGACATTGAAGCTTTCCCGCCGCCCTCGAAAAGGCCTCGCCTGGCGGACACCTGTCCCTACGGGGCCTCCAGCTTCGACCTCCTCCTGTTGCTAGACGACGGGACTCGGGTCCAAGCCAGCAGGGAGGCGGTGGGCGGGGGGGAGGAGGAGGCCGACGGGGTCGGCTCCGAGTACTTCCGGGCTCTGCTGCGAGGCGGGTTCGGAGAAGCTCGGCGTGGCGCGGAAGAAGCCATCCGCATCAAGGATGTCAGCGCAGGTGTGCTGCTGCCGGTGCTGCATTACCTGCATGGCTGTCGCCTCCGCAAGGACGCAGGAGCAAACGGGGGAAGTGACGAAGAGAGGAGAGGACGGTGTCCCACCCTGGAGAAAGTAGTGCTCGAAGGACTGGCGATGTGCCGAATGGAGACGGAAGGCTTCGCTTTCCAGAAGAGCGCTTTAGGCGAGATGATGATTGGAGCGAGCAGATTCCTGGTGACGTCCTTGCAGAGCGAGTCGGAGGCTCTCTGCGTGTCTCTTCTGCTGTCCTGCTCCACCAAGGCCGAAGGTCGGGCCGAGAGGGCTGCGCGTGAAACGGACCACGAGTCCGCCGAGGAGAACCTGGCCAATCGGACGTCCGAGCTGGAGTTGTCCGGCTCGGAGGGACAGACGGGGAAACCAAGCTGCCCCAGAAATGAAACCGTCAAAAGTGGCGCTCCAGCTTCCAGGTCCCTTGATCCGGAGGAATCGAGGTCAAGACCAAAGAACTGTAAAAGTTCAGGGCCGCGCCTGAAGCCGGCCGCCGGGGATTCCCTCCGCCGCGGAGGAGACGCGTCCCTGGCCGCTCTCCTCCCACAGATGCACTGGTTCTCCCAGCGGTACGGCTACCCGGCGCTGGGCCGGGCCTGCCTGTCTCTGCTGCTGGGTTGTCGGGACTGTCCCCGGCCCTTTGCGTCCTCCTCCCTGGCCGGGGCTTGTCTTCGCCGACTCGCCAGAGAGGCCGACTGCGCGCAGACCCTGAGACGGGAGCTGCTGAGTGTCGCCGCGGCAGCTCTGGGCTGAAGATTCAGAAGGTCGAGTGAGTCGGCCGTGCGGCTTCTTCTGAGCTTTGAGAAGCGTCGTTTTTGTCAAATGTCTGGAAGGTTACAACAACAAGCACGAGCACCTGAACAGCTGTATGAATTATCCGTTGATTTACCGTTGACAGAAGTAACCGTTGATTTATTTTCATGAACTGGATTCAGTTTTGATGTAATCTGATATGAACTGTACCCGGTCCCGGCATGACATGATTGTATCCTAATTTACTAATGACATTTTTGTTCTTTTTTTTCTTTTTTTGGAAGAAGTCTTAATTTGATAAGTGTCGTTTAGCTGGAAGTGCTGGAATTATCAGGTTTGGTCTAGTGGCCAGTTGTTTATTTTGTACATAGAGATAATATGGAAAAGAGGGTTTACAATGTATAGATTCCAACTGTCCCATTACAACTCATGCCACTGAATACATGTTTGGAACATCACCTGGCGTTTTGATTTCTTTGCCGTCGCATCGCGGCTCAGCGGCAATCGCTGCTCTCCGCTCCGCCGCCGTACAGCCTGCGAGCGATTCACCGCCTCAAGACGACGAGCTGTGATGAGTTTTGACGATCTGCTGACTTTTAGCTTAACAAGGTCAAAGGTTAATGTAAGCTTAAAAGATTTAAAGTTTCTTACTGGGACATTAAACGCGGTGGCTGGAAAACGTCTAAACGAGAACACGCAGTTCGTCGTGGGACGTTCATGTGCTCAGGCTCATTAAAACTTTCCAACTTCGTCACGCTGAGAGGAAAGGCCTTTTGTAGAAGGTGTAAGCTAGCAAATGAAAATGTATAGTGTGTCGGCCGATTTGTGTTCACACTGAGAAGATTATCTTACACGTTTAGTTGAGTAAGTCTGTTCTTATTTCCTCTGCAGCGCTCCACACCACCAACCCTAAATCACACATTTAAAAGCTCCTATCGGCAGCGATCCCCCCCCCCCCCTCCCCAGTGTTGACCTTAGAAATAGACCCGGTCGGGGGAAAACAAATGACACCGATCACAACGCGGCACAAAGTGGTTTTATTGCTGTCTAGGTGGCCCCTCGTTCGCTTGAGTTGAGCCAAAGTTCGCCGCAGTCTGATGCGAGCAGTTAAAGGCCGGCTGAGGAGCCCGGCCCGTCCTCTCAGTGGTGGGACTCCTCGTAGCCGCCGGGCAGAGCGTTGGCGTGCGCGTTGTGGAACAGCGAGTGGTTGCCGTCACCCCAGGGGAACTTCTGGAAGGAGACAAATAAACACAGAGGTGAAGTCGCAGAAGGAGGGGAAAAAAAAACACAATCCCCCCCTGCCAGGCGGTCTGGACGCACCTTGGTGCGGATACGCAGGTGAGGGTATGGCACAAATTCTGGGGCTTCGTGGGAGTGTGCCTGCATCTTCATGTAGGCGTTGGCAACGCAGACGGCGACGCCAGGTAAGGCCAGCACGAAGGTCAGGATCTTCCAGGTTCTCGCTGTGGGAAACAATCAGTGAGAGAGAGACTGAAGCACCGGGTGAAGCTTTGGAGGCAAACGAAACCATAGCGGCTGCGTCTCTGGTCCATATCAGTAACACAACATGGTCCCTGAGCTTTTGGGCTTTAAGTAGAGGTACATGTGCAGGACGGCTGGTCAAGCTCAAGGGGCCGAAGCTCAGAACCTGGAGGCGTCGATGCGTTTTGTTTTGGAGGGGTGAAGGTGAAGACGCACTGACCTCCTCCCTCGTGGCTGGAGTGTGACGCGGCGGCGAGCACCCGTCGAGCAGCCAAGGCAGCCGGAGCCACAGACATCTGGGGCGGAAGATTGACTCAAACGTTATGACAATGTGACACGAGTGGGTTCTTAAGGCCCGCTTCAGGGAGCTTTTAACCGAGTGCCAAAACGCTACGGAACCCTGTTGGAATAACGACAATAACTCGTGCAGATTGATTTGTCCGTAAGGCCCTTTTCAAACAACCAACAGCAGGCCCTTCAGGCCGAGTCTACCAGTGCTGTTGTGTATCAAGTCATTACAAATTGAAAATACAAGAAAATCAGGCGAGAACTTACTGTTCTTCAGGCAGTAATCAATATTCTTTGAAACCTTTTGTTTTTTCTTCTAGAAAGCTCCACACTAGTTTTGTTCTCTTCTCCTTCCTGCTCGTTTGCCCTTCAGTCTGTCCTAAACTGGACTCGCTGTGCCCGACTCCTCCCCTCTCAGATCTGTCCACGCGCCAAGAAACTTAGTTTATATTTGGGCCAGTGCAAAGGCTGCTGATATGTGACGAAGAGGAGAGGGGGGGGGGGAGACTCTGTGTGGCCTGAGTGTAAAAAGAGCAGAAGGCTGATTAATTCCCATTCATGTCTTAATTAGACAAATCGGGTTCATTCACCAGATTTCTAACGTATTAATCATCTAATATTATAAGTCCTTTTGGTACCGAGATTAGATGAATATACCCGTATATATGTGGACCATGTAGTTACCTGTGAGGAAAGTATTTAAAGAAAACTGTACTGTGCCTTCACACTGCTGTGCTAAAGCCATAGCGTGAAATCCTAAAATCCTAAAACAATCTGTGATATTTTGGCCAGATATGTTCGACAAAAATGTTCTCTTGTGTGAAAGAATGTCAAGTAAAACTGAATTGATTATTTAACAGACAGTTGTTTTACTTGTGGTAGTGTTGCATTAAGCATTAAGCTCTCTCCTCATGCAACACGCTGTGTGGTTTTTTGCTGCTGGTTGAATCCCGCGGCCTTCAAAATAAAGGGTTTAAGCTGATGAACCCGCACAGAGCCTGACGTCTTAAAGGAGCAATGTTACTTTTACAGTTTATAAAGGTAATTTAATGAAACGTGTCAAAGGCAAATCTTGTATATAGCTTTAGCTTTACTACATGTTGATTAACTACTTTTAAGTTTAATATTGTAAGTGTAGTCTTTTTTTTTAAACACTCTATTTCTACTTTTACCCAAGTATGTGATTTCTTCTCAAAAACCTTCACACACAGGCACTTTTCTCAATTTTGAATGTTCTTTTTGTCCCGTCGGCCGAGTGTTGATCCTTGATTTCCTCGCTGTTATTGATGCCTTTGTGGTCTCCGTCTGGGCGGCTTCGGGCCGCGGTGCAAACAGCAGCCGGAGCCAGAAGTGATGTCAGCCGGTCATGCGAGCAGCCAGTCTGAATGTCTCGCACTCGTGTTATTGTGGGCAGACGTCAAACACCCCTTCAGCTCCAAAGCTCCAGCACGGCCATTTATTATACTGGCATACAGCTGGACACCGTGAGGCTTGCAGGTGTGCAGCAGTCATTTATCCACACAAACGTAGGTTTACGACCCAACTAACCTAACGCACGTTAGCGGAGCCTCATTCTGAGCTTTTTGTTGGATGGATGATGGACGGCCACAAACAGACAGACAGCGTTTCCATCAACAGGTGGAGTTTATAAATGCACAGCAGCCGGGGGGGGGAAACCCTGCAGACTCAACACAGCAAAGTGGACAGACGCATAATGATGTGCAAATAAAGAAAATATATATTTTCCAAAAACACGACGGCTCCCTTCACCTGACTGCATCCTCTTACAATCAAGTTTATAAGTCACAGCGTGAGAGGATCTGAGTCATGGGTCAACAGTTATGACGCTAAAGAAGATGCGGTAGACTGAGTTCAGGTGAGCATTCCCCTTCATGACATCCCTTAACACACACAAACACACACACACACACACTCTGTCTGTGTGTACTTCATGCCAAGAGAACTGCTGATTGTGTGCAAAGCAGTAAGTGTGTGTGAGATGTTGGACGGAGGTGAAAGCCGTTAGAAACAGTCTGTCCCCTCTTTGCTTCGTGAGTTTGTGTGTCTCTCTCTTTCCAGGCCGCTTTTGGACAGAGACCCTTTCTTCAGCTCGACTTATAGATTTTTAACAAGATGTTTAAAAAAAAGTTTTTTCACCAGAAAAAGGCCAAAAGATGCTGAGTACTGAACTGGAGCATCTGGCTCCCGAGGGACCAGATATTTCCATCCAGGTTGGAAGAGACCAAAAACTGAGCTTAAAAGCTCCATATTTCTGAATGAATCTGCTAGATACACATAAATAGACAACAAGTTAATGCGTGATAACGTGTTGTATTTATTGCCTGATCGGATTCCACATCTTATTACTGTTGTTTTTAATTCTACTAACACTCTTCGGCCACATCTAACAGTAGCTGTTCTCTGCCATTGAAATGTATTATCCTCCTTAGTATAAAGAACCTTTGTGTAGAGATGCTGCGTCATTAAAAAGGACCCTGACAGGCTGTTTTATGGTCAGCTGCTTGCTTCACTCTTCGTTCCAACTCTTCCATCTGACTTCAGCCTTCAGATTCACGTTCCCCTTTTCTACACCTGTGCCCATATTCTCTCTGATGGAGTAAACTTGCTGCGGTAGTGTCCTCCTACCAGAACCTGCCAGATGTTTGCACGCTACATGGAGCCGAACACCAATATTGAGCCCCAGCTGTTCTAGCGGCTGAAAGAGGAGCAGGAGCAGAAAACCAAACGGTCCAGTCCTCAGGAAAAGCGAAGAAAAAATAACTGAAAATCATTTTTATCAAAACTGAAATGAATAATTTCACCAGATTGAAGCTTTTCATAAAAAGTGTTAAAAATGCAATGATTTATATCTACGCCTCCGACCACCAAGTGGCACCCCGCTGGTTTTGACCAGCAGAGCATGTGTTTATTATTTTACACATGCTCTGGAACATTTTGGTTTGTTTTTAGAGGGAAGGAAACCATTTTTTTGCAGAATGGCTTCTCCCCTCAATGGACTTTTAAATCATTCCTATAGAGACTGAAATTCTTTGCGGATCCACAACTCTTAACTTTAGCGAGGGCATCATGCCCACCTGGACTGAGATCTAAACCACAATCTAAAGCTTTGTTGGATCCATCTTACAATCCGTTTTTCAGATTTACACCGGACACCAGTATGAAATCCACACGTAACACGACAATGCCTCATTTGCATTTTTAAATAACCGTGGCGTGACCTCCAAGGACACGTGAGGGCGGGAACACACACAGAATGTAATTTCTATGTGTACATTGGGGGGCACGCGGTGTTTCTAACACGACAGACCACAGGGGAACTGCCCTCCAGATGTGTCTCCGCAGACACTGCCTGTCCTCATACCTCTCTGCAGGTAAACCAGACACTGTCTGCGCCTCCGCTCACAACAATACCTTCTTGAAAACATGTCGATTTTACTGTCAGGGATAAATGTTTAGAAGCACATCGCGGGTGAGGGAGCGTCGAGTCAGTCGCGGGTTGTGTTATTGTCTCGGTACCACCAGAGGAGACGACGTGGTGGTCCTACCGCGTGACTTCACTTTTTCCTCAGGTGCATCGTGTCCGTCACGCGTGGCCCCCCAGACAGACGTGTGCGTCGAATGTGCTGTATCCGAGGTCAACACCTGGACTTAAACATTGGGAAACGACCTCCCACACTATAGAATACGAGGGGGACGGATGCTCGTTGTACTCCGTCTCGACACACTTTTAATTCAGATCCCAATGTTCTTCTGTAGAGAACCACGGAAACTCCTTTAAAGCCATGATTTAATTGAGCTGGCGGCCTTGAGGGCTTTTTTCTGCAGCGGTAGAATGAGTCTCTGTGTGTCCGTAATTGTTAATTGCATGTTTTTTTACTAACGAAACACCCAACATAATTATACAAATTATTTTACGTTTACTTAGTAATTTCCACAGGATATTTACTCTATAACACATTCTGTTTGCCCTCCTTATTTATAGAAGGACTAATGATTGCTCCATTGACAAATCCCAAGTAAAACCGGGCCGCTGTTTAACCGTCTTTGACGCAGGTGAGTTTGTTTTTGAGGATGGCTGAATATATCATAATATCAGTATGAAAGGCATTGAGCTGGACCTTCTCCTGTGATACTGAGGAGAACATTCTGATGAGGAAACAAAAGTGCAGAACCAGCGCTAAGAGGACGATGAAGCAACGCAGTGAGACGAGGAGAAAGCTTTTCCTCATGCAGACAGGGTGCTTATCTGTCCACTGACATGATGTGTGTCCTCTGTCTAGATGATTGTCCTCATTGAATCCTTCTCTCTGCTCTGCACATTGCATATTTGTACTTCACTAAAAGGTTGTGTGGCCTCCCTGGCTTTCAGTCTTCTGAATGACATTTGTCAACTTTCCTCTTGAAGCAGAAAAGCATTTACCCGAGAAAAACGTAAAAAAAAAAAAGTGAATGATGCTGCAATAAACCACAAGCTCAATGTCACCAGACTCTTACAAATCCTTGGATTTTCTGGCTTTAGCATCAAACGTGTGTGTGTGTGTGTGTGTGTGTGTGTGTGTGTGTGTGTGTGTGTGTGTGTGTGTGTGCGCGCACGGAGGGGGTGGACTGGGCAGTAGGAGGGTATCAGAGAGAGTCCCATATATAAGACACCGGGAGTAGTGCGCCTTCAAGTGTCTGTCTCTCCGTTCTTCTGTCCATCAGTTGGTCTCTCTGGTCTCCTTCAGCGCTGCTCTGTTTTCTCCACCATGCTGGTTCCAGCTCTGCTCCAGACCTCCCTGGTCCTCTGGCTGGCTCAGCAGACTCTGCAAGGCGGTGAGTAGAGCTCCAGGACATCGCATGTAAAGACCGAACGCTGGTGTTTGCTCAGTCCTCCTCCTGATGAGGATGTGTCCAACTTAGAATGATCAGTGATAAAATGATTGGTTGAGAGAGATACAATCGCATCGTAACATATATATATTTTTTTATTTACAAAGAAAAGTTTGGTTACTTCTGCACAAATTTCTAATATTTAATGGTACATTTTCATTTTCATTTTGGTAATTAGTAATTTTAAGTGGTGCCTGTTGACACGTCATCTCATCGCGCCATTTCACCTTCAAAGCTCTGATGGATCTCCAATGATTCGCTCTCACTCACTCGCTAAATATCATGTCTGTGAGACCGAGGGAAAGAAGAAAAAAAACCCTGCACTACTTGGAGAATGAGTCACCGCGGTTTACGTGATCTCATTTCTTTGAATCAAAGGCCGCAATGAAAAGGTGGCACAGGCGGGTCAAATTTGACGACCGAACGTGAGACAAACAGAAAGTCGCTCGCCCTCTTTTTCCATCAATGGGTACCTGTTCCTCTCGCCTCACCTGTTGGTTGCCAGGTCTGGTGACAGTATTCATGGGACACTGGTGGCATTTGTAACACTCAGTAGCTTAAAGTGTATATATATTTATATGCCTCTCATACACACCTCAGTAATAAGGCTTTTGGTCTATTAGATACTGCATAAGCTGTTAAGACACATTTTGAATTACAATTGTTGGTATTTAAAAATCCTTTTACATATCTAACCCCTACCAGTTATACAATGTTAGTGTTTTGATATTTCTATTTGTTAGGAGTGAGACCACAAAGGGTATCCTGGGGACGAGTGCAGCCAGCTCGAGGTAGGTCTCCAGTTTTTATAACTTTTTTCATGCACATATATTGTGTTTTAATTACTTTGAAGACAGCAGTCATTTTCTTCTTGTCAGGTGTTGGCGTTGGAGTACAACCTGGAGGTCAGATGCATTTACCATTACGCTTAAGCCAATTTGCTAACCAATGACTAAATAATAAATATGCTTTGGTGCTTTATTTACATTTACAGAATGCTTAAATTTAAGGCTAAAACACAGCAGAAGGGCAGTAAATTGTGCAATGGAATCTTTAACTGTTTCTCTTGTACTTTTTCTCAGTTGCAGGTGCCCTCGGAGCAATGGGGAACCGATATGGCACCAAAGCCATGAAGACTGGAGGTTTGCTCAACTTCCTGTTCACCTCCTTGCAGCAGTGACATGTGTGACTTTCCCTTCAAACGACAAACGCTGGTCTCCTTTCTTTCTTTAACTCTTAGTTGGACGTTATTCTGGGGCTCAGCTTGGCGTTGGTAAGACATTTTTTGCGAGTCTCTTTGCACACTCTGCTGCTTACCTACAATGTAAAATACTTTTGATTGTTTTTACAGGAGGTTACAGATCTTATGGATTAGGAAGTAGAGCCGGCCTGAGGCAAGGTGGATATGGAGCCCAGGGAGCCTATGGTACATCAATATAACCCCTTAACAAGCTCTCACGGCCTACTTGCTTTGTATGATCCCCCTTGAATCCTGTTGCTGATGTTGATTTGTAACAACCTTATGAGTGCCACATGCACATGTGATGCACATCCTGACATCATTTCTTTTCTTTGCAGGTGCCGCTTTGGGCACAGCGATGGGGACAGGACATGCAAATGGACTTGGTTATGGCCAGGGCGGAAAACGTGGTAAGACTGAAATATCTAAAGTTAATAATGTTCACTTGATGTATTTTGTAGATCAAGTTTCTATTGATCAGGTTACCATATTATCAAATAAAGAACAGTTACAGAGGAGCAGGTTATTTGACTTCTTCTTCTATCTTTCGTTAACAGTTGACAGTCTCTTTGTAAATTATACCGTGTTTCTTTTGACTTCCCAGGTTATGGCGCTGGCCTGGGCACTGTGCCAGGTAAGCAGTGACAGATTTCTGTGATTTCCTCACATTGTTTGTGCGACAGAGAGTTTACACGGTGAAACCCTTTGCTTGTTTGTGTGATGAATCTCCACTAAGCCCATTGCCTCTCTGCAACTAAACAAACAAAACAAAGCCCGGGGCACTAGTGATGTAATCAGAGTTACAGATTTGCCCCCACAGCCTTTGAATTTGGCTTTTTCTTCTGTTTTTCTCACCAGGATATGGGGCTTTAGCCGGCAATGGCTATCATGGAACCCGACCAGGCAAGTGATGAATCATGTCTTACCTCAGAACCAAATTACTCGGTCCGGTCAGCTCAAATTTGTATGCTGGAGGGTATTTTGTAATGTTTCAAACCCTCGCCGATGCCAAAGCGCACACGCAGGCCGTCAGTTAAAAAACAAACAAACAGGTTCATCAGATTGCACAGAAAACCGTGTGATAATCAGATGATTTAGTGCCACATTTGAAGATAACGTCGCTCAAACACGCCAACACGCTGCACAGAGGACGAAGGAACAGAGATGTGGTAAAACCTTCACCACAGCAGCCTGCGGTGTTCGTGTCTGTCAGCCCGTGTGTGTCTTTGTACTGTTGTGTGTTCGCCTGTGCCCTCTGCGGAACTGGTGTCTTGTGAGTTCTGCAGGTTGAGTTCATGCTAACTTTGTGTTGGCATGAAGTCACATTAAACCTCCTCTTTTTTTATCATCAACTCTGTGGTTATTTCTGTGTTTTGTCGAGGTTGCATGAGTTCCCAAGCTCGTAATACCACAGTTTAAAGTCTGTGATGGTTGATGTACTTACTGCTGGAAAATAGGTTATGCAAACTAAATACACACTAATTACCTGTGCAATTAAGTTGAAGGTGAAATACGCTGTATTTTGCTAGAATCTGAACAACAATTCTGCTCATCTATTTGAGTCAATGGGGAGAAACAAATATTCACACATGCATGTAAGGATACTGTGATTAGCTTACTGTGGTCCCAGCTCAGCTCCCCACTATCTTGAGTTATGGAATGCATGCAAAGGTTTAAAGAAAGGTCTGATGAATAAAACTGCAAACATTTTTGTTCTCTTAAAAACATTTGCTGTGTACTGCAGGTTCCTGCCTTCACAAACCACCAGCGTCTGCTGGGCTTGTATTTATCAGTTGTCTCTGTCACACACTGATGAGCCCGTTGCCCTGGTGTGTTTTGTGGGATGGCAGCATTTTGTTGTCATGTGTGGATGTCATTGCTCGGTGACTCAGTGAGAAGCGCTACGACTGTCCTTTCAAAGTGGGGCTTCAGCTGTATGCTGTCTCAGCTCTAATTATGGTGATGATTATGTCCTCTGACACTGGACTAGTTTTAAGCCATAATGGGTGTTGCCTTGTTTCCTTTCGGTCTGTTTCGAGTTTCTTCCATTTGAGTTCTGATTATACTTTGGGTGATGTGTTGTGTTGCGTTGGATGCTCTTATACACATCTGATGAGCTGCAGAGGTTATTTTGGCCCCAGTGTGCCGTTGAACCTCAAAGAAACACTGTTGCCTCTGCACAACCAAGACGCCGTGAATCTATGATGATATTTCTCTGCCAGGTGTGTCTGCAGCAGATTTGGGTGGACCTCAGATGGCCAATCTGGGCCGAGCTTCCCAAGATCTGAAGAGAGAAAAGAGCAGAGCAATCGGTCCCTCGTATGGCGACAGAACTCAAGCCGGAATCCCCGACATGCGGAGAAGCGATAAACCGACCGATCCCTATTTGCAGGAACAAACTGGCTTCAGACCTGCTGCACTGCCACACGGACGAGAGATCAAAAGCATGGATCTTCTGGGCAAGTCATCGAGTCTCAGACCGTTGACACCTCTTGACAAACCGAGTAAAGGTCTCAGTCTCGCTGCTTCACAAGCACACGGAGGAGAGAGCTACGATCCTGCAGTCTTAGAAAGGAGGCGCGCGGTTAACCATGCGCTGGCCACCATGGGGGTGAGACAGCAGCAGCCTCCGGTCAAAGATAACGCCAGGACTCCGGGTCCTGCTTCCTCTCACCTCCAAAATGCAAGAGACTACGATTCCACCGTCCAACGGAATCAGCAAGCCCCGAACTGTGGATCCACCCGTGATTTGTTAGACATGTTGGGAATCCCTCACCAGGAGCATCTGGGTTCAGAAACGCAGAGGACTCGAGGTCCGGCGCTTCCACCTCATTTGGATAAGGACGGGAGCCCTCTTGGACACGCGACTCCACAAGCACAAGGAGAGAGAAGCTATCAGTGGCCTCGTTCACTAACTCAAGATGGCGGAGGCAATTCATTCCCTCAGGGAACCAACGGCTATTTCTCTGCTGTAGCAGAAGACCTCGGGCCTGTGGCTAAAGACAAAAGTGGACCTAGAATCCGTGGGACCGTTGCTGTAGAACGTAGTCATGACCCTCTGCAAGGAGGTGAGAGCCATGGGCCGGTGATCCCAGGTGAAGGGGGAACCCAAAGTTTAGGCATCGCAGCAGTAGAAGGGCGTGAGGCCAAAACCTTTACTCCTGATGGTCAGAAAGTGAAACACCTTTCCCTCGCAGAGCGCGATGTCAGGGAGTCAAAAGCCAGAATCCCAGGACAGACTGGGAGGAATGACCAGGCAACAAGTAAGAGCACAGCTTTGTCTTCATGCATAATGTTGTCATTTATTCTTTAGAATAGCACATTTATTGGGACAACTTTCAACTGAATTCCTATGAACTGCTGCAAACCCATTCTCAACTTACGGGATGTTTTATATGTGAACAGCAAACTCTACACAATAACTTCCATTTTCAAATAAATCCATATGTGTATTTGTAGTAGTAAGCAAAGCATTGGGCAGCGGCCACTATAACGGACAGGATAAAACAAAGGGGAGCTTATTGTCCGTATGATTCCACAAACAAATCGGCTTTTCTGTTCGCTGAGTGCTAAACCGTCCACAGTAAGTGGTCAGATCATTGACCTGTATGTGTATTGCTTGTACAAAAAATGTACATTGGGTGCAGTTTATCCTTTCGTGTCTGGACTGAAGTTTCACTGTGGTTCTTTTTTCTTTTTTTTACAAAACGATTTGCGGTTTTTTATTTTGATCCAATGATGTCATGAGGAGATGCTGAGAGAAGTGTTAGTATCTGGTGTTGTGGTTTTTGGGACTCGGTCCAGGAAAGTGTCAAGTGGAGAGGCTGCAAAAAAAAACATCGGACCGCGACAAACATTTTGAAATCCGTTGTGTGTTTTTTGCTCCGCTGTCAGCTGCACGTGTCCAGCACTCCATCAAAAACAGCAGCTTCCGTGTCTTCTGCGTATGGAAACAAGTGGATGAGGCGGCATGTTGTGTCCTGGTTTTATTGGGGTTTTAAAAGAAACAGACAACAGACTCAACCAAAAGCAACGATTGTCCTCCGTTTGCAATCATGTTCCATATTAATACAATGGATTATGCATCCTTCAGTCCCCCCCCCCACCCCTCCGAAAATCACAAATCCTTTTGCTGAGCTTGTGTTCCTCCTCAGGTTATATTGGCGGACCGGGGAACTATCTGGGAGCAGGCCTGGGCGCCGGGGGCTACGGACCAGGTGACGCTTCCCACCGATGCACCGCACACAAAAGAGTTCTTCTGATGGAGATGCTGATGTTACACTGCCTGTCATAATGCATTCTGCCTACAGGTTTGGGACAGGGAGCATACCAGGGTGCTGCAGCTGGCAAACACGCAGGTAAATGTTCTTTTTCTTCTTCTTTGTATTCATTTAAGGTTTGTTTTTCTAACTCTCTCTCTCTCTCTCAGCTGCTGCTGGTCTTGGACAAGGTGAGTTTAGATGTTAGATTCTGCCACAGGACGGAGGACGCAGGGTAGATGGTAGAACCATAATAAAGCGATCATTTGAAAAAGTGTAGGGTTTGTACGAGGTAAAATGTTGATGTATAGTAAACAAATGCAGAAGTAGCGAGGCTGTGGGTCCCGTGCAATACGTTTTGAATGTGTGCTAACGCAGGCTACGGCGATGGAGCGACGGGATACCTGGGTCACGTGGCGGGCAACGGCTACGGTAAGTGGCGACTCATCAGACTGCACACACGGGCCTTTAAATTCTACCAATCAAATTGTTGCGCTCTGCAAGTACAGAAGGCAAAACATAATTTGAATATAAGAAAAAAATGAAACTGTAGACTTTAAACGCAAGTGATTGCCTGGAATAGATTAAGAGGATCACTCTTCATTCTGTTTGGTGTCAGTCTTTGTTCTTTGTCATAATCATTTAAAAAGTTGTAACACTAAAGCTCCTTTTCTCAGCAGGTTATGGGAATGGTTACAACAATGGTCACGGGGCCGGTGAGTGTTAATTAAATACAAAATATGAGAACAAGGTGGTCTACTCAAAGGGTCCTTAGCCCACAGATACGTAGTGCTAATTAGCGCTGTGTTTCAGGCCTCGGTTACCCATCAGAGTTAGCTGACGGTGCTGAGAACAAATCAGGGAAGCGTGAAGGTAACAATTTTGGGGAATCATAACCTGCTCAAACCCGTAATCGGAGATGGCACTAACCCGTAGATGCTTGGATCTGCAACATTTTACAGCAGAATAAAATAAGAGGCCGCTGAGGAAGCTAAAATGCCCGGTGTTTTCCACTGGGTGTAGCTATCGTCTCTTATTTATAGACGCTGACCAATTTAATCTGGTGCATTAATGCTCATGTAGAGGCTTTTCCCGCTATTTAATGTGCAGGTGTGAGTCAGTTAATAAATGAACAGTGTGTCTCACTTGTGTTTTTATTTCTGATTTTTCCAGCCCTCGGCACAGGAGGCTATGCTGGACAAGGACAGGGAGCATACGGTAAGATATTTGATTGAAATTATACCTTTTAACAATTCACCAATAATGTTCTTTTTGAATATTTTATCTGTGTTGTTTGTCCTTAAGGCCCTTCGCTTGTTCTTTCAGGAGCACTCGGTGCAGGACTCGACACCACTGGGGGGAAATATGGTGAGCAGAGCTGACAGGATGACCTCCCCCTTCTGTCGCACTATTAGTCAGGCTTCTGTTCATTACTGGTTTCTATGCACGGGTGGGGTTCGAAAAAGGGTAGAAGACTCAAGTTGGCCCTTCTGAATTCTTCCTCGCAGGAGGAGCTCAGGTTCCTTACGGTAACGCTCCAGTGATCCCAACTGGACTGGAGGGTAAGATGCGCACGCCGTAGCCACTTGAATTCAGCCTTTGCTAAGCCCCGCCCCCTGCTGTTGTTTCCAAAGCAGTTTCAAATAAACGAAACTATAACACACTCGTATTACAGTATCATCGTATGAAGTATCATACCTGTTGATTGGACACCAAGGCGTTCCCATTACAGTATTTGGGACTATGGTTACCTCTGTAACTCTCAAGGCCTCTTTGTTATTTTTGTTTATCAGGACACAACAACCTCACTTTGTTACACTACAATCACCCATCCTGCTCATTAAAACCTCCACGGCTACCAGAACCGTTAAATACTAAATGGATTTGTCCTCCCCTCAGGGAACGGTGGCTACCCGTATCCCGCTCAGCAGCTCAACCTCGGTGCTGAAGGTGCCAAATCCGCCAACAAATATGGTGAGAATGAGTGTGTGTTTTGTGTGTTAGGGAGCTGGGGCCACAGAGGACCTTGACTCAAAAGCAGACTCAAGGCGAGGAGGTCAAGGTCAAAAAACAATGTCTTTACTTGGGGCAGGGGGGTTGGGTACACGGGTAGCCGGACAGAGCAGGCGGATTAATCCAAAACGGTGGGCAAAGATTGACGGGTAGACAGAAACACGGGACGGCGCACTCGGGTAACTCGCTGGTAAGCTCAGGAAATGACAGAAAACACAACTGAAAACAAACAGTGACCTAACACCCCAGTCTGGGTGTTACTGCGTGTGTGTGTGTGTACGTGTGTGTACGTGTGTGTACGTGTTTGTGTGTGTGTGTGAGAACTTTAGGGTGAGAAAACGAGTTTGATGGAAAAGTAACAGGTTGTTTCGGCAAAGCAGCAGGGTGTGATAATCACACTGAGCCGGCAGCCCCCAGTCGAGTAATAAGCGGACTAGTTGTTCACCCGATGCAGGACAATCTGAGATAAGATTAGACATCAGGCCCTTACCTGTGCACGTGAAGATGAAAATCATAAATGTGTTTTGTCTGTTGTGAGATTGTAACTTCCTTGCCTTTGTTTGATAAGGTTACGGTGCACATCTGGGAGCCACTCAAGACGCCTTGAGTAAGCAGTCCTCTATTTGCTCATTCAAGATCGACTTCCACACACTTTCCTCTCTCTGGTGACCTCATCAGTGCGCACTGCATACTCATGTTGCATCTAATGATTCTGCAGTCTCGCAATTTGTTCAAGCATTCACATTTTACCTAAGTGAAAGAAACAAAGTAAGTAAGACACTTTTGTAAAGTAAACTGAACATTAACTTTTATTTAAATCGCTGCAATATAATGAACTTTTATTTAAATTGCTGCAATATAATGAACTTTTATTTAAATTGCTGCAATGCCATGAAGTAGAACTGCATATATCATGGATTATTTTCCACCCAAGAGCCCGCCAAGTGAATCGGCCGAGTGCTCTAATTTAATCGAAACATTTAGGTTTAACCGCGCTGTCAAACCTCAATTTTTTTTAATAAATGTGTTTTAAACACATTTATAACATTGATCTGCGTTGGTCCTTCTTCACAGGAGAGCAAGTTGGCCAATACGGCGAAGTGAACGGCGCCCTTGGAAATGGATACAAAGGTGTGAATAAGGGAATGTAATCGGCGGATGGAGGCCCAGTTAAAACGTCGTAAACTATTAAAGCTTCCGCCAAGGTTATGAATTCTGTGATTCGTTGCCTGTGCACCCTCGTGTTTGTGTCCTCCCTGTCCTCTTTGTCTCTGTCTTTGACCGGGCTAATTTAAACATCCTGGGCTTCTTCAAGTGGACCATTTCCATAATGTGTTAAATGTCTTTTTAAAGCTTTGTGTGTTTGTGTGTGTGTTTCAGACCTGTTGGTTTCTGTTATGTCTCTATTTTTAACGTCCTGGTCTTTTTTCTTTTAGTTAACTTTTTTTTTTTGGCGGCCCGATAGTCTAATTTGTCAGTGCTGAACAAACTGGTGGTGATGCACGGACATACATGTTTGTAAAGTGCAAGAGGTTTGCCTCAGTGTTTCAAAATAAATATGAAAGTACTTATAAAATACATTTTGTGTCAAATGATGCCAATTAGAAGCTTCTGAGTGAAGAACATGTGACACATTGTTCCATGTAAGAGCCTCCTCTGTTCACAGGAAGTTCTACCACTTCCTTTCTCACCTCAGGCAACACTGCAGACAACACGCAACAACGAACACTCAAATCTACACCGAAACTGGTGACATCAAACACGACATATTACAAACAGATGTTGTCCTTTTATTATGGTTAAACATCAAAAATACAATGGTGTGATTACAATGCACTCTATTATTAGCTTGTATGCATAACAAAATGCAAATCCAATTACAAAATGTGTACAATCTGCAAGCATGTTATGCGCGATGAAAATAAGCCATGAATGCGTTTACAAGTGAAACCTCGGTGGAACTCACATCTCGACAGCCACAACAACTCTGCAGAATGAATGGTGCAATACGACACAAATACACACACCAGGTACACAAATATCTTTTCTTTAAACATTTTAGTTGTGCTGTTCAGTCATCTGGATCTTTTGCTGCTGTCAATTCCTCAGAGACTTCATGCAGAACGCTCTTCTGTCCAACACGTGCACACACAAGCTGTGGCAGACTTAAATCTTAATTAAACTGAATCAAAAACTGAGCATTTTACACGATTGTGTTGCAGGTCGGCAGTCGACAGAAAACATGAAACATTCTTCCCCAACAGACACGCGTCTCACTCTTTGCGATCAGCAGCTAATTAACAACGGATTCCAGTAATGGGGTTGTTGTTTTTTTTCGGTAATAACCATTATCAATTGATCTAATGCAACGAGCGACGTGGCTCTGAAAGCATCAGCGAGGACACACACAACTGTTACATCTCATCAAACTTTGACATTTCAGCCGCGAGACTCTGGTTTGTCAGCGAGCTGGTTCCATCCACAAACACCCCCATCTCCCGCAGGATGGCCTTTGGGATAGGATGCGCATGGCGGGACACGTACATGCTCTGCAGACCTTGACTCATGGGCGAAGGCTTGTAGTCCGTGCACGTGGCTCCGCTCAGATTCGGAGCGCATTTCACATCTACCTTGTAGAAGAGCTGGCCGTGCTGCAGGGCGCAGACCTCCTCCTTGACTCCAGCCTGGAGAACTTGGTTGCACGTTCCCAGCAGGTCGTCGTCCCACGTGTTGTCCTGATCCCACACTTCGAATCTCACATTTTTCCCGGAGGACACGTCCTGGGAACCCAGGTCCATCACCATGGCCCAGTGCGGGGAGTTGTTGTTCATAATGACAGGCGTACGCTGGGGCACGTCTCCGAGGAACACCTTCACGTAGCCGTCGGTGGCACTGGTGTGGTCTCCCCAGAGGCCGTGCGCCCGCTGCACCGTGATGATGACCCGCGCCATGCCCTTACGGGTCGGGCAGCAGTCTCTGTTCACGCTGGGGTCGTTGTGGCATTGGCAGACGCAGGTGTCCCTCGGGTCGCTCTTGACGCCGGCCCGGCAGCTGCTGCTGCAGTTCCTCCACAGGCCTTTCTCCAGGATGTAATGGCTGATGGCGGCGCGCATGTTCTTACGAACGGGGGAATTGACGGGGAGTAACTCGTGAAGCGAGTCCAGGGAACAGGACACTATGTCTGGATTCTGTGGCAGGGTGTTCAGCCATTCTTTGTAGGCTGATGGATTTTTTTGCGAAGAGAAGAGAAGGTCCGCGTCCTGGGTGTGACCCCCCTTTGTTTCTGTGAACCTGTGGAGAAGGAGAGTTGTTTCACCAACCGCTGTAAAGGCGCTTTTTCAAACAATATTAAAAAAAGGCCCAAAAAAATACTTGACTAATCACCTGTCGTTGAAGATGCTGGAGAAGGACTCCTGTCTTTCCCTCTTGTTGATGTCCTTCTGGCAGTGTTTTGTTTCAGTTTTGAGTTCAGCTTTGAAGCTGGCGGACGCCTCGGCCTCCAGGCACATCTCCGCCTCCTGCGAGCTGATTCCATTCAGGCTGGCCTGGCACTGCCTGATGCTGGTCACAGATCGCACGCTTCCTCCCATCTTCACCTGGATGGAGAGTTAAAACACGTTAAAACACGTGGTGTGTTGGTTTTACTTTTTCCAAACTGCCTGTGTTTTTTTTTTGTAATTCGGGTTTACCTTGGTGATGTAATGAGTGCCGAAGTTGTCGATCAGTTTGTAAAACCGCTGCTTATTTTCAGGGCTGTACGTTTTCGGTAGTTTCTTCAATGCTTTTTTAAATTCTCCGCTCAATCCGGGATTGCTGGACACTCCGTAGCTGTTGACGGTGAGAGCAGAAGAAAAAAGACGGACCCATGAATGAATACGAATGGATGAATATGGAGGAAAGCTGCGCGCCGCTCCTCCTCATCTTACCTGTAGAACTCGCAGGAAAAGCTGTGGCTCGCGAAGCTGAACTTGTCCTTCTTGGATTTTTCCATGGAGTATTCAGCCACTTTAGAATTGGTGCCAGCGAGCATCACGGAGGCGCTTCGCCCTCCCGTGTCGACATCCAGATTGACCTTCCAGTTGTTCTCCACAGAAGAGGTGAGGGAGTTGACCAGGGACTCGCTGGATTGGTGGAGCGCAGTGCCCACCTTCATGCTGCAGGACTGCATCGGCCTCCAGTTCACCACCGACAACGGGAGCTTTTGCTTTTGGTTCTCCAAATAGGGGTTGGTGCACAGGGTGCACGTCTTATCCTTGCGCTTCCACCTGCTCATGTTGAGCACAAAGGAGCCCTTACGCTCCATTTTGGTGATATCAAAGCCTTCCCCGGCCATGTTGGTACCCGGAGCTAATTCTGCCCCCGCGCACTGACTGGGTGTCCCATCTGTGCACGATTGACTCGAGCGCTGAAGGAGGGACAGCATGAGGCCGGCGTGGACGCAAATATTCAACAGAGACATGTCTCGCCTCGGTGATGGATGCGAGCTGAGGGTCAATCCTGAAAAATAAACTTTTCTTTTAATTTGATGTCCCGCCCTTCTGCTGACATGCAGTGATTTAAGCATCTGTGATGCATCGAGAAATCTTCTCTATATGCGGACCTTACAGGCGGTCCTATTCTGTCATCTTTATTTAAGTTCTGAGGTAAAAGTGGTCTTTTTATAGCTTCTCTACTTCAACGACAACATTTTGGACACATTTCTTTCTAAATGACGTCCTGGTGTCTCTTTTCAATCCGTCGTACATTTAGACAAACTGTCATTAGTAAAGCTTTGTACGTCATTGGGAAAATGGAAATTGATAAATAACATTTACATGTTTTTATCTCCTCGCATCTCAACGGCTTCATGTGAGTCATTCAGTAAACATGCGGTTTGTTGAGGATCTCCACTCTCATCGAGAATAGAAACCAAGGAAATGTAGAACTGATTTTTAATTTCCTCTTCAGCACAGTGTGGATAAGCACACGTGTAAATGACTCTAGAGCTCCTATTCCAACTTTAGACTTCTTTAATGTTCAGATCAGATGTTCTTTAATATTCATGGAAAACGTTTTTTTTTTCTCCATGTTTCCCAACCGCCAAACAGGATTTCATCCTCACTGTAAACTTCTTTTTATCGCTGTATTTTGGTCACAATTGCTCGAGTCAACATTTTACAACAATAGATGAGACAATGTTTCAAACTACAGCTCTCATAACAGTGAAAGGACTTAACCATACGTTAAAATGACTCAAAGATATTCAAGCAAATAGTTTACCAGATGTTTAATTACTTAACACGCCATTTAATAACCCAGAGGATATACCAACGTCAGCTCACACTCACCTTCGTCTTGCCTGTTCACGCCGCTCTTGAGAAACGGAATGTGAGCACGAATATCAGTGCCTGGCCTTTATAAGTAAGAACAAAAGCAGGCGGTGGTGAGGGGGTGAGGTGAGGGTGGTCTTTGAGAGACAAGGGAAACATGAGTGGTTTTGTCGACTTTGCGAGGGGAGGAGCCGGTGGTCTGTACGAGCTCAGACAGCCAGAGACAACGAGACCTGGCTTTCCAGTCAGTGACGAACCGGGGACCACAAACCCAACACTTCTCTGAAGTGTCCTTCGGGCCCTGAGAAGCCGGCTCTGCGGTCTTTATTTGGGGTCTTGACGTGACTGATGTGTGCAAGCCCAATTATGTGTGATAGAGGTTCCCACCTTTCTCGCTAATTCAAATAGACAAAAATCCAGTGAACTGATGTCGTGACAAAAGACATCCGCCTGCAGATGATGTCTAGGTGTCCCCTTAAGCTTGGTAAGGGGACAGATTACGAGACAATGGAAAGAGAAGCACCAGAAGAATGATCACAGAATCATAAAGACATGACGCTTCTTTAGATTTTTTGCATCACTCCATGGTCATTTTGAGTCTGTTTGTATGTTTGATTGAGTCTTGTCTTGATTTTTATTTGCTTTCTTAGCTTCTCTGTGATCATTTTACATTACTTTTTGGTGTTTTTTTAGGTTTTTTACATTTTTGATTTCACTCAAAAATAAGATTTTTGTAATTGTATACAATGATTTGAGATAACATTTAAGTGAGACACTTTCAGCAGCAAGTAAGGCATCCATGTTTAAATATACAAACAAATACAGGCACGTCATAATTGATTTTTGTATTCACACTTAAGTAAATTAAATATGGAGAAATAACATATTTCTAATAAACTATGTGTGTTTGAACGTGGTGTCTTGTTTGTCCCAGTCACACAGAGGTGTGGCTGTAGGCAACTACAGAGGTGGATGAAAGGTGGAGGTGGTGTGATTCATCCCCGATTCTTTTCTCAATTAGAGGATTACACTACGTCACCTGCTGCCTTCAAGTGCTCCTCGGAAAAGTCTAAATCAAAGTGCATCTTTTTCTCACAACAGTTAATTGACCCAATGATGGCAGTGTGTCTGTTTTTGTCTGAAAGTATGAGTCAAGCGATACAAGCATATGATAATTAAGAGACGCTGAAGATCATGTTTCTGAATAATTTATAAACCTGCAGAAGCAACCCATTTTTTCTTATGATTAAAATCTGAGCAATTCCGTGAATCATATTTTTCATAGAATTCAACAATCATGCATGTAAACATTATGTAAAAATATCGTCTTCCATTGTTAAAGCACGACTAAAGAAGGGAAATACACCATTTTTGGTCTAATCGTTCTTTCTGTTCATGATTACGCCCGAAAGCCCCGCTGCATCGAAGGCAGCTGCAGCTCCCTGACTGTTGGCATTTAAACTGCTGAGTGCAGAAAAGCCGCCCGAAACGACACCAAGTAAAACAGAACGAGACCAGAGGTTAAGAGAGTTTGCCTTCAAAATAAAAGGTAGTCTTTCTTTAAAAGTCAATCTGTTGATTGTGTATTGTTTCTAAAAGGACATCTAGCAAACCGAGTAAGCAAAGTGTGCAGCCGCTTTAGACATCGGGTAATGAAAGGTTCTAGGTTCCCTGTGCATCTGTTGCTTTGGGTAAATTGCAAATGTGTCATGTAAGACGTATAAACAATAAAGATGGCTCCTGTGCTCTCGTGGACCTTGGAAATAATATTCAAATGAGTTGCAAATATTTGCCCCAGGCTGCCGGGAAGGCAGCTGCATCTTATTTAAGTTAACCATGTTTACCTCAATGAGCAGGTACAGGCTCTTATATGTCATGAAGTCATTCCGGTTGTTGTTGCTGCCCAGTGTCTTGTAAACCACATAATAGCTTAGCACCACCTCAAACACACAAACCCATCAATAAATTATAACTAAATTATAGATATTGGCTTTTGTTGATTTTTTGACCATGATGTTATTGTTTTCAATGCATCCACACACAGTTATATGTAATAAAGTACGTGTTACGCTCCAATCAAAACCTAAAAAAAGGATTTTATTCTGAAATCAAAGACCGGAAGAGTCGTCGTGTAATCTACGTAGACTGACACTTGTGTGAAGGCGATGCAGGAGACTAACAGGCCGCCAGGGAAGTCTCTGCATTTCAAGGAATACAGGCGGCTACACATAATGGTGGGAAACCATTGGATAAAACAGATGTTGAGGAAAGAGAATACGAGCTTCACGGAGCGGACCGCGTGCGTTTGGGGCCGTGCGGCTCAAACATCGGCTTTCTCCTCCCGAGCCGCAGGACATCGGTAGCCGACCTGCCCGGCTCGCTGGCCCGCGGTCCTTCCCCCGAATCCGCGCTCAAGAATCCCGGTTTTTCGTCTGTAAAAAAAAAAAAAAATCACCGTACAACGTCTGTTTTAAAAAAAAATGATTTCACTCAAAGTAAATAGCGTGACCCGCTAGCCGTCTGCGGCTCGCTCCCGGTTAGCATCCTCCGGAGTCGGATGGGCGCGCGCCGGCGGCGGCTCGCTCGCAGCATCTTCGCCCCGGGGAGGGAGGAGGAGGAGGAGGAGAAGGAGGAGGAGGGGGAGGAGAAGGAGGAGGGGGACTCGTTCCAGCTCCGCCGGGGTAGAGGAAGTTTGCCTCCTGACATGACGTGGGACCTTTTGCATCTCGACCTGCCCCTCCGGGCCGTGGCGGCACCGGACGCGGACACCTTTCTGCCCTCCGACGCCCGGCTGTGAATGACCCGCCGCGCGCTCCCGACATGTTCGTGGCCGGCCGTGTCTGCCTCCAGCCTCCCCGGTGACACCCGCGCAGGAACCGGCGGCAGAAAGCGAACCGCGGCGAGCGAACAGCCCCCATATAGTCCCCGTCCTCCCCCCACTAAACAACACCAATGGTGTCCCACAAGCTGGTAGCGGCGGTGGTCTTGTTGAACGTGTACGTGGGCGCGCAGTCCGTCTACTACTTTTTCGGCGGCGTGCTTCTGACGTTCCTGCTCGCCATGGCGTTTCTGAACGGACCCCGGCTTCTGGACCTGACGAGTTCACCTCCGCATCTTCAGTTTAACAAGTACGTCCTGACGGGGTACCGGCCGATCTCCTCCGTGCACGACTGCATCAGGAGCCTGTTCTACCTGCACAACGAACTGGGGAACATTTACACGCACGGTGAGTAGAGGAGCGCGCGCGCTGCTTAGTCAGCAGGTGAGATTTCTGACCGCTCGCCCACAGCAGTGCACAGATGCGGTACAGATGCTGTGCTGATACAGTACAAGTAATGCACAAATGCTGTACCCATATTGCACAAATGTAGTACACATGCTGTGCAAATCCTGCACAGATACAGTACAAATATTGCACAGATCAGCTCACATACTGTACAGTACAAAAACATATACTGTTCCTGTAATTGTATCTGTACCAATGTGGCACCGGTGCTGTACCAGTGTACTGCACAGATGCAGTACAGAGACTGTACTTGTAATTCTATCTGCACGGATACTGCACCTGCAGCAGGATCCAGAAGCTGCACTAAAGGCCGGACAATAGGCATCCAGGAAGGCTTACAGGGTTTAAACCTCTTCATTTTAACATGTTGAAGCTAAATGAGTATTTGAAGACGTTTGTATATACAAGGTTTGTTTTGGTTCATAAAACGATTAAGTAACTTGAAGGTGCCGCAGAGTGTTTAATGTATTTAACTATCTGTTGGGTTGAAGGTGAGAGCGAGTTGGTTTCGTTGACATTTACTTAATGAGGATCTTGTATTTAACTTCCTGGAATCAGGAAGTTTTTATCCACAAAATGGATTAGCCAGCTACAGCTGTGAGATCATATTATAGCTTCACACACGCAATCAATTGATTAGAAATGCCATATTGTTAAATACTAAACCACTACTGCTATAGATCATTATTATTTTATTTTGAATTAATTGAGTAATGGATAACGTGACGTCCACTCCTTAAATGTTCCAGCCAACAGTGATTTTCATTTTACGGTGATTATAGAATGATTAAAACATACCTATGAATATTATATATTTATTATACCTTCTGAGAGTTAATGCCCCTAAATGTTACACGCTGTTTCTTTAACCATGAAATACTCTTTAACAGATATTTCTGTCCACCAAAAAGCAGAAGTTTGACATAAACGTAAAATGTCATTGTAACACAACACTATTAGTTTCTCTTTAATAAATTGCGAGCAATCTGGATGGTGTTATTGCAGGAGAGTGCAGGACATGATCAGCGTGTTCACAGACTTCAGATGACTTCCTCATTCCGGAGGTCAACGCTTCACTTCCACCTGCCAGCAGTCACAAATTAAACCCCGGCAGCGATCACCGAGGGAAGCGTCCCTGGGTGTCTTTCATTACCGTGGCGCAATCCGAGCACGTGACCCCCGCCTGCATCGAGGACTATATATACGGCAGCGACATTTGATCCTCCCAAGTGTGGCGGCAGTGATGCACAGCTGTGCGTGCAACGATTATTGTTTGTTTGTTTTTTTTGGTGGTGAAAAGTTTCCTCGGCCGGCTTGTTTTGCATATAAACTGAAAACATCCTGCCTGCAGCCCGGCAACCGCTTGGGCCTTCAGAGGAAGTCCTCTCCTTAGTATGCGTCCGCCAGTGGGACTGGGTACGATTGAAGGGGGGGGGGGGGCACAGATAAGACACTTAAAATAGATGTGTTACAGTAGAAGGCTTTGCCAATGTCACCTGGCTGGGACAAAAGCCTTGACATTGGGAATGACAGAGTGAGCGGGAAAAAAAAAAAAAAAAAAAGGCAGAGCCGGTGCGTTATGCAGAGCGATGAAGGATCGCAACAACTGCGCCCGGATCAAATGTCGCGGGGCGGACTTTTTCGCGCGTGGCAGCGAGCGCCTCTCCCTCGGCCAACGGAGGAAGCTGCAGCGGAGCTACGCGCCATCGTTACTTGCACGCTCAGCCTTTGTTGCCTCATTGGACGAGTTCAGTGGGAGCCCGGCCTTCAGACATGCGGCTCTGTCAAAGTTTCCATGTCATTTTCTTCTCGTGTTAACGCCCACGAGAAACTTCCTTTCAGTAAATATTCCCTCATGATGACTCATGCTGGAAGAAGCTAATTAAAGTATGCAACCACATACAGGATACAGGATACAGGAGATATAAATCAGTTAAGCGCATCGCGCACAAACCATTTCAAAAGTGCTTGAGGGTCGCGAGCCCCGACAGAGCCGCACACGACCGTTTACTTTTATCACTTCAGAGGTAAAACTTTAAAAAGCCTCCGTCCTCTGACCCCTCTGACCCCTCTGCAGGCATCCCTCTGGTCTGCTTCCTGGTGCTGCTGCCGCTCAACATCCCCTGGTCTCAGATCAGCGTCACGTGGCTGGGCGTGGTGCACTTCCTGGCTTGCCTGTCGCCCCAGCTGGGCTCCGTGCTCTACCACCTCTTCATGAACCACGAGGGAGGGGAGCCCGTCTACCACACCCTCCTCAAGCTGGACGTGTGTGGCATCTGCATGATCAACACGTTGGGTAAGGCCTCCGGGTATTCTTGTGTGGATTAGTGATGACCTCCGCTCCCGGCGTCTTCGCGCGCTTTGACGCTCCTCTTTGCGTGTGTTTCCTCGCCTCAGGGGCGCTGCCCATCGTCTACAGCACGCTGCTGTGCTACCCGTTCATCCGCACCGCGGCCCTCCTCGTCTACATCCTGCTGTCCAGCCACGCCATATGGTGCGCCGTCACGGCCCGGAGCAGCGTCCGCCGGCTGCGGTCCTTCGCCTGGCAGGCGCTGTTCCGCTTCTCCTTCTTCCTGCTGCGCTGGGTGGGCGTGGGCGGCGGCAGCCCCACCTCGCTGCGCCACTTCCTGACCATGGATGCGCTGGCCGTGCTGGGCGGGGTCATCAACATCACGCGCATCCCCGAGCGCTTCCGCCCGGGCCTCTTCGACTACTGGTGCAACAGCCACCAGATCATGCACGTGCTGGTGGTAATCTCCATCCTGTACCTGCACTGGGGCGTGCTGGACGACCTGCTGTGGATCGACAGCTACAACTGTCCCTCAGACTGAGCCCCCCCTCCCCCTCTGCAGCGTAGGGGGGGGCGCATCTGCAGAGGGAAATGGGAAAACTGGTGGAACGATGTGTTGTTCACCTCGTGCGCTCAAACTCCGAATGTTCACGCCTGCGTCTCCATCTCGGTACTTTTGTACGACAGGTAACGCGCAAAAGCATTTCGACCCCGCGAACATGAACACTTCAAAAAGTCTGTGGTAAAAGGGTCTCAAGCCTTTACTCGGCAGTGGAACTCTTGCTTGAGCATCGCCCCGTGTGGTTGGTGAGGACGGTCTGTGGCCGGCAGATAATCACATGCCACGTGTGCATGTACCTATGCAGCGCATCCACATCTCAACTCACACGCCTGTGTTTTCATGCCACGTGTTCTGTGCGAGTTGCCCCTGAGTTCTGTCCGCGCGTTCCGCTGGGTTTCTGCCACTGCCTCTTTCTTTATGAGGCTGATAAATCCTTTTCAGATGAGGAGGAAATGAAGCCGTGTCAGTGGGGGAGGGAGGGAAGGAGGGGGTCGTTTCTGAGCTTGATAGCAGCTTTGGGTTAACTTGCCTCTTCTGGCCTCCTCCGCACCTTAACTATCAGTTGTCGCCTGAGCTCAGTGCCAGCGGAATCAGGTTGTATAACTTTTAAAAACCTTTTTAGCGCCGCCCGCGACTGAACACGCCTGAACAGGCACTTTGAGTTCCACACTGAAATGCTGCCACGTTTTCGCTAAAGCGTGAGGCACTGAAGGTTTAGGGGGGGGGTGGCCAACCTTTAAGACTCCTTAAATGTAATTGTACAAACAATTGGACCGTGTACAGACAAAAAACACACCCGCGTAAAGTCACAACGTGCACAAAACACTGTACTAAGATATGTCCTATTTATTGTGTTGTATTTATTTGCTGATACAGGTAACATTATGTTTCTGTCTGCTGCTTAAACGGTTTACGTTGTTGCTGTGCAGGATCACAGGCTGACGGATCAAGTTAGAGGTCACAGAAAATCCCAAGGATTAGCTCCTCATATTCTCCCCATTCTTTTTTTTCTCCCCCCCAGCCATTTTTGCCAGTAATATGATAGAAAGGGTCTGTCTCTATGCCTGATGCCTGATAACATGAGACATTAGAAACCTGTTATTTATATGTCCATCTGTTCAATGAACATGGTTTTGTTATATTTGCCTGTCTATTTGCACGTTGACTCTAGATGTTGATGCTTTATAAACGTCAGTCATTACTGCCACAGATTATAATTATTATTATTTATGCTTATTTATTTAAATGCAATGCTTTTGCTCTGTGGCCGGATTTGTGGTTTGAAAGTAGTACTTTTTTTCACCGGAGTAAAGTTTAGACACTTTGTGTTTTCTTAAAGCAGAGTTGTACTTTCCTACCAAACAGAAATGAACCCTCGACTTTCACCAGTTTCTACGTGAATGTACACGATTTTAAATACGTTGCTTCGTGCTCGGGGCGAGCGGTTGAAGTGAGACTCGTTCCTAATGACGTTTGCCCGCCGACTAGTCGCCGATCCCTCCAGACACACCAAAGGTTTTGCCAAATCAGCAGCGTCTGAGGTGCAGCACACCTCATGCTTCCTACATGACTCACACTCCCCACCTCTCTTTTCCTCCACACTGAGTCACATACTACCAGTCTCACTACGACGGTCGCAATGCAACGTATGATTGGACCTTGAACGAGTCTGATGCAAATTCATGGAAGCAGGCATAAAGCGGATACGGTTTTAGCTAATCGCTTGTTCATCTCTGTCGTTCACGGACCCCGTCAGCCACTGCTGACGTGGGAGTAGTGGTGAGGGGTGGGAGGGGGGATTTGCTGGGGTTGCGGGTGACTGAGCGCATCAGAACACAGAGACATCACTATCAAATAAACTGCACTGCTCATCGTTCTCAAAAGGGCTCTGGATTCAAGTAAATTACAACTCTGAAACGTATTTAAAGTCCATATAAATAATGTAAATACATGTAGATCATATACACACACAGTGCAAACCATATAGCCAGGTTCATTTTTTGATACGTACACTACATGTTAAGGGAATAGAATATAGCATAAGGAAAAAAGGGACTATGGTTCGCTACGTAGAAGCTGCCGAGTGAGAAGCCGATGTTAATATCGAGGATGTTTGCTCACCTGTGTCTGAGGATAAAAAAAGAAATACTGAAATTGGTTTCAGTGGCAATGTAAAGTTGTTCGACCCTCCGTGACCCTAACTAAAGAATGCGCTTGATCATTTCAATGTAACCACATACACTTCTCACTAACGAAAGTAGGTTGATTTTTGAATCTTAAACAGGTGGCGGATACCCTGTTTATAAAGGACTATCTGTATTGTTATATACTGATTATTATGATTACCGTTCCTCTGTGGATCTTAACCATGACACAGGTCGATGTGTACAGATATGGAGACAAGCCCTTTCCTCTGACACCAAAGGAGCTTTGTGGAGGGTCTGTCTGTTTTCACGTCTGCAACCACACGGCGCCGTCAGTGTGTCTCCATCTAGTGGAAGCTGACGTGCAGCGATGCGTCGCCCAAGCATCACACGAGACGAACTCCTGACTCCGCAGTCTCTCTCCCCGGGTCGTTCATTCATACCCTCCCTTCCCCACAAAAAAAAAAAAAACATTCTCAAGCGGGAACCATCTCATGCATGAAATCTGCATGTGGTCAGATCTGCTTTCTCCCGACGGGGGAGCGGACTGCGTCCCCCAGAGAGTGCCTCATCAGCCAGCCAGTGCTTGCAAAATGAATGTGAAGACGCACACTTTGTTCCTGTGGTGCGGTTCACACATCTGTCCTGTGTAGCAGACAGGCTCCTCGGTCTCCAGCAACGTCTGTGCAATAAACTGAAGTCTATATTTCTAAATCTCTTTCGTCATTGTTCCAGTTGTTGGGATGTGTTTTTGTATGTGTGTTTGCAAAGAACAATTTAAGGGCTATGAAGTGAAGAGTTTATGGCTTCACAAACCAACAATGTGTTTGTATATTTGAAAACTCGTTAGGTTTACTGTAACGCTGCCAAAAGGCCACCACGTTAACGTGACTGTAGACTGAGGGAATCATGTCAACACACACAAGCACACTTAATTAGAATTAAATGACCTCACTGTAACAAAAAGATGAGAAATTACTTGACCTCACCTCCTCAAGCTCAAATATTAGAGTTTTTTACTGTCATGAGGTCACAGCTCGGGTTGAGCAGTGCAACGGGGGTCAGCAAGTAAGCATTACATGCTCTTAACGTTTAGGGTGAGACCAGAACCAGAGGGTTCTGCCTGTTCACTCCAAATACACGGCACGCTACGTTTCCCATAATGCACCTCAACGCCCTTTCCCGTCAGACTTCAGGCTCCACGGAGCCACAGAACACCAGCTAACTCATCTCTGTGAGGGAAATGGATGTTGTCTTTGATCAAAACAAGGTGAATTATTAAACCTTTTAGTATTGGTTACATTTAGTGATAATTTGTATGTATTTTCCCCTGTACGAAACGAGAGAAAACAAGAAGGGTGGAAGTGGAAGTATCCACTCTTTTCGCGGTAGACCACCTGTGTCTCGCTTTGTTTAACAGAAGCAAAACTCTTTGAGTAAGTACAGATGATCAAACAGTAATCGTCCTGAAGCCTTTTTTAGTCCAGGAGTCTCATCAAAACTTTCCCGCTAACATTTCAGGTTTAAACTGCGCCTTTGGCTCTAGCTGCACGTCTCTGCAGTGCATCACTCCAGTCTGCAGCGTCCCTGACCTGGTAAAACCTTTTAACCCTTTAATGCACATTGCAATTTTTAGAAATCTTTAGAATGATTTTCGCTCTTTAAACAATTTTACAAAGGATCTGATGAAACTCCCGGCGACCTCCCCTTCATGCTGCCTTCTTCAGCTTTTCAACCGTGAAATGTCAAGCGAGACACCTCCCACTTCCACCTCCATCAGAAGCTCTCACTTCCTCCATGTCGCTTTGTGATGTACTTTAAGCCACCGTCTCGTCAAAGTCCTCATTCTGGTGACGGGGTGTTTGGTGCCTCTCTGAAACTCCTCGAGTAGAATCGCCCCCACGCGACTCCCAGGTAGGCCTGCAACATCTGTCCGCAGTTCGCTTGCACCTACAAGACATCTGGAGATTTCATTGTAGCTACATGTATTATACTACGGGTAAAGATGACAGAACTTAACTGATTTGAATCATCTCTAAAGATCGTGGCTCGAGTGATCCTGAATTGTTTCCTTTGTACCAGGCAGTGTTTTTTAATCACAAGAGAAAGCCGCAGAGAGAAGTTATCGACATGCATTTAGGCTCCTGATAAAATTACCGCTGACTCTATAACGGATTATTAAATTAGAGCGGCCGGAGGGGTCTTGTGATGCACATGCAGCAAAGCTATTGTAGTCCTCCGAGTCTGAGCTTAGGCGCGGCTGCAGATTTCAGGAAGTCAGATCCACAAATGGAGGTAAAGCTATACATATTATATTAATAAGAAGTACTTTTTGCAGCTGCTGTTGACTGGAATTCTGTGTGATTTGGCACAAATCTGATTCTTCGTGAAGGCTGCATTTATTGCAAAATATTAAACTTGGCATAGGATGTGCACGTCGGATAATCGACGTCAGAGTGTTTGAACACCAAATTTGGGTAAAAAGGAAAGCTAGGTGGTTTTGTCTGGAGGATGTGGGTAACTAACGTGCTTCTTAGCCATGCTGCAGCTCAATTGATGGCAAACAGCGTTACATGTTCATACCGCTGAATTATCTTCAGCATGCACAATCGTTTAAGTAACAAACAGAGTGCCAATTCAAAGAAGGATGAGGGGGGGCAACGGTTACAGACACACTAGAGGAAGCAGTTGTGAAAGCTTTTGCTTCCTCTTTTTTTCCTCTGTCGTGTCCCTCATCTCTTTCGTTAGTTTTATGGCTGTTACTTTATTTCCACGTGAAACCTAAAAGCATAAACTCCTTTGCTTACCACACGTGATCCTTTTCCACCGTCTAACATGCATTCAAATGAAGACATTTGCCGTGTGTTTTAAGTGCACAGTGATTGATCTATTTCCACTGTTGGATGACTATTTGTTCACCACAGGGCTTCCTGCACATAAAATTCAGGCCTTTTCATTCCGAGCCTGTGGCCCGTTTTAACCCCCCACTTTGTTTCCAGTTCACCATGTCCAGGAAGGTTGTGAGGTCCAGTAAGTTCCGCCACGTCTTTGGCCAGGCTTTGAAAACCGACCAATGCTACGATGACATCCGAATCTCCCAGATGACGTGGGACAGCAACTTCTGCTCCGTTAACCCCAAGTTTGTAGCCATGATCGTGGACGCCAGCGGCGGCGGCGCCTTCATGGTGTTGCCCATGAGCAAGGTGGGTCACAGGAAACACCCCGGTTGCATTAGCTGCTCGGCTCTCTGCGTCTTACTTCTTCCTTTAATACCATTTTTGGAGGTGTTCATACTTTTAGAAAACGCTTGGTACGATGGTTGTCTATTTGCACAACGTGCTTATGTTTAAAAAAAGTGAATCCTGTCAGTCACCATCACACGTTCAGCTGAATAAGGAAGTTTCACGCGTACTTTGAGTACTTTCTACACGTCACTCGCTCTGCTGTTGAGAGGTTTTCACCATATTAGGAGTTTGTAGTCTGCTCAGCGAGGGCAGGATGTGGCTTCAACCCAGTTACTCTGCTGTCACTAACGGAGCACTTAAGGTGACTTGAAACCCTTCATTGTGTGTCCTGGAAAAGAGATAAACTGCAAACATTGTTTACAGATATTTATTTATTAAATCTTTTCGTGCACAGCTTTGTTTTGGGTTGTTTACATATAATGCATATAAATATATATTTATATATTTATTTATTCAAAAATAAATTCAAATTATAAATTCAAAAATTTAGTTGACAAAGGTCTTGAAACCTGCTTTTCCCCTCAGCTGTATGTAGATGAAAAGGGGTTTTGGATCCGAATTATTCATGCTGTGATCCCTCGAATAGTATTCAGACTTATAAAGTAGTAAATCTAGAAAACACACATAACCCTCAGTGGAGCCAGATGTGATTTATACAGTATGCTGAAAAACCAAAATGTGTCTTCATGCTTTTTTCAGTCACTGCACCTCCCGGGCTCACATCTCCTCGCTAACCCAGTTACCAGACATTAGGTGTAATTGGAAGCATACCTGGGGAATTCGTATCAGCTGATAATCCTCCTCCCACGTTGACTAAATCATCAAAGCCTTTCTTCTTGATATTTACACTTAAGTTTTTAAGGGTCGAGGTCAGCGCGCTCCTCTGTTTCTGTCTCTGCAGACCGGACGTATCGACATGTCCTACCCCACCGTGTGCGGCCACACGGGACCGGTCCTGGATATTGAGTTTTGTCCTCACAATGACAACATCATCGCCAGTGGCTCTGAGGACTGCAGTGTCATGGTAGGCGTCACAATAACGTAACACAATCTTTCGGTCTGGTCCGACGGGGATGTGTTGTGAACTCGCCTGGGTCTTGATTTCTTTCCTCGCCGGATAGATTTGGGAGATCCCGGACGGCGGGCTGACCTCTCCGCTCACGGAACCCGTGATCAAGCTGGAAGGCCACTCCAAGCGCGTCGGCATCCTGAGCTGGCACCCCACCGCCCACAACGTGCTGCTGAGCGCAGGTACTGCGACCCTCACAGCCCGCTTTAACGAAACGACACACGAACCCGCCGAGCCCTGCGTTGATGTGCCCGCTTTGTGGCCTGCTGTGTGCTCGCAGGCTGCGACAACGTGCTGATCCTGTGGAACGTGGCCCGCGGGGAGGCCGTGGTGCGGATGGACAGCGTTCACCCCGACCTCATCTACAGCGCCTGCTGGAACCGGGACGGCTCCCAGATTCTCACCTCCTGCAAGGACAAGACCATGCGTGTGCTGGACCCACGCAAGGGCACCGTCCTCATTGTGGGTGTCCTCGGCACCGCCGCACACGTCTTAGATTGTATTTGTCAGCAGTGCATCAACGTGTGTACCCGTGACTACTTACACCTCTGCTCCGCCTCTCACGCCCGCAGGAGAAGGAGAAGCCTCACGATGGCTCCAGGCCCACCCGGGCCGTGTTCGTGTCCGACGGGAAGATCCTCAGTACCGGATTCAGTCGCATGAGCGAGAGGCAGGTGGCGCTGTGGGACCCGGTGAGTGTCAACGACAGGCTGGTTCAAGTTCAAGACAGTCGCTCCAGATATGTTTCTCACATGGGGTTACGAGTGGCCACAGGGACACTTCAGAGTACTGCAGGAGCATGTGATATTTGTCTTTTCATCTTGAAATGGACGGACGTGCATGATTCCTCAAATAACTACAGAATAAGTTCATTACAAAATGCAAATGTAAGGTCAATAAACGATAACAACAATATGATTTTTATGGTGTTATCTTGACGGCTGCACATGTTGTGGTTTCTTTTAAAATGTTGCTAAGATGTTTATCTGGAGTTCTTTTATTGTAGTTACCACACTCCTGTTTCGCAACTGCCATCATGCAACAGGGAGCGTTTCTCTGCAATGTCCCACATCGGGCTCCATTGAATAAGTCCTTGGCTTACATGCTCCAGTCTGCTCGAGCAGCCTTTTTGATGCCGGCTGTTGTCTTGGCTTTGTAAAACATCTAACTCTTCTTCTTCTTCTTCTTCTTCTTCTTCTTCTTCTTCTTCTTCTTCTTCTTCTTCTCCTCCACACAGAACAACTTCGCGGAGCCTCTGACCTTGCAGGAACTGGACACCAGCAGTGGCGTTCTTCTGCCATTTTTCGACCCAGACACTGGCATCGTCTACCTCTGTGGCAAGGTTAGATTTACATGTTGTAATAATAAATGACGCACACACACGCACGCGGCTGACTCACATGTCTTCACAGGGCGACAGCAGCATTCGTTACTTCGAGGTGACAGACGAAGCCCCTTACGTCCACTACCTGTCCATGTACGGCAGCAAGGAGAGCCAGAAGGGGATGGGATACATGCCCAAGAGGGGCCTGGACGTCCACAAGTGTGAAATCGCTAGGTAAAGATATTTTGTCCACGGGAGGGAAAATAATAATAATCCAATACAAGTAAAACACCATCCTTTCATCCTTCAGTTCATTACAAACATTAAACACATCTGAGGATACTATCAGACAAATATTACAATACTACAATATCTACCTTTATATGGTAAGAAGAATATATATATATAAGTATTACATGGAAATATTGAAGTAAAGTTCAGTACCTCAAATTGTACGTGAGCATACTACGTTACATCCTTCTCCAGTTATGTCCTTATCAAATCAAAAGTATCTCCGTATTTTGAGTCATGCTAGCATTGTGCTACAGAGCCGCTAGCACGGCCTGCAGACCTTTAGCCTTGTTTGTATTGAAAAAAATCCACTTCCTCCCGAAACACTAAAATATGACCAAATGTTTCTTTCTTCAGGTTCTACAAACTCCATGAGAGGAAGTGTGAGCCGATAGTCATGACGGTGCCGCGCAAGGTACGACATTCGTACTCGTGAGTTCATGGGTTAACATGTAGATTCAGTGCTTCATTTCTAACCTCAACCCCCTCCTTCCTTCCCGGGCCTGTGCAGTCGGATCTGTTCCAGGACGACTTGTACCCGGACACCGTCGGCCCCGAGCCGTCGGTCGAAGCTGATGAGTGGTTTCAAGGAAAAGATGGCCAGCCTGTTCTGATCTCTCTCAAGGACGGGTTTGTTGCACCCACCAAAGCCAAAGAGTTCAAGGTTCACAAGAGTCTCCTGAAGACATCGACCGCTTCTGCCGGGAATCCACACGACAACAGCGGGGTGAGGTCATTTAACGTTGAAAAGGTTGCCCCGTCTGTTTCCCTCGGCCCTTTGGACAACCGACTGTACGACACACGTGCGATTAAACCGCCTCCGTCACATCGTAACTCCGTCTGACTGTCTGACTGTTTCTCAGGAGGTTCAGTCCTTGAGGAAGGAAGTGAAAGACCTCAACGCGGCGGTGGAGGAGCTGACCAAGCGCGTGAAGGAGCTGGAGAGCAAGCAGGTCTGATGAACGTGATGAATAAACCAGCAGAGGGAAACAACAGAAGGACATTAAGAGAAGAGAGTGCTGACAAAACTACAGTTGTTTTGTTTTCGTTGACTTGAATTTGTTTATTTGATTTGTCTGGTAAATTTGTTAAAGTCCTATTTTAATATATGCTTTTAGGTTGGAATAAAATCTTCTGTATTTTCAAATGACTCTTGTGACTTTTTTGTGAAATGAAACACACATGAAACACACGTTTGAATTACACCAAATTTTATTCAATTTATACTGATCAGCTTACAAAATGAGAATCAAAGCAAAATGAGACGTAACAATGTTTTATAAAATGTTTGAAATGTCACACGGACTGCACACAGATCTGAGATAGGCCTCAGGGCTCAATAACTATTGGTAAAATATGAGGTTTTAAAAGGGTCTAAAAAGGCGGGAGAGGTCTTTTAGCAGTAGAGTTTAGATTTTTTACGTTCTCTTCTCACTAATTCGCTTTTCGCGTTTATCAAACGTCAAACGTTTCAAGGAAAATAACGACGTTTCATTGTAAGATTATGAATTGTGTAAGATACTGTAAATAATAGTATCTCTCTTAAATAGCATATTCACAACCCATTTATGACTCAAAACAATTAGTTAACGACGAATGAAACCGGAAATTTGAGACAGTTATCATCAGTATTTAGTATTTACAGACACTTTTTCCTCATCCCCCCCCCCCTCCCTTCTATTTTGTCAAACACCACTCCCCTTCCTGAAGCCACTACACGTAGTTCTTATTGGGGGCGGAGGCGGCGCCGTTGCTGTAGTACTTGGCGGTTCCACCGGAGCCTCCGGATTTGGACCTGCTGAAGCAACAGAGCAGACCTCCGCTCAGGAGGAGCAGCATGCCGGGCCCCCAGCCCACGTAGATGCACGCCCCCAGCTCCCTCTTCTGGGTGGCGGCCACCAGGGGGTTGTTGAAAGTTTTTGCAAACAATGTGGGCGGTTCAGCTGACGGGGATGATCACCAGGAGCCCCGCCAGCAGCAGGCCCACCGCGGCCACCAGGCTCATCTTGGGGCTTTGACGTTCTTCGTTCTCTACGAAGTTGGTGAGTCGGGCGCCGCAAAAGAGGATGAGCAGGCTGAGGCAGCAGAACATGCAGCTGATGATGGTCAGCGCGCGGGCGGGCCTGCAGTTCAGAGGGCAACTCCAGCAGGGAGTCGTAGTTCTTGCACTGCTGCTGGCCGGTGCTCTGCACCACACAGGTCGTCCACAGGCCCTCCTGACTGCTCTACTCAACACACACACACACAAAGAAAGGGGGACACGTTACGGATTTCAATACATTTTATTGAATCATCATAAGCAAAAGAGGCTGAAGCTTTTCAGTACCTGTGCAGTCACGATGTTGGATCCCGTGAAGGAGGTCACCTTCCAGAGGGGGACAGCGCAGGATATGATGACCCCAATCATGCCGAGGACCCCGAGGGACACGCATACAATCTGAACTGCGGCAGATCCCATTCTGTAATAGGACAGGAATTAGTGGACCAATCGGAGGCGTCGGGGTGAAAATAACACCTTGCAGCACCACATTTCAGTGCAGCATGCGGCCTTCGTGTTTCCTTTTCCCCTCCCTTCATTTTCTTTTGGGTAATTGTCTTATTTTCAATAACTTTGCATCTAGCCATCTGCAGGGTGGGATGCCTTTTCTTTTATTGCCTCTCCCAAGATCCATGACTTCTACATTATTACCACATCTACATATTTTTGTTTCTACTAACCCTACTCTGAATTCCTAGTTATTTAAGCACTGATTAATTCAATTCTTCTCGTTTTCCTTCTTTGGAGTAGATTGTTGGATCTTCTCTGGCGATTTAACAGGAAAGACTAATTTATTCATTTTACTGTGGTGTTACCGGGGATGTGTTGAATTTTTTATGAGCACATAGCTGAACACACGCTCAGACAAACACCTGATCGCTGCGGGCCTTCACAGGATTTAGTGGCTGCAGGGCTGTATATTTATACACAAATTCATGCCATGACACGTCTGCACCCACCACGGGCCGTGCCACTCCCTTAAATCTTGTCTTTTGGAAAAGGTTTTGTTATGGTTCAACTTCAAATGAAAATCATAGTTACGTTGGACGGAGAATTCACTCACGCGTGTTAACTGACAAAAACAACACTTTTTGCATGCAAAGTGACCTTTAACCCAGAGTCAGAAAGTATTTCATCAATTCTAGATTAAATATTAACATTATAAACTCAAATTATAATTCTGAACTGTTTAATGTTTATTTAATATTTATTCATGTATCGAAGATATAGGAAGGGGAAAAAGTAAACCTAATAAACAGAAGAATTATTTTGTTGCATTTCATTTGTAAATTTCAATAAAATATTACACCTGTTATGATCCTAAGACTTAATTAATCTAGTGGAATAACAAAGGAGAGGATTTGACCATGACAGACACATCTTCCTTCTATGCAACCAAACCCAGGTAACTAATGATCAGAACAGATTGAACATTTCAAAATCGAACATTCGTTCATACACCTGACGATAATTTCTCTCCAGAATAACTGATTCTTTCTTACAATTATATTTGTTATTTTTTCCCTCCAACCAAGATTTTCGTTGATGCCACATCAAGATATTCAACCAACCCTTTCATCCTTTGTGTTTTTCAAGCTTTTCAGAATAACGTCTCTTTTCAAAAGCTCTGAATGTTAATCTAAAAAAATAAGGATGAAAAAGAAGCCTACCTTTTATTCTCTGTCCTCAGAAATTTTCAAAATGAGGTGAAGTTCTTCTTTCTTCCTGCCCAAATGTAGTTTGAAGACGTTGGTTTGTGATGTACTGTGGCTGTGTGATAAGATTGGGTATTTGTAGGGGAATGTGCGTTGTTGGGTGGGGTTATGCTCCAACAGGAGGCAAGGACATATGGACCAGACTGGACTTGTCTTGTACGTATGTTTCCCTCACTTTTTCCACCCCAAACCTTGTGAGGGCCTCAACACACACAACGTGACTGACGTAAAACCAAGAAAAAAAACGTATGATGTTTCAGCATCAGTAGTTTCTTGTGTTAGTGTCGGCAACCGGCCCGTTTTAGGTTTTAATTGCGTAAGAGAACAACATAAATGTGTTTATGCATCTAGGCTTCATGACAAAATAGAACAACTAAATTATAAAACACACTGAGAGTCAGCTCCTCCCCCAGTCTCGTGAGCTTCAGGGGATTCTCAATTTGCCTTCTTATCCAGTATCCCTGCACAAAAACAAAACAGAACATGTGACGTCAAGTCAGTATAGAGTTGGCCCAGGGGCCCTCACCAGAAATATTCAAATCAATATTTGGATGATAGATACTTGTTTATGATGTGAAGCACTTTGAGTCTGCCTTGTGTATGAAAAGCGCTATACAAATAAACTTGCCTTGCCTTGTCCACCCGCTAACATAAGAGATGGTAACAGACCAGGAGGAAGGTTAGAAGGGACACAGAGAGGTTATTGGGGTTATTATGAAAGACGTAGAATAACATTTTGTCATCTAAGACTGCAGTTTTTTCTTTTCATGCTCCCCTCAAACAAACGCATACCTCCATGGGTACCACACCTCCACGTAGCCGCCCCCCCTCCCTCTGTCGAAACTGTGATCACGAGTTGTGGCAGACCAGTTCAGGGAACTGAGACGTAGTGGCTTCAGGAGCTTTGCGCAACGTTATAAGTGGAGCTTCAGGGGAAGGACATTGTATTAGGAAATGAAAAAAGGAATGTTGTGAAATGTGTAGCCTTTATCAACACATTTAGAAACACGCAGACAAAATGACGCATGCATAGTTTTGGTTTGTAGGACCAATTTAGAATTTATTTTGAAAGAGTGTTCAGTGATGAAGAGGATCACAGGCAACTCACCTATTTGTCAAATGTTGCGTGGATATTAAAAGCCTTTTAGCGTATGCTGTACATCAACTGTAATATGTTTTACAAGAGACTTGTAGCTAATCCCATATCATATGTATATATTTATATGTATATTCATTAGGTAGTAACTCGTTGTTCCTGAGCATATAGCATTTAAATACTTAACGCAGGAATGTTGTTCATTTTATGCGACTTTTTTTTTCAGCGAGATATTATTGACTTTATAGTTACATTGCTGTTGTACGAAATATTGCTGTTAAGATTTAGTTACCTTGAAATGATATATCAGTCAATTAAACTCAACTAAAAGGGATCGTTCAGTCATGAAGAACATTGTACTGATATTATTGATATTAGCTCCTAATAATATCGTGAAGACACTTATGCCCAGGCGAGGGACACCCATAAAGTGGGAGGTGAACCGACGTTTTTTGCAAGTCCCTCCACTCACCACTAGGTGCCACTACAGCTCACACACTGTGTCTTTAGCCTAAAATCAAATACTGTTAACATAGACTATTAAACAGTTAGACATATAAAAATGTATCTAACTATTTAGTTATGTAACTAATTACATATGCCGTTTCTCGATGTGAAAATAGTAAATATGTTGATTTATTGATAATTATTAAGAAAAAATCGCGGTTCTCACTCTTTGCCCGCCAACTACTTCCTGGAACCATCCTTAACCCGCGTGAGTCACGTGACAAACACGCATCCCCCCCCCCCCCCCCCAACTTCCGTTGACGCGACTGTCGTTTTATACGGCTCTGTGGAGACGCGTGAGGAGCTCGCTGTGATACAGCCTACGTAGCCGTAGACGCTTCACTAGCCACGGCCCTCTTTTAAAGTTCCTGGGGGACGAGTGAAGGAACCCGGACGAATCGAAGGAAAGGGGCCACGGTTGAGCTCGCAGAAGAAAAAGCAATTACATTTTATTCACCCCAGAAAGACTATCGTCAAACCAAAGACAAGGTACGGAGACATTTAATCTGTTTGCAAGTTAATTTAGCTAACGTCGGCTAACTATAGCCGTTCGGTTTCGTATGTGTAGTGTTAGCTTAACGTTACGTTACTTGGCTAGTAGCTACCCAGCTAGCTCGGCTAGCCCTAGGTTGCTTAAACTCATTCATTATTTTAGTCTGCTAATATTGCCCGATTATGTTGTGCGATGATTTTCTAAGGATAATCAATGTGACTTGAAGCGTATTACACAAGAATCGCTCATTATGTGTCTCGTTCTCTCTGTTCCTGAAACCTAAGGTGCAACACGGAAAACCAAGGTCTTGACTGCCCGAGAACGTCAGAAAATAAAGAAAATGGCGGAACCAGACAAATTAAACATCGACTCTATAATTCAGCGTCTGTTGGAAGGTGAGGAGAACCTAAACCCCCGACTGCGCAGCAATTCCCTTGGTTTACATGTCATACGGGAGAGGGCTGTACGTGTTTTAAACGGCAGGTCCGTCGGCTCAGCTGAACGCGGATACGGTGCATCGTAGTCGCCTGCCGGAGGGAGCCGCGCTCTCCGGCTCGATGGCGGGCTTTGGATGAGGCGCTGGAGCCACATCAGCCCTGCTCTCGACCAGCTAACGCCGCTTGCACATGTTTTAAGAATAGCGATCGTTTTTTTTTGTTGGTAGAAATGCATGCTTCTTACTGTGTTTTTTAAATAAATGCGGAATGGTTGGCGTTACGGACTGTCTGAGTAGAACATCGCTCACATTTAACACAAAACAAACGTCCACCTACACGCGTTTTATGTTTTTGATTAACGAATGCCGATTTTCTACAGAGGATGTCATTTGTTTTCCAGGTCATAATATTCAGGCTGTTTTTTTTTACTTGTAGATGTAAACAGTCCTTGCCACTAGCTTACTGTGTAAACAGTCTTGTAATCACGTTTTTTTTTTTTTTTCCCCTCCATCCTAAATATATCCCCTTTTCCACCAGAACTTCCCAGTTACATGAATGCTCTCGCTTTTCCTTTCCAGTCTGATAAGAATTTGTAGCTGTAACCTTTCGTCGGGCAGGTGTACACACTGATGCTTTGATTAGCAGATGCTCAGCGGGAAACTGCAAACCGGCAGCCTTCGCTTCCCTTGCTGCTTTTACAGCAATACACAGACTGCTTGCGTCATTCATCGTTCATCCTGCATCATCTTCACCCTGCATGCTCGCCGTGGAAAAAAAATCATTTCAAGTTGAGGAAAAAGTGCCCACGGTTTTGCCAGAAGCATTTTGTAGACCGACGGCCTTTTTAAGGCAGACACGTAGTACCTCTTCAAATCCGACGTGAACCATTTCTTCTATTCCCACCGTGCAGGAGTAATGGTTTGCTGTGGGGAAAGCTTTGTAAAAGCCAAAGTTGCTTGTGTGCGTCTGAGGGGAAAACGGGGCCGTTTTTGTCGTTGCCTCGACATGAAGATTGCGCAAGAGCAGCGAAAGCCTGAATCTTCAGAGCCAACGTTCAGTTCGTCTAAAGAGCACCACGAATGAGGTTGTGACCTCCATAGTTGTCCTTGAGCTGCAGATGCACCCGGCTCACACCTACATTTCAGTGTTTCCCCTGTGGCGCTGCTGGTATACGGACGTCTCATCAAGTATGCTGTTTGTGCATCTTGCAGAATGTTATTCATTAAACATTGCGCCTATTTTATCAGCACCGTATCAGAAGACTCGCTCCGTTGCAAAAACGTCTCCGTGACCCAACACTCGTAATGCGTTTTTTAACGCAGCGGTTTATTTACCGACTTATAGAGCAGTCATTGATTCATGAGCTTAAACTGGGCTGGTTGAGGTGATTTTTGGAATCTTCCCGAGCATGCGTTGGAGTTTGACTTTGACTGTGCAGCCCGTCTGCTGTGTTTTGTACATAGATCGTTCTACTCGGGTCACGATAAGGTTGTCTGCCGAACGCAGGGGAATACAAACAAGACTGATAATGGCCATATTTATATCCTCTTATGTAACTCATGACCTTTAGAACGGCAATTGAGGTTCCATTGCTGAGAATAACCCTTTGCCGGGTTATTATTATTATTATTATTGTCTAGGTTCACTCTCTTTAAAGTGAAGAACACTCGCTGCAGGTGCTGCATCAAGAGACTGTTAACTTTCACTGCACTACAGCTCCGTCTCCTGTGGAGACAACAAGGTAACCCTCATGCTTGCCGACTGTTTTGAGACCAAACCAATTAAATGTGTTTGGATAATGAGCACTTTCAATTGGATTACTTGCGCAGGTCTGGGTGAACTCTGGGAGGGTGTGTGTGTTAGTGGCTAACGGCATGTCGGGAGAGCGTGACGTCACATGAGCTCAGTCACCCAGCAGCACTGAGTCAGGAGTGTTGGACCAAACCAACTGTTGCTTCGAGCACCTCCCCTCGTCCCCCCCTCCCTCCCCCGTTGCTTTTCTGTTGTGCCGGTCCGGTTCTTTGTTTGCTGCACCCTCATCGGCGTAGCGGAAAGCCCATTGTTTGCCTACTGGCTGTGTGGCTAACTTTGGCGTAAGCTCTGTCAGGGCTTAGCCTTCTGTAATCCAGGTTTAAAGTGACAAGCAGTACTGACGTATTTATACCCACTTTTCCCTCTTTAGGCAGTTTTCCTTTTTAGTTTCTACTTTGGGGCTAGTGACAACATTTTGCATCCATTTGTGCTCTCACCCTCCCTCCCCAGGTGCTTTGCAAGCGTTCTATGAACTGGATCTGTTCAGTGATTTGGTGTGTGATTATGTGTCAGGTTCTCTCCCTGTAACACACATTCCTGTTTATGGTTTGCTGCTCTGTGGTCCAATAGCTGACATTCCTCAAAAGTTTGAGATAACACAGGAATCAGAATCTCAACCTGAAGCAGGTTAACAAAAAATTCCAATTGTATATCAATAGTAATCCAAGTATTGACTAAACAACTATCCCCTGTGCCTCTTAACTTCTTTAACATAAGTACTTTAACTTAATGTTGTGAAACCAGTGTAGTTTGATCAGAGCTGTGGTTGCTATTGATCACCTTTTTTTTTTATCTGTGAATGTTCGACATTTAAAGGTGAAAGAATGTTTGGAAGCAAGTTTTTACCATTCATCCTCAACAGTCTGACTGTGATCGTTTGTTTGGTGGGAATGAGACTCGACATCAGTAATCTACTTTGGCGTACACGTGCACATGTAGGAATGGGAGTATGATTTACTTTGTCAGTGATACAAACAAACCAGATTCCAAACTCCACCAAGGGCATTCTTGCATAAGTCAGAAGTATACACAGTTATGGCCTTATGTATGCCTGGCATGTCTATGTGGAAATATTTAGGTCTCTATTGAGAGCTGTAGTAATACTTCATTAAAGGTTTTATAATTGCATGTTTAGGTTATTTTCTCAGGGGGGGGATTTTTTTTTTTTTTTCTTCTCTTGAAATAATTTGCATCATACTTGTACCCTTTTTCTAGAACAACATTTCTGTTCTTAGTGAGTTGTCCTCAAAATGAATCTTACTCAGCTTTTCTTCATGATTTGTGTTTGGCTCCATTCCGAGTGTGTGGTATGTGTGAAAAAACGCAGCACTTGGACGTGACAAACATGCAGAATTTTGCAGATAGCATCAGTGTGAGAAGCTGGGAGATTTTTTGATTTAAAAGCCTTTTTTTGGGGTCTTGCTTGTTGTTGTTTCTAAACCTATTAAGTAGTCCTAAATGCATGTTTGCAACATCTTTGCAGCAGCAGCATTGGGTCGACGGGGAAGTGGGTTTCATAACTTCCTCATAGCTCGGTTCAAACTCGTCCAAAAGAGGTGCCTTTGAGGCCGATGACGTCAGCTACGTTTCCACTGACTAGCTTTTCTCAGCCGCTGCATCGTTCTGAAAACAGACTCCTCTTGCTGCTCCTTCTGTCCTTCATCCTCCAACTTTACTAAAGCTCTGATAATATGTGTGTCTCCATGGTTCTCCCTTAAACCGCTCTCCCTTTCCTCCCAGTCAAGGGCTCTCGACCGGGGAAGAACGTCCAGCTGACGGAGGGTGAGATCCGTGGCCTTTGCCTGAAGTCCCGTGAAATCTTCCTGAGCCAGCCCATCCTGCTTGAACTAGAGGCTCCCCTCAAAATCTGTGGTGAGTTTTAATGTGGTGGCCCAGTGTGATATACCGTGACGTCACTGAGAGGCCGTGCTGCAGGCTGTTGCTGGAGAAGATCATGATTTTCATAGTTTGGTCATTTGTGATCAGCAGTGGAGGAATTGTGTTTTCGATTGCTCTGCTCTGCTGCCCCCTGCAGGCGATGTCCACGGTCAGTACTACGATCTGCTTCGGCTGTTTGAATACGGAGGCTTCCCCCCAGAAAGCAACTACTTGTTCCTGGGGGACTACGTGGACCGAGGGAAGCAGTCACTGGAGACCATCTGCCTGCTTCTAGCCTACAAAATCAAATATCCCGAGAATTTTTTCCTGCTGCGTGGAAACCACGAATGCGCCTCCATTAATCGAATCTACGGCTTTTATGACGAGTGTAAGCAGACGATCTTCATAAACGGGGAACGGTGTCTGCCGTGTTGCCTTGACCACTAACCCAAGTTCACATCTCTTTTCCTTGGCAGGTAAGCGGAGGTATAACATAAAGCTGTGGAAGACCTTCACGGACTGCTTCAACTGTTTACCTGTGGCTGCCATAGTAGATGAGAAGATCTTCTGCTGTCACGGCGGTAGGCCTTTGCGGATTTAAGATGTTGCGAGGATCAGGCGAGCCGCTTTTAGATGAACCGAACCACAACACGTTCTCTCCGCAGGCCTCTCTCCTGACCTTCAGTCCATGGAGCAGATCCGCAGAGTCATGCGACCCACAGACGTGCCTGACCAGGGTTTGTTGTGCGACCTGCTGTGGGCCGATCCAGACAAAGACGTGCTGGGCTGGGGTGAAAACGACCGCGGCGTCTCCTTCACATTCGGGGCGGATGTGGTGGCCAAATTTTTGCACAAACACGACATGGACCTAATATGCAGGGCACATCAGGTGAGGTTGAGCCAGGAGCTTGTGTTTTCTCAAAATGACTATCGATGTGGCATTATTTAACTTTGAGCTGAATATATTTGGGCTATTTAAAGGGAAACACTGCCTAAACATATTATAGTCCAGAAATATTCAATAAATGCATGTCCCTGATCATTTTCCTATTGTGCGTATGGTGGTAAACTGGACTAAAACGGTAGCAACCATCGACTCCCAGGCTGACGTGTCCTTCTCGTTGTCTGTGGCCTCATTTCTGTCCTCAGGTGGTGGAAGACGGTTATGAGTTTTTCGCTAAGAGGCAGCTGGTCACCTTATTCTCTGCTCCCAACTACTGTGGCGAGTTCGACAATGCCGGCGCCATGATGAGCGTGGACGAGACCCTCATGTGCTCCTTCCAGGTGTGTAAAGTCCCCGGTTTGTTGTTGCAGTGCGGAGCGTTTCACAGATTCCAGATTCGTCAATGAGCATTTCTCCGTTTCTCTCGCAGATTCTGAAGCCAGCAGATAAGAAATTGTATCCTTACAGCGGAGCGGGAGGGATGGGATCTGGGAGGCCGGTCACCCCGCCACGAAATTCGGCTAAGGCCGCCAAGGCTAAGAAATAACAGCCGCTGGATTCCCCTCCCGCCACCTGCTTCCCCTCTGTCCGCATCACACTTTTACTCCTCCATTCCTTCAAACTTGTTTCACCCGCGGCGACAAAGCAGACAAAGTGTCCACGGTTCAATCATGCTTTTTCCTCTCTAAAACAAGTTTTTACTGTTTTGCGTGCAATTTGGTTTGTGTGAGTGTAGAAAAAGTGGGAATGATTGCGAGGGAATTGCTGCATTCTGTATGTATGTTTTTATTTTTTATTCCTCCCGTAACCCTCTGTTTTGTTTTCCTATCATTTTGTAGCGATAGGTTCTTCCATCTGTGATGTTATTTCAACCCCGGGGGCAGCGTGGGAGGGGGAGAGGAGTCTTAACCGTCTGTTGGGGCTCTGCACTGTCTAATGCTAAACACAAGCCTTTGGACATCCTGTTTCAGAGGTCTGTCTGTCTGATGGGAGGAGGGAGGGAGGACGGGTTTGGGATCAAGTTGCACGGTCAAACGATAACGGCACATACCACACGCACTGGGCACACAGGTGCATAGATGTGCAGCTGAATTCTTCCAGAAATGGATTCACATTGATATATATTTTTCTTTTCCCTTTTCGTAAACCAATGATTTGAGAACGCAGTCATCGTTGTGAAGTAGTTTTGCTTCTTTTCTTTCTTTTCTTTTTTTCTTTTGTAGATACATGAAACCTACATGGTTGGACTTCTTTCTTGTTTTTAGTTCACTGCAAGTTAAAGATGAAATAAAAATATCCATTTATTTGAATCACGCCATCATGCTGATCACCTTGTTTGCCATTGCTTCGTCCCGTTTGTCTGCCTTGTACCATGAATGTTGGCTGTGCTTTTCTTTGAGTGGGTTAGCGTGGATGACAATGCAGCAGCTGGAGGAGTCTTGTGACTGAGACTCGATCAACATGGAAGCGGCCTGCTTTATATTTTATTGACACAACGGGGACATTTCGCGTGTTTGCTTCAGAGCGAGTCGGCCAAAGACGATGTCTGGGGACTGTAGGAGAGGACAGACGAAGCTGCTCTCAACTAGACGTCTCATTGCAAAACAATAGATTTAATTTGGAAGGTCTTCAATGCGAAATACTTTTACTTACTTTTTTTTTTTTTTCCCATTTCGGGTGACTAGGAGGAACATCTAGTAAACTGCTCGAAGCTCACATGTAATGCAAAGTCACCCTGTTCCACATGTAGATACCACTATTTATCTGGGATTTCATTAATATTGTACTTAAACAAGCATTTACAAGACCAGACGCCCACTGAGGTGGAAGCGGCTCGACGGTCTTCCCTTTTTTTTTTTTTCCCCCTGTTGGATGAGATGATGAATGGTCGCTCTGACCTTTCCAGTTTGAAGGGCTCTATTCATGACCAGTTGAGTCCATATTTAAAACGAGTGGGCTTATTCAAATCTAATCCCACACCAAATGCAGGTCACACGCAAGCTGCAGCTTGCAACATAAGCGCGGCGCCTGGAAGAATATAAGTAATAGAACTATATTGGGAATTTCTGCCCAAAATCATTTTTATTGTAGACCGTATGTTTAAGGTAACCACATTTTGGTGAATTTAGCATTAAGTTTTGTTTGTGAAATCAAGTGATTCCCAGTTGAACAGCTACCACTTAATGGCATCAGTACATTTTGTACGCTTTTTAACTTGTGCGGTGAAATGATGTTTGCCAATAACGGGGAAGAGCGTGTGACAGCAGCCATTGTTCTGCGTTGCTTTATCTTAGGTGCTTGTGTTTGAGTAAAGCATAAAGAGCTGAAGCGGGAAGGAATCAAAATAGAAATTTAAATAACAATCTGTGGATCCTGGGACATCAGTCACCTTTAGAAGCCAGTTCATACAAAACGAACCGTCCCTGCTTTCACATGACGTCCCCCCCCCCACTGGCCGTTGCGTTGGCACACAGGGTATCCGCCATGCTTCATCACAGGCTGCGTAACAACTGGTGAAAAAATAAATAAGTTTCCTTCACTGCCCAAACGCCCCCCTCCCTTCACACGGTTACAGAATTGGTGTGTCTGGCTTAATTTGCTGCAGTCTGTCCTCCAGCGCCCTCCGTCCGGGTATGACACCGGGCCGCCGCGGCCCCTCCCGGGTGGCAAAAGGCGGCACATGAACACATACTTAAGGCGAGGATGGGGAGGTTGGAATGCGGCTGTCATCTTAACCCCCCCCCCCCACCCACCTCCCTCCACATGAGGTTTTCAACTCAGTACCTCAGAAATATAAACGTTTTTTTAAATCTAATCTATGAAAGTAAGTTTTAGTCCAAATCCTGGGTGGCTTTCTAACAACTCGCGTACAGTACAACTAACCGCATCGAATATTACGTACTGTAGAAGAGGGCAGGGTGAAAATAAAGAAGCTAAGATCAACTCAGGAAGTGACACTAAAATGAAAACAAGAGTATGAGGACATCGTATTTATATTCATGTAGTAAATGAATACACCAATAAACGCCATCATGACAGGATATTCACAAGTCTTACAGTTTCAGTTCTGTCTGATTGGACCGAGTCGGAGAGATCTGCTGCTCTGGAGGTCGTTTGGCTTTGATTTGTAATGCAGGTCCACCTTTTAGTGGATGAAGTTGACGGTGTGCAAAGCAATCTAAAAATGTACAGAAATGTATGCTGTTGTTTTTGGAGCTTGAGCGCCGTGAGATTTGTTGTCTTCAACAATTAAAAACAAGGAAGCAGCTCCTGTAAAAGATAACGTATAGTGTTGAAACATTATGGAACTTGTAGATCTCGGTCTTCTGAATAAACGGTCCAATAAAGGGCCAATCTCATGCTCATTTTCATAGCTGTATAAATCTCTGCTTACAACATCTGTCACTATATACTGTTATTACCTTTAAGAATCTGGTCTTTAACATTATTTTGTTCTGTTTTTACTGATTTAAGGCTAGACACTGCAAGCTGCTTAGGATTTTTAATCAATCAGGGATGCTTGCACCATGCACTGTTGCTGGGTACATATGAAATGAGTAGATTACGACGAAAGAAACAACAAATTAACAGTATTTTTTAATTTGCATTTCATTTGTTTTCAAATAAATCACAATTTGTCTCTGTAATAAGATAAAAAATAAAACATAGAATTTGTATATTTGTGTCTGGTTTTCTTTTCAAATACGTCAGACTGCAATGTGACACGGTGTACATGCTGTTAGAGGGACTCGCACATTGGCACAGGGCGCTGAGTCTTCCTCTCATTTTGCGGAGGCTGCCTCTACTTTGTGTCGAACGGTTCTGCGTGAGTCAGCAGAAGGGGCGACCTCTTCATCCCTCTTTGTTGCATTTGCTTATTTAATTATTAAATGTCACCTGTCTCTGGCAGCACACAAACAGACTCAAAATGAGACGCAGTACGTGGACCATGTTGCCTGCCTCTTCTAACAATGTACTGCATACATGTCTTTGGAATCTGCATACGCATTAATATGACCTTTATCTATTTATAGATTAGTACTATGTACTGTAAGCTTGAAATAGAAAACACGATATATTTATAGTAATCATGCATTCTGATAAGCTACAGCGTTTTTGTAGCACCAAATTCATAGATAACAAAAAGCAGTTGTAGTTTCTGTTGGAATACCTGCAGGTATTCCAACAGAAAGTACTACTGCTACAGGCTGCTGAGGTACAACCTACTGCTATCCTCTCTGGAATAGTTCTGCATATTTATGACGTGCAATCTTTGAGGGTGACCCCGACATTCCTTACAGCAAAGTCACCACATGTCACCTCGTTCATCTTCCTTTTGATTCGTGAATCAGACTTTCGTACGAGACTTTGCTGGAAAGCAACATCAAATGTGATGTTTGCAGAGAGAAAGCTGAACATTGTGCGACTGGTGATAACAGGAGGCTAAACACAGATAAATGTATATTACGATACTGGATTCTAGAGTCTGTGTGACTTTTAGTTCTTAGTTGTTGTTGTTTGTTAACGCTTTTTCAAATATACAGTAGCACAAGCATTGCTTGTTTTCCACTTCATTTATAGCAGATTTGAACACTGATTGTTCCTCTTCTTCTTATAGGCAGGTTAAAATGTACCTTAATTCAAATAGTATCATTGTTAACTTTACAAGCATGAATGTATTAAAAATATTCAAATTTGAATACAGATCCTGAACTGGTTGACTACTACTACTACTACTATTGACACTAATGCAGAACCAAAATGTAAATTTAATTAATATAATTTAATTAACACTAGACAACCACTCAAAATCTCACAAATATTTATGACAAACACTATTTGACAAACACAGGAGCTATCAGGTTTGCAGTTGAAACCCTTGTTTAAGTTGGTTAATGCAAAAAAATTACGACTTTTGACTGATTCTTAAAAAATCTAATCGCTCAAGCCTTTATTAATGTCTGTCGATTGTAACAAATTGCCTCAAATTTGATTGTACCTCTCTGAAACAGACCCACGTTGAGTAATACACGAATAATGGAAATACAAAGTGTCCCACAATCCGATCCGTGGCCATTTAATTATTAATAAAACTAAATCCAAAATTAAAATCAAATGCATCAAAACAATTTGCTTCTCTTTTGAAGGAAACACATTCCCAAACAAAATGTCATGATAATACACAGTCTTTTGATATTCACATTATCAACAAACCGATTCCAATATACCAGAATATCTAGCATGGAGACAACGGCATGGCGTAAGAAGGGCTCTGTCGTAATAACGTGCGTGAGAAACAAATGCGCCCGACGGAGTTAACTGGGTTTGAGAAAGATCCGTTTCACTGAAGTAAATACTCAGCTCTCCTCTGTCCCAACATAGTAAATCTGAATACTCGGCCCCACCCATAAAGGATCTGACCAATGATAGAGCCTAAAACTAATCAACATGAAAATTGACCTTGACCTCAGCCAATAGCGTTGTACGTGGGCGTGGTCCATCCTAGTTCGGTTGCAGCGGAGATTGCCGATCAACTTTTGCTATCAGAAGAGCGTTGTGCAAAGCTAGTTAGCAACCTACATAACATATCCATTTTAAAGCTTACTTGTCGTAATTTGTGGCGCGTTTCTGCATGTTCTAATTAAGCTTATAATTAGCAGTTGTCAACAAACCAACAAATTCCAGAAGTGACGGGGGAGGACTCCATTTTTCTACGCGGCAGCCTGCAAGACGGCGGTAAGCTAGGTGCTTGTGTTGCTAGGCTAACTTCCCCTGCCAAAGCAACGGGCATCTTGCGAAAAAATTGTCTTCCTGGCGACGCTTTCGTTGAATACAAAAGACTCCCAGGTACGTTTTCGAAAAACAAAATGCCTGTATGCATCACCGCGAATGCATATCATTTCACAGTTTGACAACTATCTGATGCAGTTCATGTTACGGTAGCTGCTAGTGCTCCCATAATGTTAGCCTCTTCCCTCAGCTGATAACACTGCATATTGTCCCAGCGAGCTAATGTGCTACGTGAGCTAATGTACGCTAGGTCACATTCCGAACTTTAACTTAGCGTCGTTATTAACTGATTATTGCAGTATATCGAGTAAGTAATGAAACATGCATTGCATCGTAGGGGTTGAAAGCCTACTTTAACTTAAACAAGTGCGACTGGCGCTAATGTTAATTGCAGGCTGGCTCCGCTACGCTGCACAGCTGATGGATGATTGAGGTTTGTTGTTGTTGTTGTTGTTGTTGTTATAGCGTTGCTTTGATACTGTGACTGTAGCATGCTGATGGTGGGAGGCAATGGACGGATGCACTAGAATGAGTGTGAAGGAGCTGTGTGAGACCGATGACCTGGCCACCGGCTTGGTGCTGGACCCTCTGCTGGGCTTCAGCACCCACAAGATGAACATCAGGTAAGCTGTCACTCAAGACATGGATTCGATCAACGTCAGAGTTAACCGGCGATCCCATTGGTATTCAAACAATTGGTTATTAATGAATCCTGCTTGGTTATTACAAACTTTTTTCCCTACTAAATTAATCTGACAATAATCATTTACCCTCCAAAAATTACCTGCACAGAAAAACGTGACGTGACCAATAATCCAAATGCGCCAAACATATTGAGTTTACCATCATGTACGGCAAAGCACTGCTTTGCTTTGCAAATGTTCTCATTTAAGACGCTTGATAAAATAATAAAGTAGATACTCGTGCTGGGCCTCCTTATTCACATGTCAGACCAATATTAGTTTGTTTCGATCGCATTCATCTAGATTTATGCTATCTGCCTCCAGCGCGTTTTGCTCTGTCCACCTGCACGCGGGACGTGACATAAGGAAAATGTACTATTTGATGATAATTGATTATTAGTCATTTAAAAACAACTATGTATTTGTGTCAGTAAGCAGAATGTGTGCTAAATACACACAGCTGTGTGGGCAGTGTGCATCTAAATATCCTGCCACGGCATCAGATAACATATATTTTGTCTGCTATCCTAAATTGAGGATAAAAAATGGATCCTTATACAAACCCACTTTAGATTAACACTGACTGGGATTAGATCTTGTCCTCTGACTGTTTCTGCTCCTCTAATATGCCAACTTCTACCCTCCGTCCTCTTTAGTCCCCGGCCAGAGATCCGGCGTTGGGGTAACCTGAAAGAGACCCTGTTGCGCTTCCAGCGTACGCATGACTTCAATGCTACGTTTGAGGCGCTGACCGTGGGTGAACCGGCTGGGGACTACTTTATTGCTTTGGGAAGCCATCGACAGGAGCTGCTGAGACAACATGTAAGCTGATGGATAAGCTTAGAAATCTATGTAGATATAAAATAATCACAAATGAAATGCATAAAACTTTGGTCTCCCCTTTTTTGTTTCACTTGAGTGAGTGTGAGAACACAGTCCAAAACATCTATGATGTCTGCAGGTGTACCGTTACCTCAGTGCCTTCCTGTTAGATAACGGTATCAAGATAGAGTCCTGCGACCGATACTCCTCAGAGACCAACGGAGCAAAGATTACCTCCACGAGGCAATGGTAATCACTCACGCATCCGATTAGTCACGATTGCATGATGCGGAACAATGGCGGCTACGTTTCCGTGGCTGCGTGTGACTCTCTAAATTGCAGCTATGTGACACTTGACCTGTTGCTCCGTAGGTTTGCCGGAGAGCGGGTGGAGGTCCTGCTCGGCTGCATAGCGGAGCTGAGTCCCGCTGACGGCACGGTGTTGAGGGCAGGAGTCAATGACTTCAGCGTGATGTATTCTACACGCAAGCGCTGCACTCAGCTCTGGCTTGGCCCGGCAGCTTTCATTAACCACGGTGAGCTTGTTGTCATACACTACTCATTCTTTGCCAGCGTGTGCGCACACACACACAATTACATACACACACGCACATACACAGCCTCTCTCACACATACACACACACACACACACACACACAGTAATCCAATTAGCAAGAAAAAAACAACCTATTTTCAAAACACAAATCTCCCATCAACCGCAAACTAATTTCCAGTTATTTTGTCAGTGTTAGAAAAATGTTGCTCGACACCGGTGTAAAATCATTGAACAGGACACTTATTAAATGGCTGCAAGCGTGACGCAGAGCTGAAACAAATACAAGTCATGGGTCAAGGCTCCTAAGATTTCCTCCTACAACTTTGAGTCATCTACTCAAAGGGAACAAACATCTGAGCTCCTCCTCAGTAGAGGGGGGGGCAGGATCATTTCCCACTGGTCACCTCCACACTAAAGAAAAATAGGTGGTATTGTCGTTCATGATTAATGAAGATGAAAGACAACACTTTGTTTACACTTAGGCAATGAAACTTACAACAGGAGTTCCTTGGGAAACCAGACCCTCTTTCACAAATCATCCTGAACGTCTGTTTATCTTAAAAGACTGTGTTCATTCAAAGGGTCACGAACCAAGACGGGACATTATTAGAATTTTCCTAACATTAAGTTACTTTCCATCTATGAGAGATAGTCCTGTGTAAGTGTGACGCACAACGTCTGAGTTCCATCAGCGTTTCTTTTCTAAACAAGGAAAACCTATTTTGCCCATTAGGTTGTGCTAATAAAGCATTTTATTTAGTTTTTTTTGTTGTTTAAACATCAGCAAATTTCTGGTATATCTGAAGCTACGACCAATTGTTAAGTTACTGAATTAAATAGTTGAAATTTCAAATTCCAAAAAGGCCAATTTGTTTCAAAAATCATAAAAATACTTCATTATTATTAATTAACAAGACTAAGTCTACTTTGTGTATTAAGGACTTCAGCGATTGTCTTTCATCTTTCATTGCATGAAGACTCTTACAAGTTCCCTGCAGCATTAGTAGCAAATGTATCAGAAACTAATTCAGCATTAAGAAAATATACCTTTTATGATCATAAATAATTCTAATAAATTAAAATACTTAAATACTTTCACGAATCCTAAACAGCCCAGTGTAGAGCTGAAATGAATAATTTATTAATCCACGTGTTGATCAGCAGGAAATTAGTCCATGATAAATTGATTTGGCGAAACTTCACTGGTTTTAGCTTTTTAAAAGTGTTCTGGTTTTCTTAATCTTCAATTGATTTAATATGTTTTGGGATTAGGGCTGAAAAAACAAGACATCCAAGGAAACAATCTACGAAATTAATTTCTACAGATGAGCAAAAGCAGCCAGCTCTTCATAGTTGTAATGTGTGCGAAAGGTCCACGGAAATGTGAGTTAACATTAATTCTTGCGTCCACTAAGAAGCTGCTTTCAGGCAAGATCTTTTCATAATGTTTCGGAGTTAACCAGTTGAGCCTTTGAGCCTTTTGCTAAACACTTTGTCACATGCCGGCTGATCAACAAAAGACACAATTCATTGCTTGGATTTGATTCTAATCATTTGAATCTTTTATCTGTTTTTCCATTGCCTGTTCTTCTGCGATAAAGACTGCAAACCAAACTGCAAGGTAAACAGCCATGTTTATTCATCACCTACACTAAAGACGTTTGACGGTTAGATGTGATTGTTGTACAACTCTGTCCAAATCTAGTAACAACTATCATTGTGACATTTTGACATCTGGAGAATCGTGTTTCAGAGACAGAATTGCACTCTCTTTACGTTTAACTGCTTCGTGTTGATGTGTCCCATGGGCCAACCAACCTTTTGTCTTTGTCTCTTTTTTTTAACCCGCCCAGTTTGTCCCCGGGGAGAAGAATATTGCGTGTGTCGAAGCGATTCGACCAATCTCACCTGGGGAGGAGATCACGTGTTACTATGGTGCCAGCTTTTTCGGGGAAGGCAATGAAATGTGTGAATGCTGCACCTGTGAGAGGTGTGTCCATCATTTATTAGTGCACTGAATACTTTGTTCATCATATCCATTTGGACTGTTTCACCTGAATTTGCTTTTGTAATTCGGACCGTTCTTTAGGAATGGAGAGGGTCACTTCAAACACAGGGGGAAGCAGCCGGAATGTGAAGAAACAAAGGATCCTTTGGGGCAAAAGTACCGCCTGAGAGAGAGGTACCTTCGTCATCACAGAGAGAAGAGGCCGATAATACAAGGAATACACTCAGGTATTTTTAAAGGTAACTACTATTTTCTCTGATGTGACAACTTAAATATTCTATGTGCTGTGCAACAAAACCAATATCAAAGTCAGTTCATTCAAACAGAAGTGCGGCATTTCCTGTTTCCTAAAAGTCCTTTTAGCTCCTCAGAAGCTAAATCAACCAATAGGAATATTAATTGTATAATGCAAATACAATTTTAAACTTCAGGGTCAGCTGCCACCTCTGCTGTTTGACACCTCGAATGAGATCAAGCTGATTCACTGAGTGAGATGTTAAGTGAGGGATAATGCACTACAGGGTGTCCATTATCAAGAATAATTTAATAAAATGCGCGTTGAACTATTTCCTCAGTGCTGTACATGCTTTCCTAATAATGGACAATTGGAAGAGAAAAATCACTTTTATGCAATGGTTACCTGCGGAAGAAAAACAACATTAATTTACTATACTATATTTTCCTGCGTGTTGCAACAAAATTCTGAAGTTTTTCACAATCTATTCCCCGTTTACCAGGAGGCTTTGTTAATCTAAGGAAAAAAATCCCATACCCTGATATTCTAATGCAGTGTAAGTGAGTCAAGAGCCCTGATTAACTTTGGTCCACTTCTTGGAAACCTAGAGGAGGGTTCAACGGTTCTGACGACGCTGTGATTTAGTCATCCAGTGTTTGAAAGGTATTTTGGGCCGGTTTTAGGAAGCGGATTGTGTTGCTTCCGTGTGACCTAATAATGCAATGTAGCATGTAATCTGGCAACATGTTTCATCGTTTACTGCAATGTTGCATAATCCTGAGGAAGCACTTTTGTCCCTAAAAAGACCATTCGTATTTTTAAATGCTCAACTTGTGTTGCCGTGACTTCCTGAAACATTATATTTTCTCGCAAGGAGTCGAGGGCAGCAAAACAAAATCCAAAGATCCATTTTCAAACTCCTGCATTGAATTAATTAGAAATGTCAGATTTTTTATTGATTGAATAGGCATAATTTTACTGCACTGCTCATAATAAACATGCACATTAGCAAAATAAATGATTCAAGTTTAACTGCTTATTTGTTGTTGTCTTTCAAACAGCCATCCCCTCAAGGAATTCCTTCACCCAGCAGATGAGGAGAAACGCCTTAAAGAACAGAAAATTTAGTGAAACAAAGAAGTGGAGACGAGAGAAGCACAGGCGATCAGGAAAGAACCCATCGAAACAGTATCAGACACTTTTGTCCCAATTCACCCTGAGGGACATCAGAATCCAAGTACGGCGCCACTCGGTGGACTTCTTACTCAAGTGTAAGGATCCAAAAAGCAAAGAAAGGGCTTATCTTCAACGACTGGAAGAAGGGAATCCTAAAGACAACAGGCTCATTTCGAATGGTGACGAAAGTAACAGCCGCGAGGTCAACGTGAAGCCGCTTCCCCCAAATTCCTCCACGTCGGTCCAGCAGAGAAGTGGACCTGCAGCCAGCAGCGCAGGCCTTGATGAGACGTCTGCCAGAGTGGTGCAGAGACGGGCAGTTCCCCAGAGGTTCTCTTCAAGAACCAGAAGCATGGTTCAAACCTCGCTCGCACGTCCAGGAGGGTCCGGCGGTCCAGCCAACGCAACGACAGTTTCTCACCCCGTCGAAAATAACAAAACCTGCAGTGCAATAAAACGAGACGCAAGTGAAAAAGCAGAGAGTCAAAGCAAAGAGTCCAGCTGCATTGAACCCTGCATCGCCGGCAAGGCTCAAAACCCAGCACCTGAGCCCCCGGAGCACCGGATCACCAGAGCTTCGTCCACGATGGAACCCGCAGACGGAACAAACAGAGCCAGAGACAGTCCACTGGTTTCACTAAAGCAATACCTCACTGTCAGCCTAACGAGGTTGTCCGTGCCAAGTGTAAAAGCAGAAAAGGTCCCTGAAGACCGGATAGGCAGAGTGGAGCTAAGAGGAAGGGCCGGGCAGAGCCGCTGTACCGCACCGCCGCCGACGGTAAAGTCGAAAAAAAGAGTGTCCAGATCTCAGCGGCGGCAGGGAGAAGGAAATTCAGATACCTGCACAGCTGAAGGTAATGGAGGGGTGAGGGAAATGTTTTTCAAGGCCGTCGACGCAGCACATTTAGAGAAGTTACAAGGAAGTGAGTCGGTGGGCGGTTTGTCCCACACAGAGACGGGGGGAGATGACAAGGTTATCGAAATACAAGCGCCGCCAGAAGAAAGAGGCGACATACAGAAGAAGCAGCTGCACATCGAGCAGAAAGAGGAGGAAAATGCTGAACTAGAAGTTGTGGAATGTAAAAGTAAGATGGTCATGGAGGAAGTGAAAGAGTCGGATTGTAAAATAGCCCCCAATGAAAAAGCAAGAGCAGAAAATTACCAACAATGTGTTAAAAATATAGTTGAGGAGGGAGTTGTTGAATTATCAGAACAAATTGCGAGGAGTGTGGGTAAAGGGCCGGCAAGTAGGCAGGAAGAGGATGTTGTCATCAAGCAGGCGAAGGTTTTGCTATCTGATATTTTAAGAAAAGATAAATCCATAATAGATAAAACATTACAGGGAGATGTTGTAGGAAGATTGTTTTCTACTCCTGCTTCTAAAAAGATGCAAAGTGCCGCGAAGGAAGTCGAATCGACTGCACTGAACGGAGGCCGGTACCATCGTCCAATGCAGAGGAGGATTATGAGCCGGCGAAAGATGAAGCCTAGAGCTGCGAAAACAAAAGCCAGGCAAAGCACCAGGGGACACTTTTGCAAAGAGGTGGCAGCTACAGTGAAGACTGAGTCGATTGAGGACAGTTTGCAGCTTGAGACCCCGCAGAGGGACGGCGACCCACCGGCCAGCCGCCTTACCCCACTACCTCACAGGTCACTCGTTTCAACGAAAGAGCCGTCAGACACCAGTCCGCAGGCACACACGCAGTCCAACATACCTCTGAAGAAACGTACGTTTCGAAGTTCTGTGGAAATAGACTCCACAGAAGTAGAACACGGTTTGACTTCCGATTTGGCTTCAGATCAAGCTTCCAAAGAAGCTACTGCGCTGAATTCTCCGGCGGAGCAGAGGCAGGGGCCGGTCCCGTGTTCAGGGGAGAGGAGCAATGGGAAAAGACCGGTCAAACGCAGAAAGAGGACAACCGAAGTGCAGAGGTTAAACCCTCAAAAGATCGGCAAGCAGAACTGCTTCAGGCGAGTGCTACGGTCCCGAGATAGTGAAGCTCAGCGAGCCAATTTATTGAGGAAAGTTCAAAAGTGTAAAGTAGAGAGGCAAGATGAGGACGACCCCTATCAGGATCGAGCACCAGAGGGTGGTACACTCGCAGAGGACAAAAAAGCTACGGGCCCTGAAAAGAATCCAACTGTGAAGAGGTCCCAGGAGGAAAGTGAGGTGGAAACATTAATCCAGCAGAGTAGTTTGGGCGAGACGAAGCCAGGCATCGATTTAAAGATGCGGTTCAAGAGGAGGAGAGGGAGAGTGTGGGAGATGCAAAGAGCAGGACTGGGAAACATGGCGTTGAAAACAGAAAAGGGAGACGAGTTGCTGTCATGCGACCCGTTTAAAGCTATTATGGATTCGGTATCGATTTTAAACATGGAGATGGAGGCAGCTCAGGCACACGTGCACGCTAGTAAGAAGTCAAAGAGCCGATTGCATCATTTGAAAAGAAGAGGTCAGAGGCTGACTGAAAGGAAAGCCACAGTTGCATCATCGAATGTTAAATCCGATAAAGACCTGAGAAGCGCACGTGTGGCCGGTGAAACGGCCAATGACAAAGTAGAAACTAAAGAGAAGCTGGAAAAGGAACTTCTTCCAGGTGGAGTCAAGCTGCTGACAGAAAAAATTGAGAGTTGTAAAACTGACATTGATATGTCCGTCGTAGGAAAAGAAACCAAAATTGAGGACCGTTTTGAAAAGAATTGCTGCTTGTTTGGAACTGGGTCCCAGCACAAGCTGGAGCCTGAATTGGATTCAAATGGCCTTTTGTTACCAGTAATTAAACTCCGCAGAAAGACTGAGGATATTTGGGAGGTGGACGGCAAAGGGGGGCTTTTACAAACTGAATTTAAAGTAGAGTCCAAAGTGAAGAAAGAGCTGAAGGGTCAATATTTAGGGAAACAAAATAAAGTAGGTCTCGATATCAGCAAGCTCAAAGAAGAGTTCCCGTCGCAAAGACTGAGCAGCAACGCGGCCCTTCTGAAAACGGAGCCGCCGGCCTTCTGCCTGTCTCTGTCGCCGCTGTCCCTGTCCTCCCCCATTAATGACAATAAACCCGAAGCGATGTCCTCGCCAGCAGATGCAATCACGGAAAGGCCAGAGATGAATTGTGGGGGAAGGAAACAGAGGCACAAATTGGAGAGGCCACGGAATCGTGGTCCCGTCGAAACGCCCACCAGCAGTCTTAGTCATACACTTCAGCAAATTGACAACAGCCTCTTCAGGCTCTGCGAGGGCTTGTGTTCATCTCAGACTTTGGAAAAGCCGGCAGCATGTCCCAGCGCTTCAAATTGTGTCATCCAGCCCCCGTCCCAGTCACCTCCATTCACAACGGCAGACAACATGCTTTCCGGTGAGCCCAGCTTCACAAACTGCTGCGATGATATTCTGGACTTCCAGTGTCTCAACTTCGAGGGGTATTATCAACCGCAGAACATACTCCCATCTTCCCCATCGGATCTGTGTTCACTCGATCCACCAACAGATCCCTTCAGCAGTCCCCTCTCTCACAGCCCGTCCGATACATGGGCGACGGAGACGCCGTACCTCGGCCCCCCCAGTCCAGGGAATAACTTCACCAGTGAAGATCTGCAGTTCTTTCCAGCTCTAATTTCTTCCAAAAGCGACTCCGTTCCTGTGGAATTGGAAGCGAAGGATACCGTCAGAGACAGAATCCAACTCAACCCTACTTTCAGTTTTTCAGCTCTCGGCAACTCTGACTTTACCGCTAAAGATCGAATTCTAAGCAAGAATCCAGGAATGAGGCTGTCCAGAGAAGACCTCAGAAGCCAGTCCTACCCTGTGGTCGGCAAGCCTCGGGTGTTCGGTGCCCCGCCCTCCTCTGTCGCGTGTCACGCTCCCGTGACATCAAACCAGCCATCCATCAGCGTCAGGGCGAGCACCAGTCAATCAAAGCTCCAGCCAAACTTTAAAACCCAAGGCCCCTTCCACCGCACCGCTCCATGTAAGCCTCAGTCGTTTTCAAGTATCCAGCCAAACGCAGCCAGAGAAATGCCCCCGAGTTGCTTGAACAAATCCGTCCCGCCATCCCAAATGTCTAACAAGTTCCTCGCCCCTCAACTCTTCACTGTGAAAAATCCCAATCCTCCCGACAATCCCTTCAAGTTCCATGAGAAAACCTCAACAGTTATTCACAGGGTGCTTAAGTATCAGGGGGGGAACCCAACTCCGAACCTGTATAGTGCACCTTGTAAAGATGCCATGGCTGCTGGCGGCCCGATCATCTCATCCAGAACACTCGGTGCCAAGCCAGGTCCCATCGAGAGGAGCCAGCAGAGTCAAAAAGTAGGTGGTACAGACGGTCAGCACAAAGACAATGTTTCTGTACTGGGGTTTGGAAAAGATTTTAGCCATCTTGGTTCCTCCAGCAACTTCAGCAGGTCCAATTCTCATTTCAACAAACCCAACTCCTCTTTCCCCCAGTCGTTCATCAGAAGTAAGATGTCCTCTGACAGGCACGAAGGCGTTGAAACCAACATGGCGTACAAAAACCTGTCAGCACTGCCGAGACCGTTCTTCTTCCCTAGCAAACTGTCCGATGGGTATCCACCGCCCCAAGACAAAAAATCCAACCCGTCGACTTCAGACAAACACCAGCCCTGTTACACTCAGCAAGACCCTTTTGATTTCAGCTTCGGCTCGTCTCTTCCGCCGATGCCTCAGCACAGCAATCCCCAAGTGGCCCACAGCACACCTTCTGGTACGCCAGCACCAGCAAACAAGACTCAGTCCTCGGCCTCTTTCCCATATGGCTGTCAAGGTCCTCCTTACGTGCTGAACTTCAGTGGAGATCATTCCTTGACCCTGGGTTTGAGGGATGGGGTTGAGGGTTATCCAGGACTGGGCTCCACAAATTACACCTACCATTGTCTGATGGAGCCTTCAGGTACCCAAGGGCGGCTGGTCCTCGAGCCCTGTGGACCCCAGGTGTCTAACCCAGGGTCCTTTTCCATGGGTGGATTTTCAGGGCTCAGGGGTCAAGACGAACAGTGCAGGAAGGACATGCAGCAACCGTGCCAGCCCGGGGAGCACCAGGGCCCGTCCCACTATGGACCCGCACCGTCCTCTCACTCCATGGGTGCCACCAAACCCAAGAGAGTGAGGTTAGTGGTGACGGACGGCACTGTAGACTTAGACCTCCAGTACTCGGATTGATTTGTACCCCCCCTCCCCGTCGTCACTGGATCCCAGAATACATTTGGACGAAGGGATTTTACAGTATCGGCTTCCATTTTTCTGTTAACACTGTACTTCATAGTCCACCAGTTATTAAAGCCCTCTGACAGATTTCTAGGTCATTTTTTGATGGACGGTTAATGTATGAATGGCTTGTACAGAGTTTTATGTAAAACAAGCGTATTAGTGTGTTTAGCTACTGTATGGTTTTTAAAAGCAATTAAATATCCACTACGATTTGCTGAGAATACCAAATTATGCATAAAAGATGCATAAAGGAAAAAAAATAGTAAATATATTTGTGACTAGGAGTTTGAACTGGCCCTGTACTGTAACATAGCTGTATTACTTTTCTACACTGCGTACGGCAGTAGAGAGGAGTACCAGCGTCGGCTGTTGGTACTTGAATCGGTGGGATTTAAAAAGGCAGCTTGTGCCTCCTTCTTTAATATGTTCTCGTGACTTTTTGAAGCACCTGTTGAAACAGTTCACCCCCGTTTTTATACTCACAGTAGGATCTTTTCTCATTTTGTGTGCGAGTGTGTGTGTGTGTGCATTGCATGCAAGTCTCGAGGGATCAAAGTTAAGTGTGTTGTAGTGCTGTGACAGATTTGTAGTAAGATCATTAGTGCATTAATGAAATGGGTTGTGCATGAACAGTGTACAGTAACGTGTCACCCTGACTGAAGTGGTTTTATATATATATATATCACTCACGGACAACTCTACTGGGTGAAGACATGAACGGCAGCTTTTAACAGCTGCTTTTTGAGTACTTATGTGGATGAGTGAGTGTGAGAAACTACAGCATGTTTTTGTTTTTTTGTTTGTTTTTAAGCCAGTTGTACTCAATGAATTGAGGTATAGTACAATGTATTTGTAATGGGAGTTCTCCCAGTTGGAAACATTTCGATTTCACTCAAGAAATCTGACAATCTTCTCACAGAGTAACCCAACTTTGTCCTTTTTTTATTTGGTCGTTTTCCAAAGGAATTCGTTGTTGTTGTTATTATTATACATAAAGAACAGACGTATAAGTTACGCATCACCTGCAATAGTTCCTGTTGTTATGTTGTCGCCGATGGACCTACAAATTTTATAGATGTTTATATTCTAGGCAGAGTTCTCTGCTGTAGAGGGTCTGCGAGGGTCCCGCGTGTCCCATTGTACTGTTTGTTGAACCTTTGGACGTCGGTCGGCAGGAGTGTTCAGAGTGACTGCACAGCCTTTCATTACCATCCTGTCCTGTCTTGATAAGGAAAGGCCAATTATTTATTTTAATATCCTCGTCCTTGAAATGGTGCTTTAATGTAATTTATATTTCACATTGATTGTTCAAGCTATTACATGTTTTTTATTCTTATTTAATGGGAAAAATACTGAACAGAATATTTACATTGCGTATTTAATTTCACAGCCTTTGACATTTTATCCAATGTTTCAATTGTTACAGGTATAACTATCTTTTTTTTCTAATTAGAAGTTGTTCTTGCTGAAAATATGCTGTAGAAATGTACAAATGTAGCCTATATCATTAAAGACAATTAATTCTTTTTTTTTTGTATTTTGTGTTATTGACTCGTTAATACCTCCAGAGACCACAGACATATTATAGCGTACTGATATGATTGATTATCCATGTTAATTAATCTGATCAGTTAAGACATTCCATTACGTCTGCTACCTTTAGCTGCTGCACCACAATATTTAATTTCTACATCTGCCCAAATCTAAAGACATATCCTTTGATAGTTTTTTATTGTATCTGGAATAATCGAACTATACGGTCATTGAATTCTGAAGAGGGCTTCAATTACTTATTTTTATTACCCCGTTCATCCATCTCATCATGCAAATTAGCTCTCCGATGCTTTAGCTTTTTTAAAGTATTTCTACACTGGTTCCAGTTGAAGTAAATTAAATTCGTCAGTTAAATATTAACAAAACTAAAGAGCAGTTAAGGTCTTTTTGATCTCTATTTGTCTGTTTCATGACCCCGGTGCGAAAGTGGTGCATGCAAATCAAGTCGGTTATCCCCGGCCTTCCTTCTGCGCTGATGGATCCATCCGCTTGAAGTCTGAACTCTGAATCCTAAAGTCTAAACCCGTTCGTCCTCCAGGATTAGTGCTCCTACCTTCGCCTCCTTCCTCACTCCCTTCACTTTGATTCTACATAACCGGCGTTGCTTTTCTTCTTCCCCTCGATTCCTCTGCTCTCTGCATGACCCACTTCTGCTTTTCTTCCTAGCAGCTGCTGAGCAGTCAATTCGCATGCAGAATTTGACAGTCTTCTCATGATGAGGACACAGAGAGAGAGAGGGATTATTTATTTTAGGAGATTGCTACTGTTAGAGGGACTGGAAAAAGAATGGAGTGAAAAGCTGTCACAAGAGAGTACAAGTGCTTATTTTACTTGGTTTGATGTGACCATTAATCAAACATTGATTTTGCTTGAAGCAAGATCATCATCAAAGCATTACTTTTATTTCCTTTTAACCAGTGGTGGAAATGACAGCGTGCTGGTTGTAGACAAGTGACTGATGCGTTATTACATTTGATATAATTAACTTCATTGCATAAGCCAGATCTTAGTGTTGTAGGTGGTCAATGTACAGGAATGTGACGGCAATAATAATCATTATTTTCTCTGAATTAACACAAATTATGGAACCTTCCACACAATTCAGGAAAAATAGCATGTTAATCTGGAATTTCAAATGCAGCCCAGGACTCATTTCATTCATTGTCTTCACTAAAATATAAACTAAATCAGGAATGAAATTGAATGAAGTTAATTTAAAAGATGCTCGTTGCGGTTGCCATGGCATCAGAAAAGGCATCAAAAAAGTTACAACTGTTGTGAAAAGAAAAGGGGCTCCATCTCCAGACATCCTGGCAATATGTCATACATTTCAATGTGTTAAAGAAGCCAAATGTGTTGCATTTTATAATCCCATATGTTTTCTTCCAGGAAAGACTTTGTAACGTAATAACAGCTGTAAATAAATGAACTCTCCACCTCCGCTTTGCCACATTAAATACTTTCATTTCATTTTTCCTCTGCTCGTTTCCCACCTTTCAGTGTGTTCATCACATGCACGTAGCATGACATGCTGGTCGCCTGGTGTAAATAACCGTTCTGACTGCATGTATGCAGTCACATGACGACCACGACGCGTCATCATGTGACCGCTGCGCTGTATAGCAGCAGCCCTGTGAAATGGCTGACGGTGTTGTTTAGTGCTTGGACCACCGTCAGCAGCACAGCAGTCATCCCGGTGGCGAAGGAGCACGGAGACACAAACGAGTCCGTGACCCCAGGAAAGGAAAAGCTCCGGCTGGGAGGAGAGGGCCACGGGAAGGTGTTCGTTATATTTCCCGTGTGACGGAGAGCAGAGGCTCTGGATGCCTCGCTGCTGGCTGAGGTGTCAGTGCATTAGTGTAAATTATGACCGAAACAAAACCCTGTGTGCCTGACAGAGGGGGCTGAATAAATATGTCTGCTGCACAGGCGTGGATATTGCTCTTATGATTATTATAGCAATCTTTCTTTATTAGGGCTGACTGGCTGCTATTAAGGCGACTCCCTCCCTCTCCTTGTATAAAACCGCAGGGGAGTTTTGATGAAGCCTGGCAATCGTTTTTTAGCTAACTGCAACCACATGCTTTCGCTCATCTGTTTAACACTGCGGGTCCCGCTTGAGCCTGACCAACCAAAGCTGTCAAACACCCTCTGCCACACGCGGACTCAGTCAGCAGAATCACTGCAAACCAGACGTAAGGAAACCAGGAGATCAGTTTAGGACGTTTGGTACCGTATCTCCGCGTGAGTCATTGGCCGAAGAGGTGGACAGCCCCCCCCCCCCCCCCCCCCGCTGTGCCAGGTTCCATTTCATTCTGAAAGGCCAGCCGGGAGCCGATGGAGGTAAAGTGACAGGTGGGAACAAAACCAGAATTATTCATACCACTTTGGTGAGCGGAGAAGTCAGGCTTTGCCTTGTGGTGGAATCGTTCGCTTCACTCGTGCAGTTGTGTGAAAACCTGCAGCCGCCTCGGCCTTTTTCAGCAATGTTACATAGAGATCCAGGTGTGGATGGAGCCAGATGTTATCTAGAGCTAGACCATTAACCGCTCCGTCAAGCAAAAAGGAAATAAACACCCAGCTTCTCTTTCGTGGTATTTATGCTTTGGTTCTTCGTTTTACAATTTGGTGAATTTAATATGCTCATGTTCATTCATTCATTCGTACTATTGATGAGACCACTGTGGGCTGTTGGACACTAATGTGTTTCATTGAGCAACGAATTCATTCAATTGATTAATTGAGAATAACAAATTGATCAATAAAGGCAAACTCTAACTGCAGTCCTGTATGATTATTAGAGCTTGTGCAAGTTTAATTTACCCAAAACCAACATTTCAACCTAAATCTAGGCCTCTAGACCTGATAACTAGATCTTCAGCTCATCTGACAAGAGAGAAGTATCCAAAAACAAAAGAATACAACGATTAAATGATGGTCTGCAATATCAAATAGACCGGGATAAATCTGGACATCTTTCAGCAGAATAAAAATCAAATGAGGCAAGATTTAGAAGAATGCTGACGGCGACAGGGACAATTCATCCCAAGGGGTTTGTGTTGGAAAATCCCCGCTTCACGTTATAATTAGAATAATATAAACAACCAGGAGCTGGAGGACCTGGCATAATTATGGATTTAGTTATACTTCATCCACATTTGACATTCAACATCAACTGTAAACGGTTGGGAAGAAAACCCAGCAGATGTTTCCACGAAGCTCCTGACTAACCGACGCTCGAGCCAGCCGGCTCACACGGGTTGTAGCTACTGAAAAACGCGTTCACTGCCACTACATATGATGCCCCTCCCCCTTTCTTCACCCTCATCCCCGACAATTAAAGGGGTTTTAGTCCGTGAGGGCCGCGAGGCGATTCCGACATGCTTCCCTCCTCACTGATGGTATAATGGAGTTGATGTCTACTTGCTATTCAGTTCAGCCCGGCAGAAGAAGGCTCCCTGTCCGCCCACAGTCCTCCCTTCCCTCTCCCTTCTCTATGTATGGTAATAAGCATTGCAGCAGTGGCTTCCCTCCTCCTCTCATACACATCTCTTTCATTCCTAATTCATATTTCTGTGTGTGTGTGTGTGTGTGTGTGTGTGTGTGTGTGTGTGTGTGTGTGTGAGAGAGGGGATGCACATGTTGGCTGCACTACTTCAGATGTTCTGTATCCAACAAGCAATCTTGGGATTATGGATGTAACATGTTCACAATGAGAAATGCCGCCTGTAGTTGTGGCAGAGTGGTAATTGCAGGACAATCTTTGATGCATGCGTGCGTTTAGCGTGTGTGTCTCTGCACGCCGGGCTCTTTGGTGCTCTCAGAAGGAAGGAAAACAATTGAGTTTTTAACAGCTTAGAGACTGACTCCAAAACATCAAAGACACCCAGAGACCGTGAGCGGGGGGGAGGGGGGGGGTAAAGAGAGGGGGGGGGGGTGCCCTGTATCCGGGTAATCATGGAGGAGAGAGACGGAGATGGAGGGAGGATGGGGGTTAAGAGAGAGCGAGAGGTATGGGAGGGCTGTAGGAGAGAAACTAACCAACCAGCGCACAAGGAAGGAGGGAGAGCGAGGGACTGAGGGACTGTGGACATGCTGAAGGGAGGGAGGAGGGGAGGATAGCAAGTCAGGGATGGGGAGATCGCCGAGTGGATAGAAGTGTTACTACAGAGCTGCTGGAGGACGGGATGGGAGCCGAAGGATAATGCTCCACTCCCCAGCGTGCAGCGGCGTGCCGGACACCTCCTGACTCCTCGCGGCGGCGGCGGCTGTCTTCGTCCTTGCAGCAGCCACTGTCTTTTCTATCCCTCCTCCTTTCAACCACAGCCTTCTTCATCGTATTTTTGCTCGCTCCTCCTCACTCCATATTCCTCTGCAACCGCTGGGCTCCCCCTCCTCTCTTTTCTACCTCTGTCCCCTTTTTTTGGTCCAGAGGACGGATTTCTGTATTTCATCAGGGATTGTAGAAGAAAGTAAGAATGTTTTCTGTCTTTTCTGCTTAGCGTTTTCTCTTCTCTAGAACCTGCATGGTGGATGGAGGGGGGTGCGTGGCAAAGCAGAGAGTACAATTTAATGTTTGTAGAGAGATAGTATTGAAGTCAAACGGCTGAAACCTGTGTGTGTGTGTGTGTGGGGGGGGGGGGTTTGCATGTTCAAGTTTACTGCATTGATGTAATGCATTAGCTCTTCCCTCACATGGCGGGCGTCAGCTTTGAATTAACATATACAGTAGCTGCACAAAACATACAGCTCTCAATGCGTCGGGGATACACTGACACGAGGGAGCGAGCTCCAGTGTTCTGCTGGGGGTTTCTCCTCGATGCCGGCAGATGAATACTCTTCCCCCAGCTTTAGAGACGCAGCAGACGAGGGGACGAGAGGGAATGCGGGAGAGAAAGGCTCCTGTGCCTGGGGGGGGGGGGGGCACAGATATGGAGACGAAGCACGACAAGTCAGGACAAGACGGGGAGCCGTATCGTGACAGCGCTGGGTTCCAACCGTGGTGTCGAACCCGATAATCCCTCCCACGCACATCTCTGATGCTCACCGCTCGGTGCTCACATGGAATGGGTAACTAGTGCATAAAATCATCCAGTGAAACACACTTTGCGTGTAAGGCAGGGTGTGTGCGCTCACGGATGAACCTGGACTCAGATGTACCGTAGCGTTAGAATTGGCGTGGAACAATGCACTCAGGAGGTAGACGAGGGTTCTGCCATGTGTCAAACAGCAGATTCATTTCAGTGGATTTTCACTTGGGCAGCTGCCGCTGTACAAGAAGAGGGTCACGCTGCCCGCTGGGAACACGAGTCTGGTTTTGCCCCGGTCATTATCTCTCCACCGGAGTTCAGTCTATCTATAGACGCCTTTGAATCTATTGAACTCAGCCCACAGGAAGGTCACTACATGGGGAACACGTAATTACACACCAGCTCGTGTAATGCCGCGGCATTGAAAGGTGAACTTTGGCTCCCGCGCACATGCTAACCGTCCCCCGTACGGTCCGTATCGCCTCAGGCACGTGGAGGTGGCGGACGGCTGGAGCGGATCGTCACAGTAGACAGGCGGCTCTACGCACCACGAGGGCAACTCGCCCCCCCCAGGTGGAAACCCTTAACACAAGTTCACCAACGACGGATCCGTGGAAGCGCACAGCCCGCACCGACGCGGAGCAGTGAAGCGCCTTTTGACAAAGTGTAGTGTTCACGCTGTTGAGCGCTGGTGTTAAAACATACGTGACTCAGTCTTTGCTCGGAGTGGTGCTCTAAGTTCAAACCCGCTCTTCAAATGCGCCGGTGTCAAGCCGTCTCTTGAACTTCTCGCGGCAGGCTGTCCACAGATCGGTTTTCACTGGCACCCTCCTATCTGGCCTTCAACCGCCTGACTCGTTCCGCGTCACACGTTGGGTACAATCATGTATTCTAAGTCAGCGTAATGGACATCTGCCTCTGTTTTTCCAACAACCCCATATTGTGCTGCCACCCCCCCCCTCCCCTTAAGCGGTGGGCCCGGTTTTGTTTGACTCAACTCATTTGGAGTTCATCTGTTCAGAGTCGATTCAGCGACCGTCGTGTCGTTTGTACTTGCTGAGTGGCAAGAAGAAATGGAGTCGAGGCCCAGCAAACAGCCAGGTTTTGCCAACCGAGCAGATTAATTCAAATTCAGCCCACGTTAGCAAGGAAATGCCATTAATCCCTCCTTGGTTGAACGGTGTGACGCCACACTTTGGTTCCACTACACACACAGAGGCACGACGCACAGGTTCCACGTGCGTAGTTCCTCCCTCCTCAGGAAGGAATGGACATAAATCTCTCATGTCATTGAAAAAAGAGGCTTTCTGTCCAACAAACAGCTTTTGGGCCTTGATAGTTTTCGGCCCCTCTCCTGTGATATTGTGCAGGGAGTGGAGCTTGACTTTCTTTTTCAATGTTTGCCACGCTGCTCAGGGGGAGAGATCCCAACTCCAGATTTACTCATCTCGCTTACGTTCTCACTCCTTCCTCTCTCTTTTTTTCCTCACTCTTTCCTTCTCCCTCCTCCTTGCCGGCAGTAGACCGCTGATCTGGGACAGACAGGCCTCCCCTGCGCTCTGTCCTACTTCAGCGCTGTCCTCTCTCCTGCCTCCCCTAATTCTTTTCCATTGTCGCTCAGCTCCGTCCACCCGTCTCCCGGTGCGCCGCTCCGTCCTCCTCTCCATTAATTATTACTAACTGGGAGTATTCCATGATGCCAGAGTGATGGTTCTGTCCGGTGTTAAAAGGCCGACGGGGGTTGGGGGGGGACATTAACAGGACATTGTTCCCTACCCGGCGCTACATAGAAAATGAATGCTTGTCGGCCATGAAAATGCCCTTTTGGATTAACAAGGAGGTGAAGGTTGAGAGCGAGCAAAGCAGCAGAGGGCTGAAACCGCTGTGTTAAAATGGAAAGTCATAATTATTCATAACTCATGGTAGTAGAAGTAGTAGATCCCCCCCCATCACACACACACACACACACGCTCACAGTCTTTTCTCACTACATCTGTAACGCTATGTTTCTCTCTCTCTGACTCTTTCGTCACCAAAGATCACATCCGTCCCCTTGCAAAGCCCCCACTCGTGCTAATTAGGAGGATTCATGCTTCGTGAATTTACTCTCAGTTTATTCAGGCCGGTTGCAGCACTGAGCGAGTCCCTGAAGTCCCCGCTGCATCGGCAATGTGGGACTTCTATGTTTAGGCGCAGCAGTTGAATGGCAGCAGCGAAGCAGTGCCGGCCTGTGATAGAGATCAGAGTGTGCGTTTGGCTGTGATTTGTGTGTCTGTGTGTGTTTTTGCACAAGTGACGGCTTCAGCCCCTGGATCTAATGCTGCATTCAGGTCCCGTGGGAAAGACATTAGAAGTATGAACTTCTTAATTTAATGCATTGCTCAGCTTTCAGGTGGTAAATACAAGCTGGAAAAGAAGGAGTTGGCAACTTCAAATACAAACAGGTGACAGAAAAGAGTTTATGTCTTTGCGGTGCAATGATTCTCCAACGCGTCAAGACAACAATGCCAGACAACCTTTTTATTAGCTATGTGACCTGAAAATCCTAAATTAATGAGATTATTACTGTTGTGAGAAGCCTTCTAAGAGTATACAAACTATCCAAAGTAGGTGATTCATTTTTTGATTAAACCAAACAGTAAAATATGTAAGATATGCGTAAGCTGAATTGGTCATAGTCGAATCATTTTGGATTAGTAAGTAATCTCATTTGAAAGGTTCAAATTGATATTCATGAAGATTCTTGCAAATAGAAGCTTCTCCGTCCTGCTCCCAAACAAACGATTGTGATTGTCATTTGAAAGCCTGCGTTGATGATGATGCGGCGAGTAGTTAAACCCTTGTCACAACGGTCCAGGAGCGTTGTGGTGCTGTTGAGATTCCACTGCTTTGTTTACAATCAACTGGTGTCAGGTTTGCTACTTGTGATTGAAAGGTGTCAAGCAGCATGTCTTTGTTTGTGTCAACCTTGTCACAAAACAGCTGCAGCTGATGGAAAATGTTTCTGCCCGCGTTTGTAGAGGCATTGTGATTAGCTGTGAGATTACAAAAACACTTTATCAGTTACCTCCCCGCCCCCCCCCTCTTTCTCTCGTTTCTCTCTGCAACCTCTTAAACTAACAGTATTACATCTGCATCTCAGTGAAAAAGAGCCTAATTCAATGTACCTCCTCTGAGCTGCAGCCCATATTGCATTGCAGTCTTTTTCAAACAGTAACTGATCTGTCCTCAAGACGCAACGGGTTATTTTTGGTTTCCATGCCTATCCTCCCTTCCCGCTTTCCTCCTCCTCCTCCTCCTCCACCAATGAACTTGCCGTGGACAGTGAAGTGCGTGTTGGTGTGCGAGCCTCATCCGCCTGTTTATGTGTGTCATTTTGCACCACCAGTAGGCAGCGGTGGGTGTTTTAAAGTTCATGGGAGATGATGCATCTGTGATGTTCGGGCCAGGAGAGGTTTGGGCTTTTTTTTTTTTGCTGCATTAATAATGGAAGCACAGCTGGCGGTATTTATAGCGGAACAGTGGACGGGGCCGTGGCGGCGTGAATGGTGGTGATGTATGAGATGCAGCACATCCTGCCAGCTTCTCCGGGGGGGCATCGGACACTGTGAGTTCCCACACCGGAAGCCGATGCTGGATGATGGAAATTTGCTGACAGAGAGCGAGGGCGCCGATGGCGACACGTGCACTGACACACACTCATGCACATTCACAACAGCACGCTCGGTCTTCAATACATTTCCAGACATGTTGGGTTTGACGGTGCAAGCTATAGGGGCAGAGTGAGTAGGAGGAGAAGCCACCAGCCGGAAATGGAGGGTGAGATGCATGGACAGCAAAGGAGGGATAGTCGTTTACCTTTAAAACCTATTGATTGGCCCATAGAGCTTATTGAAATAGTGAAATAGTGGTTTTCCGCCTCGGAGTTTGGACTTCATGGAGTCTTATTTAATCTGCGGCTGGCGGCCGTGCGGCTCCTCTCTCTTCTTTATCTGTCACTCCCCGGGCAGATAACAAGAAACACTGGCGTCAGTAAAAGCAGCCAAGTGGATTATTCAAATGAAGGACAAGGAGGTGAAGCTGTTTCTGATTCAAGACGGGAGGAGGTATGATTCATCAGTTGCAAAGTGCTTTCCCATGACACACGTGACTCCTCCCGGTTGAGGAACATTTGAAATGAAGGCAGCAACACCCCAATGTAGAAAATGCATTGGAGGATTTACATTTCTAATGAAAGTCCGGCACTCAGACAGAACATTCCAAAATGTGCAGACTACTTATCAACATATACTTATCAGTGCAATATTATTACCGTTTTATTTAAACAAAAAAACGTTTAAAACAAGCTTAGCCTGAACGAGTGCACGGTGGCAGTGTTTCTACAGCTGGAACCCGTATTTCTCAATCAATCCAATTGTTGTCTTTCCTTCTGTCTGTCAAAA